TTCAGTAATCTCACTGAAGAAAAGCAGCAGACAGTGCAAATCGACGCTCGAGACAATTCTGGTAATACGCCATTACACTTGGCTCTAAAAACCCATAGCAAAACGGCAATCGAAGCACTGCTGAGAAAAGGTGCGGATCCAAATTTAACCAATGAGTATGGATCGACTGCTTTGCACATCGTTTGCCGGACGACATGGTATTTCGACAATTTTGAATTTGTAAAGAAAATCTTCAGAATTATCGACGAAGTGGGACAATCGATCGAGCGCGTGGACGTCGAGGACAAGTCGGGCCGGACACCTCTTCAATGGGCTGTGATGCACCTTTTGCCGAATATGGTAGATCTGTTATTGGATCGGGGCGCTGACGCGTCGAGCTTCGTTCTCCCCACCTTGAGTGACTTTGATGAGGCTTTGGTTGACCCATGCTATAATCACAGATTGATAAAAGTATCTGGCATTATGCGCATCGTGGAGAGTCTTGAGAAAAGAAAATACGAACTGGACCAAAGCCACGCCCTAATACTTATGAAAGTTATCGGTAAATACTTATTTACTGAAGATCCACTTTCCCGTAAATACAGAGTTATTGATTATCGTCAAATATGTTGGTATCATGGCCTTGAGGACGAATTGAAAAAAGTAGAGGTGAAACCGAGTCTGTCGCTCTACGACCTGATACGGTTAGAGCCCAAACAGGCAGCGAAACTACTCTCATACTCGGACTACTTGGAGTTAGGGTACAATAATAAAATGGCTACCCTTCCCGACTCTTTTAGAGGTGTAATGGATAAGCATCTGTGCGAGAAAGTGTCAAGAGAATTTTTCGTCGGTTGGGCACTGGAACCTTTTTGGGCTTTGATACACGGACGGCTGCCAATCGACTGCTGCGAAATGATCCTACGGAACCTAGCGAACAAAGATTTACTCAACATTTTCATGGCGGCTACGGGCCAATATGATAAGGAGAGCGAAGATAAAAAACGAAAATTCGATGCAGCAAGTGATGATAGTCGGATCATTAAAACGCCCATGAAATTATTCAAAGGGGAAGGTAGCGCCGACTGGATGCTGCGCTACGGACCCGCACCACACGTGGGTTGGGTTTTAACGAGCGCCGGCTGGGTTCCACCACGTTATACGTTCCATGACGTTAAAAGTCAAATGTAACTTAAAATTGTACATTAACCGTATTAATTTTAAATAAAAAAAAAGTATAAAAATGAAATTTCGATTTTCTCTCATTGACAAGCACACAATCGTTCGAAGTTACTATTTGATATCATCTAATAAAGATCAAAGTTTCAAAAATTTTTTTTTTCAAATTTCTCATTAACCGAAATCAGTTGAATTCAAGAGATCGTCGTTCAAACCATAGCACCAATCGGTTTTTCACAAAAATAAAAACAAAAATTATTCTACAGCTCGAATAAAAAAGTTCAATTGGGAATCCGAAACATAATCAGCAACAGAAGATGGGGTCGATTGATTTTCGTAAAAAAAAAAAAAAGAATATCTTGAGTTATAAGCGATTAATGTTGCATATTTATTACACAATGTAAATAAATCAGTAATGACTTTTTTTCTATATTGACATAGTCACTCGACCGTTTGAATCAGCAGCGAAAATGATATCGCATTTGAAATGGAAAATATTAGAAATCTGTCCATCTGTGCACTCGATAAAATGACTATTATAGTTTTCAAGTTTTGCGTGCGGTTGACTCTATCATAGATACGTCATTTTTCTCTCTCTCTCTCTCTTTCGCCGTCGAGGCTTCTTCCTTCGTTCTTTTTTTTTCTCCGACGGCACCCCGTCGAGACGAGCTATATACATACACAACACACATATAACGCATAACTTCCCGTATATATACGATTTATAAAAAATATTTTATTATTACGTACAAGTTCGCTCGACGAAAGAGAGAGAGAGAGAGAGAGCTTATAGGTCAGAGAGCAGAGGCTCTATATAATCGATAACGAAACTTTGCAGTACGTTTGCTCTGTGGCCGCAAGCTCACCACCGCCGCCGCGCGCACGCACAAACGCGACAGAGATTAATTCGGCGTCCTCTTCCTCCTCCTCTTATACGCTTATACACTCGGCACAGAGAGAGATAATACCTACGCGGTCCTTTTTGCCGTGTTACATCCTCGAGTAATGTATAAGCGGCAGCGCTAATAGCACTTGAATACGCGACACACGTTGAATCGTTTGCTGCGTCGAGCAACGAAAGGTTGATAAATCTGCTCGCATTTAATCCTTTGTACGCGCACCGCAGCACGGATTTTAACGTCGAAATGGCAAAAGCCAAAAAAGGAAAATATCCCCAAAAGCTCGCTCTGGAGCTGCTGCTGCACGTTATAATTTTGCGCGCGACGACGACGTTATATATACGTTATAATGCATATAATACGCGTATTATGTACGTAGGAAAATCTGCTGCACGCTACTCCGCTACTCCGCTGCGTAGGTGCTGAATGTACGACGTGGGAACAAAGCTTCTCTCGCTCTCTGTCTGTGGCATCGTGAAAACCCTCCCTGGTATCGTCGTGCTTGTATATATATATACCTATATGGTATATACATATATATATACACACGGGGTTCCGGTCTGCTGGCGGCACGCGGCTGGCTCTTTCCTGTCATGGGTGTAGTGCCATCCGGACTCGTCGCAGCTCCGTCTGTCCTCAGCGGCAGCAGAGTTTCCACGGCAACTGGGAAATTTCGGTACATTCTCTCTCACTTGCTCAGAGGCTTATACTCTCTCTCTCTGTGTCTCTCTATATTCCTGTGTGCGAGCTTCTCTCTCTCTCTCTCTCTCTCTCTTTACCCCCCCTGGGGAGCTGTAGCGCTGAGGTTTCGCTGTATGAATATATGTATACCGAACACACACACACACAAACACATAGAGAGAGCCGAGGGAGAGATATCAACTTCGTTTGAGCCTAATTTCTTCGGCACGGAGGGCAACGATGAAACACCCTGATAATCCCATTAGTTGCCACAGTGAGCTGGGTTATGGATATATGACGGCAAGCGCGCGTTCATTCGTTCGATACCGTATTATATATATATCATACGTATACGCAGACTATAACGCACCACCGGATTTTTTTTTTTTTTTCATGTATAGGCGGGTGTGTGCACGGCGCGTGGCAGCTATACGCGCGTGTGTGTATAGGTATACATACGTTTGTGTGCGTGTGTGTGCGACGCTCTCACGAAATTGCTATGCTGCACTGCGCCTGCTATTGTTCCTCGATTTTTCACTCGATTTCGCCGAATTTCAAAGATCGACGAATTTTGCATTTTTAAAGGGCTGGAAAGCATATTTTTCTCTCGACGATGATTTATGCTCGGAGAGGGATTGGATTGATTTTTTTTACATTTTTAAAAATATCTTTCGACGAGTAGAGTAACTATTTGAAATGAGAGATTTTACGAGATAAAAGCTTTTTAGATATTAAAACATTAGCTTTTTACTTAATTTAAACATTTTCAAAAGGTCTAAAATAATAACACTCATACTAAATTCAATATTTATTTTAATGGAGTATATTTTATTCTCGTAACTTTTATCGTGCAAAAAAATACGACTTGAGTATTTTTTCCGTCAGTAATATTATTATTACAATAACGACGATGCCGATATCAAATGAAAATATCGTAACTCGAGAAAAAGCACATCGAAAAAATTGTATTCATATGTTTTCGTGACGAAATAAAATAAAAAAAAAAATACTGTCACCTAAAATTTATCGTCCAATTGTTTTGATTAATATGACCCTCGAAACGAACGTAATGGATTGTGATGCTGACTCTATTCGAAGCGAGCATAATTTGAAGGAGTACTTTTTACGCATGAATAATTATAATTTAGGGCGTCGCATGGAAATAAGATTTGACTCGAATGAAATATTGTCCATCAACAGTCCCTCGTTGGTCGCTTCAATTTTTTTTTGTTTAACAGTTAGTATAAATAATCATTTGCAACATATTCTTTGTTTAACATTTTCATTGCATTAAATTTGTACTATATTCATACTACTATTTTATAAAAAATTATTGTCATTCAAGCCAAAGCTCTAAAATACAACATTTAATTGAATTCGTAAACCAAACGCGTAATTTTTCACTTTTGATTCGTTCTAATGAAAATAAATCAATCGGATGTCCCCCGAATGAAAAAAAAAAAAAAATAATAATTTCGATCGTTGACGGGCGGCCGCGCAAAAAACTATTAGATCGTAAATTTGTTCAGTGAAACGGATTGTGTATATCGCCTAATGTTTGTGCCTTGACGCTCTTTCGACCTCATTGACTCGAGTCCGAGAGTCGGCCTTTCGGGAAAAGGACTTCGACGATTAATTCAAGTGCTTCACAATCTCGTTACTGCGATCGAATGGGGTGGTGCAGCAGCAGCAAAGGCGTAGAAAAGTGCTACTATTCTCATGAGACTCGCGCGAATGCGCTATCAGGGCGCCGACTGTTTGTGTGTGTGTGTGTGTTGTAAGCTTCCCCGCGTGTATCTTTTCATACATAAAAATACGGCGGCGCGCATATGTCACTCGTGTATTTAATCAGCCACTACTTAAAGCTTTTGTCGATGTATCTTATTCTCTGAGTATTTTCGCTAATACATTCGCCATTACGAACCAGTTTTAGGCGCAACAGAACGGCCCCGAAACAATCGATTACGGGGACACTTTTTGCCGTAATAAGTTCTCGTCGCTTAACATATGTTATCGTACATGCACTTGCATCAATTGTACTGATTTATATTAACGTGCATATAGAGAACATCGAACAAATGCAATGTTTAAAAAATGACAACAAAAATAACATAAATATATCTCTATTTTCTTTCAAATGTGCGTGTGTGTGTGCGAGCTACAAGCGCCGTTGTAACAATAAAAAAAAGACAACGACGTTGTTATAATATATATATCATGTGCAAAATGAGCTGTGAAATAAACGTGTGATAATTAACGCACCGATTAATGGAAGATACGGATGGTACATTATCTTGAGAACATATGCCTTCGGCGAGCAGTCGATCGCGTATTTCCCAAGCGAACATCGTGGGGTTGTCTCTTTTGTAGTTTGCTATTGCGTCGACGACCGGCGGCGTCGCTACTTTGGGCTTCGAGCCGCCAATGACGCCGGCCTTAAAACTTCCAGTTTCGTAATACCTGCAAAAAGGAGAGGAGGTTTAATGTTTATTGAGTCGCGAAGCCGAAGCCAAGCGAGCGAGCGACGATGTGCAATCGATCGCCGCGGCGGCGGCGGCGGCGGCGCAATGGTGTTGTACACCGAGACATTGGAAAGTCTTTGAAATATTTATGAAAAGTCGATTACAGGGAGATCGCTTTTGCGCTCTCTAACCTGAAAATATCGTGCCGTGATTTGGGCTAATGGTTTTTATTTGAAAAAGCATCAGTTTTAGATTGATTTTGAGGACTTTACTTTAAAGATATCGTATGGTTGATACTTCAACAAAAGTAGTTTGTTTTTTTTGAAATTATCTATGATATTGTGTGATCAATTATTTATTTATTACCTTTGATAAAATGAATTTTAACGAAACCACAGAATTTAAAAAAGGTTCGGTACGCGCGATAAATAAAAAATGTAATGTAAAAATGACTTCTAATTTTACTTCGATGAATTATATTCTTTCAGTTCTTACCTAGATAATATTTTAGATACACAGCCATGAGAAACCCTGAGTTGTCTTGAAATGTCGCATGGTCGGACCCCACTGTGAGCTAGCTCGACGATCCTCTGACGAACTACATCTGGCAGAGGTCGTCCATTGACAAAAACACCACCGAGTTGATTTACACCGCCATGACCTACAATAATTATTGATTTTTAAGGAGAACTGATTATGATGTTGTCAGTTAATGAACCACATCGGGTCGTTTGGTTTCATCAAAAATTTAAAAAAATTGTGGAAAATAAATTTTAAATAAATGTTAAGATGTAAGATTGTCGATTGTATTCTGCTGATCAAACATGGATACATTTAAAAAAAAGTTCAAATTAGAAATTAGCTGATAACTTGATTGTGTTCTATTCCTTTTTGTTTATGTTTCATAAATTTATTGAAACAAGTCATTGAAAAATATTAATAAATAATTAAATTTACTCAATGATAATCGCTGTATTTGAAGTAATTTTACTGCAAATATTTATAATATTTTGTATAATACATTTGTTCGTAATTCCTAATAAAACTAAACTGATACACATTCATAATTTTCAACTTTTAAAAAGAGTTTGAGTTTTCAACATACACATTGAAGAAGAAATACGTTTATTTAAAAATAAAACTTCAGTAATTAATTGCAAAGGCAGCTGCGACGTACATGAAACATAATCTTCATAAGCATATATTTGAAAATATAAGAAAAAAATACTTTTTATTCATCTATAATTTGATTAAAATTATTTTATACTCGCATTACAATATTTATATTCATGATTAGACAACACAAAAGATAATAAATAATATTGATAATCATTTGAGGCATCATGCAATCTTAAAATATAAAAAATGAAATATTATGAAACGGTAATTTTATTCATTCGGGGCTTTTATTTATAAAACTTTAGAAGATAATGCAAAGCTAAAAAAGTTTTTAGTAAAAAAATACATGAATAAATAAAAATGTATGATTTGCTTATGAAACGAAATTAATATAACGGAGTAGGAGGTCAGAGCGTGTCGTCTGAGGGGGCGTAGCCTCTTTTATATATACGGGCGATTCTCTTAAATTGAAATGATTTGTTTGTTATTATAGTAAAGCACAGAAATTTTCTTTCAGCGTCAAATGCATACTTAAATGATTATCACAGTTTTATATTAAAGAATACCCTGCGCAATCATATGAAATTAAAAATGTAGTGGTAGTTTTTCATTTAATTTTTAGTATGATCACCATAGAATGCGTTAAAAACTGCTTTTACTAACATTTTTTATGATTATTTTCACATTATTTTGAATCGGTATTTGAATTTTATCAATTTGAAGTCTAAATAATATCTCTGATGTGCAATTAAATGCAAAAAGTAATGTTTTTAAATACAACATGATTCTAAAGTCACAAAGAAAAAAAAGAAAAGAAGAATCATTGATTCATTTGATACTTTTGAACGATTTAAAAATTATATGCAACATTTTTCAAGTAATAAAAAAGACAAGAATCTTAAAGTTAATCTATGACTCCTCTTTTAATAGATACATTTGAGGTACTTTCAATAATAATTCGGCGTTTGGAATAGATACGCATAAACTTGAACTCTTTCGTTTAATTAAAAATTTTTAGTAACGTTACAAATAACTGCCTTAACTTCTTCAAGATACCTAAGGATATTTTTTACCTCGCTTTAAGCTAATACTGGTTGAACTATTATGTGTCGTACAATAGTTGAATCATTACTCTTGTCAAAGTATATGGATTTTTTATAGTTATACTCTTTCTTTATTTCTTTTCCCATAGGCACATAATCCTCTCCAAAGATAAATACTATCATCTACTCTATGGTAACCTTTGTAATTTTGTTTTTAATTTAAAATGAAAAATTTCTCAAATATTATATTTAACATTCGATTCTCATTTATCTTATTCAGAAGGTCACACATTCATACTTGGCTAGCTATATCGCGCTAGTTTCGCGTTTTGTTTACGATCTCTTATTTATTTTTAGCTTCGTTAGCAATTATTATTTAAATGAAAACAATTTAACGTCTAGCTCTTGCTTTATTTTTTTTGCGTGCAACTCATAACTGACGTCCCCGCCGCGAGTTGGAAGGAAAAAATAGCTATACATCTCGTGCGGATTTTCGGTGAGATGACAACCGTTGTCGAGTTCGCACACAGCGTCGCGAGGATAATTGAGCTCTCGAAAGAAGAAAAGAGGTAAAATGCCCCGCGTTTTATAACTGAAAAATATTGTCTTTATAATGAGAGTGCTCTAGTCGTAAAGCCTCTGCACACAGCTCTCGCCTTCGGGCAGCAGCGACGTTTGCACCGATGGGGCTTTTAAGAGTCTCGCGCTTAATGAAAATCGAGGAAGAAAGAGAGAGAGAAGAAACACGTTGACGCGCGATGAGAGGATACTCCAAAGGGGCTTTGCGGAGAAAAACAAATCGTGTGATTCGATTCTCTATTTTTCCCATCGATCGACATCGGTCATTCTTTTTCTCCTTTTTTTTTTATCTACGAAAGATCACTTGCTCGATAACCCGTAAATGTCATAACGAGATCGAAAATAGAGAGAAGCGACTGTGAGAACTTTTGCTTAGATTGTTTTTTGTCGTTACACTTTAAAAAAATTCGCTTACAAGTATAATATTCCATCATATTTTGGTTGTAGCGATAAGCCGTGCTGAGGTCCATAACACACGGCGCTTCGTGAGCGGAACACGCTGCTGCGGCCCCGCCAAACGTTTCGTTTCACTAGTTTATTACTTCGTAACGATTGTCACTTCATACGTGTTGAAAAAAAAAAAAACTGTTGGATCTCAACCACTCACAATTTTTGCTTTTTTTTTTATATCATATATACCACAAAATAACAGCAGCAGCAGCAGCAACAACAACAACAACTCGGAGCAACGGGCCCTGCGAGCCCGCTCTCCCGGATTTGCGCGCTCTTCTCGGGACGTGCGTGTCTATCACCCGCGTAATCGAAAATCGTACATCGAGAGAAAAAATCAAGAAACCGACCTTGTTTTCGTCGTATCGCGAAAAACTCCGTGAACTATAACAATCGACGAAGAGAGAGAGAGAGAGAGAGAAATCCACCACCGCGAGCACGCACACCACACTACTATACTACCACCTCGGGTGGGCCTCGTCGCTCGCGCGGATAAATAGCACACACGAGTCGGTCGGCGCGTCGCGCAATTGTAGTATATCTGACGGGGCGCGCGAGAGACGACCTTTCGAAAGTTTCACGTGATTTTGGTCCAGAGAGCCAAGCTCTAGAGTAGAGTTGAGAGAGAGAGACGGAGAGAGAGTCGATGATACACACACGCGGGCCAGCGGAGCCCCGCCTACTCGGCAGCCAGGCCAACCACCCTTAAACGGCTGGATTGGCGGAGAGGCGCGGCACAGATGAGCCGTTGCCCGGGGTAACGCGCGCGGGCTCACGGCCTAAATTTTCGTACTGTATACCACGTCCACTTGCTCTTGCTGTGTACTGCTGCTGCTGCCTAATGCGAGAGAGACAGCGAGAGACGTAGACGACGACGACGACGCACAACCTCGGGTAGTGTCGCGAGCTGATATTTTTTTCCCTCGTTCCAGCGATGAGTATAAGTGACCGACTCTCTCGCACACGTATTCTTGACTGCCGGGGCCCAGTAGCTCTCTTTCAGTATCATGCGGGAGTTGCTGCTGTACGCGAGCAGCACACGTTAATACGTATCTCGTCTTGTTTTCTGTCTTTCTCTGTCTCTCGTTCGTTCGACGGGTCCGAGGCCAGTTTTATACCGTGAAAGCTGCTGCGTCAGGTGAGCCGTGTATATAGCTGCGCCGAGAGCGAGAGAGAGAGAAGTTCATCTTCGTAACCGTAGTAGGCCGTATCGGGGCCCCCGGAAGATGCGGTCAGGCCTCGATGAGACCGAAGGCGACTTGCAAATCTCACAGGGCTCTTGGTTTACATTGCTATATATAAAATGCAATACCTTGGCTGGTAGATATCTATACTCGTTTATATTCATCTCGTTCGGTCATTCTAGTAATTTATAGAACGTAAACATCCGGTCGATACATAAATCGAGATGCCGCGGGGTAGTAAGCTCGTGCGAGCTTTTTTACGCGAATGTTGTTTCCATCGGGTGGCCTTGAACTCGACGCGACGCGTAACGCAAGATCGAACCAGGGAGATAGAATTTTTCAACTATGACACGATGATCGCGATCCGCTCCGTCAATAAAGCTGCTGCTGCTGCACTTTTGACTCGTTTCACTTTCTTACGTGGGAATTATTTTACATTCGGAACAATGAATGCACATTTGCCGTGCGTAAGCGTGTGCGAGCGCGCGTATATATATAGGTAAGTACGCTTGGAATGAATTCAAGCTCTACGATCCACGCTTTTTTCTCGGAGAGATGATATCTGTGTATCGTTGCGAATTGTAGATTCTAAATACTCGACATTAAAGGAGGTCTAATTACCAAAAATTTAACATTTGAAATGTTTTTGAATGTATAACTATAACGTTGTAAGTATCGAGTGCACTTTAAGTAAGCTAAAAATGACAATTTGTTCAGTTCAAAATATCCAAATCAGTTGTCAACAACTTTGAGCCTTCGCCACTAGATGGCGAGTACCTTTATCTGCACAAATCCGCAAGTGGCAACATGAAAATAAATAAGTATATAAATCGAAACAAGTTATTTTTATCTATATAACGTAGATTAGGAGGAGACAAAACTTAGCAAAAGCATAATTTCGATATGCGGAAATTTCAAACAAACTTTGTAAAGCGAATAAATTCAAGCGATTGTAACAACTTAGAAACTTATTTTTTGGAATGATTTAAAAAAAAAAATTATTAATCATCGATAAATTTTAACTATACGAAACTCTATCCTGCAGTTGTTACTTTAAGAGTAAGTTATAAATTAAATGTTAGCTTTCATTCGAAGAATTATAGGATTCAAAAGATTATTGTAGTTGTAGCCGAGCGTTGTGAAGGCAATAAATATATTCTATGAGATTATACTTGTGTCAAAAATAATATATCACAATAATAGTAGCATACCAGTCTCTTGTAACATAAAGTACAAAATACCATTGAAAATCATAAACTAATATTTAAAATGTATAAAATAGTAATTTTGCTCGATATTGCACGATAAGAAATACTTACCGCACGTATCGCAGTGTGGTAAACAGGAGTGACCTAATGTCGAGTCGCCTATTAAAGATAAATCTTTCGGTTATTTGTATTTTATAAAACGTGTGGTTCATGGGTTTGTGAATGAAAATGATTCGGAAAATAGATGGATTTATTTAGAAATATGTTATATCTATTTATTGGATTAACAAAAAAAATTAAGATGCCTAACATAATTATCAATCTATACAAATAAGAAAAAAGTAATAAAATAATGCATAGAATTGAAGAAAATCTCGAAGCTTTTAAAAAGCAAATTAAAATAGCACTTGTAGGGCAGCTACACACGAGTCCTCGGGTATTATAGCTATATCGTATAGATATCGAGATCCCCGCGCGCTGCGAGTGTAAAAGCCACCGCACACGCATTTTGATCGAGTAGTGGTTATATCCATTTGTGCACGGTGTGTCGCTTACGTATACCGTACACATATCCTACCCTCGCGCGGGCGCAAACTCTCAACCCTTTTTGCTTTTGGCGCGCGCGTGCACGAGGCGGCTATATAGTAGCTGCGCTGCGCATTTTCATGTGCGCGCGCGCGCGCGAGGACGAAGCGTTCGCTCGTTAACTCATGGTGGTGCTGGTGGCTCTTCAGCAAAAAAAGGGGACAGGGGTCAGTGTAGGGCGTGCTGCGCGCACAGTAGCAATAGCACATAGAGACGAGTCGAAAGTAATGCTCGAAAATTGAGGGCACTTATATTTGACTGAATCGTAATTAATAATGAATAGCTGTTGTGAGCTCTCGACGTCGCGTAATAGGTAGTAGGTATATCCTTTTTTTTTAAACGCGAACAGGTGACCTGAGAGATCGAATTTTAATACAGGCTGATGGTGCGGCTTTTGTGCAATGAAATGTCAACGGTAAATTTTTTTTTCTCCACGCTTTTGTTGTTATTGGTCTTAAAATCTATACGAAGTCTTCTTCTGTCGCTTTAGAGTTATAATCGCCGATGTGCCATTTTTTCTTGACGATATTGAGTTTTAAATTGTTCATTTCTTTTCATTTCTTTTTTACCGTGGCAAAATAGACTTTATTGTCTACATTTAATTTATTTGCAAAGAGTTACGTAAGTGTATTTTATTAAATACTATAACAGTATAACACGAACTAATACGAAGTTTTAAAGGTTTTACAGGCAACACTGGTGCAGCTAATAAGGCAAGCTGATGATTTTAACTGCAGACACGGTAAAACATTTTTAACGAGGACAGTATTAATCAAGCGAATACAGAACATATCTCCCTTTGATTGAATTGAAAAATCATTTGTTCAAAAATAATATTTTGTTGGATATTCTCGATTGTTAATCAAATTTCTGCGAGTTCTAGTACGTACAAAAGCTCAGTAACTGTACACAGACGGATTATTCATAGTAATATACAGTATGTATTGCTCTATATAGTTCGGTTATAACATTATTATTGATTTTTTTTCAAGCACGATTGACAACGATTTTCAAAATTTTCCCGAAATATCGTATCTAGTAACTGATTCCAGCAGGTTTGCTTTTGTAAAAAAATTAGGAAATGTTCAAATTATTTCATTTTGTTCATTTATGTAAAAAATGAATTGAAAATTCAATATTACTTTTAAACAAACGTGATTAATAGTTAATGTTTACTTTACTATTTACAATAGTATTAGCCTTTGTCAAACTAATATACACTGCTGTAATAATTTTATATATTATTTACAATAGTGTCGTAATTAAACAAAATAGAAAATGTAAAACTCATTTTTAACGCATCTGTTATGACGTTTGATAGTTTAAATTATTAAAAAACCGAGTCACTCATATTCAACCGAGTGAAAAATATCAAAGTTTATATCGCATTAATATTTTTCTAATTTAAACTGAGTTGAATGAATAATTATAAACTGTCTTGATGTTTGAATACTGTACAACCGAATTGATGTTATATTTCAAGTATCTTACTATTTTATCTGCATTTTGAAAATATCTTTGAATCTGTCAACATAACATTTGAAAAAACTAAATCTGAACTCAATTTTTTGTTTAAAATCGCCACGAACGTTACTTTGAAAGTTGATAACAGTTTATCGCATCGATATTTACAGTACAGAATCAGATGAATTAAATTTTTGCCTAGTTCCAGCTTGTAATTATTGTGAGTGAGTAGGGAAAAATTTCAAATTAAAATATAAGATCTAGTCTGCTTTTACTTTATTATTAACGGATATATACAAGGAAGGAAAAAATTTCATTCAGATACAGGTGCCACTCAATACGCCAAATTGTTACACCTGCTTTTATTGGTTACTCTCTCTCTTTCTTTCTCTCTCTATGTATGAGAAACGCGAACGCGATATCAAAAGTTTTGCCACTCATTTCCTGAAACGAAACGTCGGTGAATAAAATTTAAAATTTTTTTTCGAACCCTATTAGTTTTTTTACACGGTGAAAATTAAAGCATAATAATCAGAGCCTCGGCAAGTTTGTGCAGTATAGCTGTTTACTCGATGCAAGCATAGTTTATTTATATAAAGTAAAACTGCATAACAGCGATAAAGAAGCGAAAACTAGAGATTTAATTAGTTGCGACGTTTCGATGTTTGCTCTTGTAAAAGTGAAGGTATCGCTGAATTTTTATAAATTATCATAAACTATTTACGGGCGCTCTTGAGCAGGCAAAAACAATATTTTTTTACACTCTTATAGTGTTTTGTTGACTCGAAACTATTTTTTTTTTTTCACATCATACTCGACATAGTGAATTCTTTTCCCAAACAACGCCGCCGCAGACAATAGAGGCCGCGGGAGTTTCAACAAGGACGATCTCACGTTGTATTTTATTTGAGTTTATACCTATTTCATTTTCTGATATTATGAGATAAATATAGCACTTACACAACGTTAAAATACCCTTAACCTCCATTTCAGGTTTATTTAACTCAACACCTGAAAAACTAATCGCGTAGCGCCGGACAGCTCGATGCAAGTGTCTATATCGTTGGGTTTTGACAAGCAACAAGTGGCTTATTTTTCGTTGCATTGATGCAATTTTTATGCGGTTACCGTCAATTCAAATTGATTAAAATTAAACGCACGACTTTTATAGAAAAACTATTCGTTAAACGTTTTAAACTTTTATTTTTTCACAAAAGTGTTACAATTTTACAGGAAAAATAGATAACTTTTAAATAACGCGATGAACTACTGATTTTGACATTTGAAACACAATTTATTTGCTAAACTACAAGGGTAATAATGAATCAAGCTGCTTACTTTGCACAGCAACTGCCACTTCTTCCGTGACACTCCACTTTGATGACTTTTCATCCATCACAATTAAATGTCTACACTATTACAGGTGAATCACAACAGAGAGTACGTCACACGTTTTTATTTATTATTTTATTTCTAAATATAATAAAAAATACAAAAAGGAAAACTTAAAAAAAAATATTATATTACGAGTGCACGAGTAGAGTACAACAATAGGCTCTCGCACTCGCGCGCGCTCGCTCGCTCGCTCGCTCTAGTTAACTGGCCCCGAACCCGTAGGGCCCAAAGCAAACATTCGAACTACTACTCGGCAGCGAGCCGAGTCAAAGTCAGAGCGCGGCCAGTACACACAGACTTGCACACACTTACACAGGTACATAGAGTCCTACATGCGCAAAGATACTTACGCGCAATTCGCGGCGATTCCAGGTGGGGGGAGAGCGAGAGAATGACCGCCAACGTCCGATCATTGCACTGCCCACAGCAGCAGCAACGGCGGCGGCGGCGGCGGCAGCGGCTGCAAAGTACCTGTCGGCTTCGCGCGCGCCTCGGCGGTGGCAAGTAGCCTGAATTGTGCGCGCCTTATTTTGCTAGTCATGAAATTTACTCCAACAACAATCGCCCGAGTGTATGTGTGGGTGAGTGTAAATGTATGTATGCTTGTGTCGGGGGAGTAAAACAAATATATAGGTATATATATGCAGCGACAGGCCGCGATTTGTCTTTGCTTCTTTGACGAATTTTCACTTCTCTTTGGCTCTTTAGAAAATGTTATGAGTAGCGACAGACGTTATCGGTGTTGATTTGAATTAGAATCGAGGACATTTTTATATACCATTTTGATATTTAAGAAAATGCCGTTAAAAATCATAAAAATTGATCATCCATTATAGCTAATCGTAATGTACATCAATCGATATTTTATTATTTTACCATTTATTACGTAACGACGATCCCGACTCGATCATTTCGGCGCGCGCGCGCGTTAAATTCGACTCATTTCCTCTCAAACATCCCACTTTTTTGCTTGTTTCACGGCAGGTAGAAAATGAAGGAAAAAAAAACAGGTGGTCGCGAAGCCGCCTTGAATTTTATACACCTTACACGACTTGCAGCTATATAACACGTACTTTTTGAAGTCGATTGATAGTATACATCTATAACATAGTAGTTTTAAGAAATTTCGTCGGGGCCAACCGTCGATGATAAGTAGATAAATTTCAAGACACCGCATCTGCTCACGGATTAACTTATGGTTTTCATCTTGCAAAAAAAAAATTCTTATACCAAATTTCATTTGCAATCCATATAGTTGCACTGCAAAACGAGCATTAAAAGATGTATTAAATGCTATGTGTATATCTACAAAGTACGAGACTCGAGCGAGAGAGATGCATTAGGGTTGCCATGTGTCAGGCACTCAATTTAGCGCGTGCTTCTCGCGCGCGTTCGCTACTGTGTGTATGTATTATCTCATTAGTGGGTACTAAGCTGCGCGTCGTGTGCGTACCTTATACCTGCGTGCGTGTGTAATCCTTCAGCCGCTACTGCACACGCAGAGAGAGAGGAGAGAAATTTTATTGCATCGTCTGGGAAAGAGACGACGACGATGAGTTCTCTCGTTCGCGCATCATGGCCATTTTATTATATGCCTCGCGCCAGCGAAGGGCATATCTTTATAAATAATATAATAGTTTTAACCCGGAGATCTAGTATGAATGGGTCGTTCGCGTTTGATCGCGATTAAAATGTTTCTATATCAATCATTTTGTTTTCATGATACCGAGTATTTATAAGCGTACTATGTTTTTTACGTTTATTTTTAAATTAATTATTCAGCAGTGTTTAATTGACTCGTTGCGGACGTGTGTACATTTTTATTATTTCATTAGAGTGTATATTATATTTAACTTTATTGCCAATCGTTATATACGTCGTGTCAACTTTTAATATAACACAAACAGATTGAAAAACGAATGAGTAAAGGATAGATAAAAGTCAAAAGTTTAATATTTATCTCAAGGTGTGAATCGAGTGCTTCTAACATTCGAGATTCGAGAAAAAAATGTATGGTCAACGTGCATTTATCCGTTTGAATTTTGTTTAAAAAGTCATTCTTCAATTGTGAGTATTTGATAATAATAGGATCAACTCCAATTTGATTTCGCGACTGTCGTAACTTTTTTGTGCATCATTATTTTTTCCATAAGAGTTTTTGAATTATATGATCGTTTGGTGTTCGTAGTGTTTGAGAGACAATAAATGATCATCGCTTAAATAGAAATCAATTCTTTATTCTTTATTTATATCTTTATCTTTCTTACTTAATCATGATAAACTAGTCTTTCTTTTTCTTTGGTTTCATTAAATCGAATTCATTATATGGCTCGATAATAATTTCTCTTTGGATTCGCTGAAAATTACACACTAGATATAATATATCTTTCAAGTAAATCAGTTGCTCGTTATATTTAAAAATGCTTTATTTGCGAGGAATATCCACTTAATCGATTATACAATGAAAAATGAGTAGCATGCGATATCGGTGATAGATTGGTTAATAAGAATGAGCATTTAACTATTTTAATATAAATTCTGGCGCCCCCTAAAATTAAAATTATGTAATTCCACATTATGACGGAACACTTAACGAGTATACAAGTTTTTTCATGAACGATTTCAGGTTCCCTTTTTCCCTTTTTGGCGATCTCTTCATTGTAAAAATTAAAAAGCGATAAATTCGGCCCAACTTGTTGTCGTCGTTGTCGAACCGAGAGAACGAGTTGTTGCACGGATCTATGCGCGATCTCTTCTTGCTGCAGTCGTCGCTTAGAAGCACTTGCGGTGCACGATGCCGGGACCTGACTCGTCGTACTCCTGTTTGGAGATCCACATCTGTTGGAAGGTGGACAGGGAGGCCAAGATGGAGCCACCGATCCAGACGGAGTATTTCCTCTCCGGTGGGGCGATGATTTTGATCTTGATGGTGGACGGGGCCAGGGCGGTGATCTCCTTCTGCATGCGATCGGCGATACCGGGGTACATGGTGGTACCACCGGACAGGACTGTGTTGGCGTACAGATCCTTACGGATGTCGACGTCGCACTTCATGATGGAGTTGTAGACGGTCTCGTGGATGCCGCACGACTCCATGCCCAAGAACGAGGGCTGGAACAGGGCCTCGGGGCAACGGAATCTCTCGTTGCCGATGGTGATGACCTGACCGTCGGGAAGCTCGTAGCTCTTCTCGAGGGATGTGCTGGCCGCGGCGGTGGCCATCTCCTGCTCGAAGTCCAGGGCGACGTAGCAGAGCTTCTCCTTGATGTCGCGAACGATCTCGCGCTCGGCCGTGGTGGTGAAGCTGTATCCTCTCTCGGTGAGGATCTTCATGAGGTAGTCGGTCAAGTCGCGACCGGCCAAGTCCAGACGGAGGATGGCGTGGGGCAGGGCGTAACCTTCGTAGATCGGGACGGTGTGGGAGACACCGTCGCCGGAGTCGAGGACGATACCGGTGGTACGACCGGAGGCGTACAGCGAGAGCACGGCCTGGATGGCGACGTACATGGCCGGGCTGTTGAAGGTCTCGAACATGATCTGGGTCATCTTTTCGCGATTGGCCTTTGGATTCAATGGGGCCTCGGTCAAGAGGACCGGGTGCTCCTCGGGGGCGACGCGAAGTTCATTGTAGAAGGTGTGATGCCAGATCTTCTCCATGTCGTCCCAGTTGGTGATGATGCCGTGCTCGATGGGGTATTTCAGGGTGAGGATACCTCTCTTGCTCTGGGCCTCGTCACCCACGTACGAGTCTTTTTGACCCATACCCACCATGACACCCTGTAATTGGCGAAATCAAACGCAGAAAATTCACATTTAATCGTGTTCATTGCCAAAGTACGAAGTTGCAAGGCTAAATAGGCCTTATTTGCCTAACTCGCGTTACGTAATAAATGCTCTACTTTGACGCGAACGTGAGATAAAGTTCCATTTACACATGCAGTGCATTTTTGGCCAAAAACGTACATCGAGTTTTCGACCATTGTCATAGGCGCGTATATACACGGATCGAAAATAGAATCTCATCATCGATTGTACGGCACAGGGCACGTAGTATAGATCGTAATTTTGAGCCTAAAACTTTCGGCGCGGCTCTTAAAAATAGAAGTCGAAGCTTTTCCTACTCTGACCCGACGCGCGGCGACACGGTACAGGCAGCGCGCGATGAATCTCGTTTAACCGCTGGGCGCTATTGCCATAAATGGTATCGTCTCGGCGCGACAGAGAAAAGTCAAGCCAGGCTGACGACGCAGCAGCCGCCGCCGCCGCACGAGAGGCATCGAGAGAGTTGAATGAATCAATTCGAAACAATAACTCGTCGCCGCGGTAAAAATAGACACCCGAGTTTTTCGCGTGGATTTCTATATAGTAAAAGCCTTTCGAAACGACGACGACGAGGACGGATGAAGCTACGATTTTTTTTTTTTTTTTTGCTGTGATTCGCGGATCGAAATAGATTTTATTTTGAAAATACGAGCTACGATTTTTAGAAATAACATTTTTTTTCCGGAATTTTGGTCCAAGATGTACCCGAGATTTTTCTCACGCAGAGCGAGCGTTGAATGAATGTTGAAACTTTTGCTTACCTGATGCCTGGGGCGACCGACGATCGACGGGAACACAGCTCGGGGAGCGTCATCTCCGGCGAAACCGGCCTTGCACATACCGGATCCATTGTCAACAACGAGGGCCGCTACATCATCGTCACACATTTTGAATGTTTAATTTGGATTTACTGTTTACCTGGAAAATTCATAAATTGGATTATGATAAAAATTGTATGAAAGCTAACATTATTAATTAATTTTATGTAGAATAGGTTTGTAAAAAGTTGCTCTTTTTTTAACTGTTCTCCTAAAAAGTTTTATAGATAGCATGCATCGTGAGGATAATCTTACAATTTGAGTTATTCATTTTTTAATGAATTTATTAAAATGATTTGGCTCGTAAAATTATAAAAATTAGAAGATTCAAGTCGAAGCTATAAAATTTTTTTTCGAAATATTTTCCCACATTTTTAATTCTTTGTAACGTAATATGTAAAGTTTAAAAATATAAACCATTGCGTAAAATAAAAATTTGAATCTAAAAAAAAGTTTATTATGCAATGATTTCGAAGAAGCTTTTGGTTCGAATGGGGTAATATTTTCTTTCGAGTATTCAAATATGGTGGATAGTAATTTTCATTGAAAAAAGTCAAAAAATGTTTTAAAGTATTACAAAAACTACAGAATATACAGTTCAAAATATTAGATTTCTTTTTATAAATGATCTAAGACTTTTAAATTTTTGTTTTGAGTTTACGTTTTTTAAATCTCTCCCAAAATAGGTCAGAGAAAATTTCACGACCTCGTTCACATAAATAGTATTGAAAAAATAACGTTTAAAAATATCGAAAAAATCTAAAATCGTCCAGAGATTATACAATCGAGTCACTATCGAATTTTTTCACTTAAGTTAGTGGAAAACGAACAATTGAAAGGACATTTATGACATTAGAAAATCATTTTGTTAAATTTAATGGAATTTTTTTCATAAAAATCGTATGTATCGTAATCGAATTGCAAAACTTTTACTAGCAAAGTTATTATTTAGAAAGTTTAGTTGGGCAACGATTTTAGATTAAATTTTTCAGTTAGAACTTATTCTAAAACACTCTAGCATTTTGCCCGAGACGGACTTTTTGAATGAAAATTGCTTCTAATCATGCGAAATGGTACTTCGTTTATTTCATGTCCCATAGAAATTTTAGCACGATACTTTTAATTGATAAAAAAAATAATAAGCAGATGAGTTAACGAGTAGATAGTTAATTCGTCTTTTGAATATTTGTAACTTGTTAGTATGCACATGCAAGCCAACGGACCCACGAAGGGGCTTTTATCACTTATTACGGCACTTTTTTTAAAAATTAGAAAGAACACACTGCAAATACTCAACGAATACGATCGCTCGAAGGCAAAAAACGTACGGGAACGATTTTCAGATGCGACAGTTAGCGTGATTCGCGACTCGACTGAGAATATATTAGCGAGAATCGGCGTTATATACCACGCTTCGTACCTTAATAAATTTTTCAAGCGCTCGACTCGAAGCGTAGCCAATCGTTCGAGAGACCGTTGAGTAGAGAATGACCAGAAGTTACGGTTCTGGGGGTCTCTTATCCATATTGGTTGGTTCTTAAAATAGCGATTAGCTTGCCTTACATGGATATCTCTCTTACTTGGCGAATTTGTATTTTCTCTCTCTCCCACTTGTTTTCCCTTTCTTGTCCCACGAGCATAATAGTTCGAATGAAATTAACTTATTTGAGCAAATGAAAAAGTCGTACACGTCTCGTCAGGGGTGAGAATAAAAAATAGAAAAATTGTTGTTTTTTTTTCTTCGCGATATCTTATAACAACGATCGTGTCGGCGTCGGCCGGTTTTTATTTTATTTCGAGGCTTCGAAAATAATTATTGAAAAATTGTTGCGCGTGAAGAATATCGGCGAATATTTTTATATCGATTTCGTAATATCGTAAATTAAGAAACGTATTACGTTCATTGAAAAATTCGTAGTCGCTTTCATCAAAATGATGTATTTTAAATAATGAAGCAATTATCGATTTGTTCCAAATTTTTGAGAAATAACTATTTTAAGATCTGCTGAATTTTTTTTTTTTTAGTAAAAACTTTAGAATTTATACAAGTTATGAACTTTATTTGAAATAAAAAATTATTTAAAGTTCAGCAAGTATTTGAAGTTTTTTTTTCGACTTTTAAATTTTCGTTTAGCTATAACACTTTATGAATATAACTTGTTTTGGTATGCGTATACTCTCTTTTGACAGTACATTCTCCCATCTACTTTACATGCAATGAACAAATTTCAATACATATTACGCAAAAACAATCGTCTTGAAAGAAAATTAAGTAAGAACAAAAGTATGTAATTGATTTTTCATTATATTCGAGTTTTTTCACTGAAAAAGTCAATGAAAAATAGATAATTTTGAATTTCATAGTTCCCTTTTGCTTTAAAATTGCAGGAACTCTTTAATTTACTGTTATTTTTTATTAATCTTCAAAGTCATACTATATCTGACACCGAGTTAAAAAATTATTATATTATTTTTCACGAAGAAAGAAGAAAAAAATGAGAAAACTCATACAGTCAACATTTCTTGTCATTTAATTTTTGATCTACATTGTACTGACTAATATAGGAAGAATCGGAATTATATACAATAATAATGATAAATTCAAAAAATGGAATGTCTTTTAATATTTCATAAAAAATAAATTTACATATTTGTATAAAATTTTTAATTTATCTTTAAAAATATGAATAAAATTATGGTAGAAATTACGATGAATTCCTATGAACATGGGAATAATTTTGATATTAACAAAAAATATCATTATATCGATGAATTCAGTCGTAATTTATTATTTTAAGCAATTTCCCTTTATCATGTTCATTTCATTATTGGCATAGTGGTTGCCGATGCAATGTTAGAGCTATCTTCAGCCCGCCACAACTGCGTCACAGTCTTTGGTTGAGTGTAAAAGTTGATGCCCTGCAAAGAAGTAAAAATCATTAATGTCAAGTAAAATTAATACATTTCTTTCTAATAATTAGTGTTAGGACTAAGATTAGTTTAAAAGATTAATATGAATGAAACAACTCACTTGTTTTCCATAGAAATGATTGTCTCCAAAGAAGGACTTTTTGTTACCAGTGAAGCTAAACATAGGCAGTGGAACTGGAATTGGAACATTAACTCCTATTTGACCAGCCTCAACTTTGTTAACGAAACTTCTGGCAGAAGCACCATTTGTGGTGAAAATTGCCGTTCCATTTCCATATGGGTTTCTATTGATTAATGCAATAGCTTCATCCAGCGTATCGACTGAAGTGCATAAAAGTACAGGGCCGAAAATTTCTTCTTTATAGCATTGCATATCAGTCTGTAAAAAAATTTACATGAATACAAATTATTGATGATTCAAAAATATAACTATAAAGAAAATTTGTAGATCGATGACATACTTTTACGTTTGAAATAACTGTGGGTCCAACGAAGTAACCATTTTCATATCCAGGTACTTTGATGTTCCTTCCATCGAGTAAAATTTCAGCACCTTCGTCCGCACCCGATTGTATCAACTTCAAAATTCGTTGTTTAGAAGCAGCCGAGATGACTGGACCAAGATCAGCACCTTTGACGTGTCCAGCATTAACGTTTAATTTCTTTGCCGCATTGACGATTTCACCGATCCATTCTTTGGACTGGCCCACAAAAACAACGACGGACAGAGCCATGCATCTTTGTCCTGCGGCACCAAAGCCAGCACCGACAATCTGCGAGATGGTCTTGTTCTTGTTGGCGTCCGGCATGACGATACAGTGATTTTTGGCGCCGTTGTTGCATTGGACTCGTTTGCCATTTTTGCCACATCGATCGTAAATGTGGCTACCCTATACAGAGAAAATTCAGACGGTCAAGCAGTCTTTTGGATGATGGGTTATTTAATTTACTTACGGCGGTATCGGATCCAACGAAAGATACAGCCTTGATCTCTGGATTGTCGCACAGGAAGTTTACGGCCTCTTTTCGGCCGTGAATGATATTCAGCAGACCTGGAGGGGCTCCCGCTTTCCTGAAGAGATCAGCCAGAACCATTGCCGCGCTCGGGACTCGCTCGGACGGCTTGAGAACCATCGTGTTTCCGCACATGATACTAATGGGAAAGGTCCACAGGGGGACCATAGCAGGAAAATTGAATGGACAGATGGACGCCGTCACACCGAGAGGGACTTTGTAGGAGATGGTGTCCATGTCCGTTGATATGTTGTGCATGGACTCTCCCATCAAGAAACTCGGCATACCAGCGCAGTGATCGACGATTTCTAACAAAATTTAATTTAAATCAAAATAAAAATAAGAATAAAAGTAAAAAATATTTAATAAAAAAAATAAAAATAACTTACGAAGACCACGTAAAATGTCTCCCTCGGCATCGGCTGTAGTTTTGCCATTTTCTTCGACCAATATTTTTGTAAGTGGTTCCTTTTTTAGAAATCAAAAGATTATAATCGTGAATTACATTTGTTCTTCGCTAATAGATTATCTTTACGTCATACGACATCTTTTCATACGTACAAAATTTTCACGAATCAAGGCTTGATATTTGAGAATAAGACCTTGTCTTGTCATTACGCTGGATGATTGCCATGTTTCGAACGCTTTTTTAGCACTCTTAACTGCATTTTCCATTTCTTCCGTGGTCGCGTCCGGTGTTCTACAAACGACTTCATTTGTTGCTGGATTATGTACATCGGAAAATTCTTGACTCTTAGATTCTGCAACGATGTAAGTTTATTATTAATTTATATTTTTTCTAAAAGACCATGAAATGCTATGAAATTATTTATTTCAAACGTTAAAAATTGTTAATCAAATTTTTTTATAGAACTCGAACAATTTTACGTATACAAGTGACAAGCTTTTCAAATTTTACTAGAACCTATCATAGTTCAAAAAACTTTCAACTCTTGTATCGAATCATTTTGGGGTCGATCTTTAGAGAATATTATAAATATAGAAAAATGTTTTTATAACAATATATAAATTTGAATATGATGTAGAAAAAACTCAGTTTATCCCCACCCACTTAACTATACTGTTATTAATGCCACGTATGTACATTCAACTCAGGTAGAACCCCTACTACACTATAGATACAGGTTTTACATAATGTTTATCTGCATTTGAATTTTAAAATCAGCGGAAATTGGTTATATTTTAAGCATATTTGAATTTTGAACAAAAAATTACCAATGAATTCATTGTCAATGAATAATTTTACAGTCCGGGCATTACTTGAATAGCAACGACATGATAACTGAACCTGTAACATATGGAATTTATTCTTAATCTTTATTAAAATATCAAAATTGTAGGTTCATACATTACAGTATTTTGATACTCAATTTTGACCTTGAAGAGATGCCGAAACCTTAACTAAAGTTTGAAATTTTCAAAAGCCTTTTTTTAAGATTTCGATTAAATATATTTTTTAAAGCTACGCATATTTTTAAATTTGTTGGTTTTATAGATATTTATATTAAAAATATATTTTAAAAATATATTGAAAATTAAAATCAGAAAGTTTTTGAAAATTTTTATTTTTAGCCTAGCTTATCTAAGTGTCACTACCCTTAAATAATTGAATCTATTAAATTTCAATCATGCACTCTGGATCAAAAAAAAATTATCGTAATCATTTGACAAAAAAAAATGATGTGATATGTTTTTGATACGGGTCTGTTATACATTCACGTATATAGTTGAAAGTGTAGAGTTATGAAGTCAAGTTCGGAATACATGAAGAGTGACTATGTAAATATGAAAGTATCTTACGATATACTTTCAGTGTATTACAAAATTATCATGTGTTATCCTTAATTTTGAATAAAAAGGATCAAGTGTAACGACATGTGCCACATTATAATATGATGTGATAAATGAATATTATACAATATTATGAATATGTTTACAATTTTTCACGTTAGAGTAAAAATTATTGTAAAGCATGGTAATAATTATTTGTTTATTCCTTAAAAATTTTCTTCTATCGTGTATAAACGAACAGAAATTTACAGTAATCCTCAAAATCACCATAAATTGTCAATAACATAAGTTTGGGTGATTAAATAGTTTAGTTATTAATTGATATGTTGAATTTTATAAAATAAATACACACTCTTACCTGTCTATACAGAATTTCCCTGGATAAATTTAACATTTTGACGATAACGAAAATCCTTAGAAACTTTGTTTAGATAATTTTTAGATAATTGAAACGATACACCGAAAAATATTTGTGAACCTTGAAATTTCTTTTCCGTTCCGTAACAATCTTACGATACTCTTCACCAATATATATACGTGTATAGTCGAATCGTTTTCATTTGATAACATAAAAGGGACTTCATTGAAAGTTCCAGTTAAATAATACAAAATATTACTTAATTTTTTTCCTAAAATTATGTTACTAATTTCTGAAATGCATAATACTATATAACTTTTATTTTACTTCTAATTTTCTATTTGTTTTCATATTTATGACTATTAAATTTATAGTTTATATCAATTGTAAAATATTGTTTTTGTAGTTTTTTTTTTCTTGAGAAATAAATTTAGAGTTTACTACATTTAAAATTGAGGTCATTCAAATGTTAAGCAGCGTTTGTTAATTAAAACACAAATTATGGCAATAAAAAAATAATATTTATATGATCAACATACAACTATTTTATAATTTATTTAATTAAAATAGTCAAGGTAAATAACAAAGTAAATATAAAAATATAAAAGACCCTTAGATTACAATTTTTTCATCCCAATACATAAATTGAATATAATTAAATTTGTTTAAATTATTTCAATTTAAATAAATCCATATAATATCGATTTTTATGATTAGAAAAAAATACGTATTTCAAATTGTAGGTTCTACTGGTGTTCAATCCATTGATATTGAAATACTTAATCCTATACAAAAATATAGAATTAGCAAAATAATTAAAAGTAGATAATTTGTATAAGGATAAAAACGAATTTATCAATTTAAAAATTCGATGTGTTCAATAATGCCCGGTTACTAGTGTTAAACTTAAGATCATGAAGGATCCATTATGGGTATAACAAGTATCGTGAGTAGCGCTACTATTAGTCAAATTTTCTAAGAATTTTAATTAGATTGAATCACTTTTCATAAGGCATAATTCTAATTTAATGTATCGTATCTTTCTGCAACTGCATTTAAGCTCCATGAGTCACAATGTATTAAAGGTTCAATTGTAGAATAACTTATAATAGCACTGCAGACATTTCAACTTTATCAAGCATGTTTTGATCTCGTATAAAAAATCAGTGTAAAAAATATACTTTCATTTAAAAAATTGCTATATTTTTCAAATTACTTGTAATGAAGTTGATGAGCAGTTTCGAAATCAATTTAAATTAGTATGAACAAGATAAAAACAGATTTTACAGCACTGTAACCTGGAACCACCACTTCGACGCTACTTACAAGCTCTCGTACTATAAAATATTGTAGGTGCAACTTGAGTGCATATCTTTTTTCAATACAACTCGGAACAGCGCTCGCTTTCAGTTGCGGTGTGGGTAACTCCTCGTTCAGCGTAAAAAGCCTACGCACAACCGATGCATAGAGATACTATTTTTTCAGTTATCAGCTCATTTGCTGATTTATTTCATATAGTTTTTGAGTCAAGAGAAAATAAGAGTCGAGTGGTGGGTCTCCCGTGCGGGCATGACCACGGATTTTTCGTTTCGCTCATTTGATTAATAAGTTTTCTCATTTCTTCTTGATTTAGAGTCTTTCCTATCATCACAGCTGTTCGGCATGCTTTCGATGCAAACAGCGCCCTTACTTTCGATGGTCTAATGATTTTATCAATTGAATCACCTCCATTTTCTCGAATTAAAAAAATTAGTTCTTCCATATCTTCAAAGCCTAGCTTACGTTTGTTGACGCATGGTATGCCAACTAAACTAACTCTCGAACCTGGATTTTCTGGAACAAAGTAAAGATATTGATAAATGAACTATTGTTATTATGATTATATGCGGGAAATTAAATCAGAAGTTTTTAGGTAATTTTAGAAACATTTCTATTATTACCATCTTCGTTAATATTGAAATAGAATCCATTCATTTCAAACATTTCTTTATTATCTATGAGAACGCATTCATCGCTGATGGGCAAAAATACGGCGTTTGGAGTAATCAGTCTTTGAGTTTCAACTTTATTATTGTTGATCAGTTTTTCAAATCGAAATTTTTCATCGGTAGCGTGCTGATCAATGATGTAGATGTCTTCATTGAGTCTTGCCAAAATGAATCCTAAATTGAATTGTCCAATGATTTGCATCTGAAACAGGTAGGAAACTTCGTGATTATGCAAAATATCATGCTAGAAATATATCATAGATATAAGAAAGTATTATATTATTTTAAATCACACAATTCTTTGTTTGGATCAAATAAAACAAGATTTGTTTATCCACGTATTTTGTCGCATCTACTTTGCGGTCTGTCAAGTTCCTATTCGACACAATTTTAGACGGCAATCATTTTGTATGGAAAGTACAAAGAACATCGATATGTTACTGTCTTTATCTGCTCAATTTATTACACAAAGTAAATTTACAAAACTTACTTTTAAGAATGATTCTTTGTCCAGCATTTCATTGAGCTTTGTCTCTTGATCCGAAGAACTCAATTCGGTTTTGAAAGTCAATTTTTCACTTAATTTTTGATCGACCAAAGTTCCCATCTTAGATTTGATTTTGTTCAAACTAATTGGCATCACTGTAAAATTAAGAAGGCATGATTACTTTGTAAAAAAATTATTTTTTGCAAATTGAAGATCATATCGAATAGAGTGTAACTTTCACTTAAATTCCCTCTTGATCTGTAGATATTTAAAAAATCTATCACGCGATGCAAAATTTATACAATTTTTTCGATTTCAAGGTACCGATGGTTTTTATATTAAAAAGATCATTTATAACACCATATGAAGGAGCTTACAGAAGAGCTTATCAACGATTATCGATCGTTCAAACTCTCTTACGCAAGCGCTTGATAAATTGTTCAAATCTCCGGGTCTTAAAGTTTTTGCCCCACTTATCGGGAATCGAGCCACGAACACTCGATAAACCGAACGCGTTTCAAGGTCGAGCATCATCGGCTTTTTTTACGTGACGGGGCCATAACTTATTTAAACTCGTCAACTGTCCTGGGTTCAAGAATGGCGGGAAAAATTTTAGCGGGAATGAGGCTTTTGTATTGCATTCAAAGAATACGAAGCCCCGAAAAAACGTATTCGAATTCTATAATAAATCAAATTAATTTTTACTTTTTTGAAAAATAATGGTTTTCAAATTCTTAATCGCGAAATGTGAATGGTCTTCATTTTCATTATTACCGATTAGATATTAGGCAAACATTTATAAAACAATAGTTACAAAAATTAACAATAATATCATAATGTTTCAACTTTTAGATAAGTTATACCAACTTTTTTATAGTCTAGAATAATTCATCAAATTCATTCCAAAAGAATATATTATGCTGTAAAAAAAATTTATTACTCTCAAAATTTAATCATTACCTTTTTCTAAACGGTTTTCAAAATTATAGTCACTTTCTTCCTCATGAATATTAGCATCATTTTCATTCTGAGAATGCAATTGATCGTCTATTCGATTCTTTTGACTATCTTCACATGATTTTTCTTCCTCCTCAATATTACTATTATTTAAATTTTGAGAACATATTTTGTGATCCATGTAATCATCTTGGCTATCCACATATGATTTTTCTTTTACTTTGAATTTATTTTTAAAAGATTCTAAAGATATTTTTTGTTCTGACTCTTTTTTGATTATATTGGGATGAATATCAAGTAATGATTTTTTTGTAAATGTTCTCTGCACGTTATCCCAAATTTTTGTGAAACTACTTTTGATTGTGGCAAGAATAATATTTTCCTGGGAAAATAAAACTGTTCTTTTATCAGGCGTAACATTTATGTCGACACAGCTAGATTCCAACATAACATTTAAAAATACAAATGGATATTGTTTTTGATTATATTCGTGATAAATTTGATTAATAAGTTTTATAATTTTTATGCTATCGAATGGTCGATTGTTCACAAAAAGAAATTGTCTATCTGATGCAGCACGTCCTGAACTATGATTGCAACTACTAACAAAACATTCCCATGAAAAGTTTACTACTACGTTTTCTGGTAAACCGTATTCATGTAAAATATCTGCTTCTGGTAATTGTAATTCTACCTCTATTAAATCCTCTTTAGCCTTCCTTCCAAAAATTGCTGATATATTTTCAAGTACATTATTCGTAGCACTAGTTCCCACAATAGTTTTACATTTATTAGATATGGTATTGGTACAAGTTATTTTAACACCTGTTGATACCATACAATATCCTTGAAGAACTCTAATCATTTTTGCAAATTCTTTTTTTATATTATCATTGAATTCTTTGAACCTAACAGGCAAGTCCTTAAATATATTTTTTACGTGTACTGTTGTTCCAGTTTGTCGTGCACATTTGGTCTGAGAAACTAAGACCCCTTTTTTATCAAACTTTAAATTAAAAGCATTCTCAGCACTAGTATGTTTTGTTATAATTGAAAGATCTGAAATAGAACACAAAGAACTCAAAGCTTCTCCTCTAAATCCAAATGTTTCAATAGTTGATAGATGGGAAAACTCTTGAAGTTTAGACGTATGATATTTTAAACCTAAGAAATCAGTAAAGAGTTTAAATCAAGTTTTTTAGAAAAATAATTTTAGAAATTTTTATGTAACATTTGTGAACTCAAAAAATATCATACCAATGGAGCTAAAATCATCCTCTAAAATACCTTTCCCATTGTCAATAACAGTTATACAAGATTTTCCATAGTCAGTTAATTTGACATCAATAATAGTGGATTTACCATCTAAGCTGTTTTCAACTAATTCTTTGACCGCAGTTGCTAAATCAAGTATAACCTGCCATAATTATAAAATAATGCTTTTACAAAACATCTGTCAATCATTCATTTTTAAATAAAAACATAATAATATTAGCTCATACTTGGCCTGAACAAATTTTATGAACAACATTTTTGTTTAGCTGTTTAACATTATTTGAAACACTTTCAGAGGTATCCATTACAATACCACAAAAATCAAGTATTTATAAACAAATTTATTAAGATTGTCGTGGTTGTCAATTCAAAAGAACCATCTAAGATGAAAGACAATGTGAATTAAAAATAGTTGTTTTGAAATTTGAATTTCGAGATTTACTTGTTAAGATGAGTTCACATACTGCAAAAATGAGTGAAAATCCGCACTTGCTAAAATTTCAACTTATCGGTCTGAGTATGTAACTGAAATAAAATTTATAGATCACGCACAAAAAATTTCAAGAGGATTTCATTCTGTAACTGATGGTAAAAAATAGAATCTTATTTATATTAATCAAATTTTTATTTATTTAGATATGCAGCTTCAAGACACTATTTGACAATTCGATTCTATGACAATTAATGATGCTGTTTTCTTCAACTTTTCATTGTAGATAAGCTGAAATTTTCGGGTTATATCTGTCTGCTCGAAGTGTTGACAAAGATTGAGTACACAACATTTTTCGCGCAGTTAATTCACTAGTATACTTTATTAATCTCCTCAATTTATATGCACTTTGTTATTGGAAGATTTATGTTTCATATTTAATGTCACAAGTCAAATGAATGGCTATTCACTAACTCAAATAATATCATAGCTTACATCATGTCTGGAAAGTGAGTAGAAGAGTGGTTTTAAAACAAACGCATGTTGTTACCTATAATCAATACATCTTTTTTAATAAATTGAATTTTAGTGATGATACTTAAAATGATGATGACTCAAATATAATGTTATAATGTTAAACTGTAAAATGATTATGTTGTTTTAAAATGTCCAAGACGACACAGAGAGTAATTATATTTAATATTGTTTTTGTCTTGATTTTTATTATTTTAATTATTATCTATTTAATTAACTTGTTAAATTTTGTAATACATGACTTTCAAAGAAATTGCTCAAAACATCTAAATAATGAGTTCCACAAATTATCAAGAATTACAAATGAGTCTAAGCACAAAAAATTGTTTCAATTTTTATTTGAAATGGTTTTTTCAAAAACTCTCAGAAAAAAAAATAAGTAAAGTCTTACTGTCTGTAATAATGCTCTTATTTCTATGGATCATATATAATTTAATAATCTTCTGATTTTTAATAACTGAATTGAATAATTGAATATGGATAACATGCTTTGGTTAATAGTGAAATGTAGCTCATTTGGTTTATATTGAATGAAACATAAGCTATGTGACCCCAATGTCCAAAAACAGAATGTTATTGCTCAGAAAACATACTATCTATGTTTTCCTTTTAGAGTAATAAGTAACATTGATAATTAAATCCAATGTGACGTAGTGTGCGAATGCTACAAATATGAATTGATGAACATAAAATTATTGAATGAGTTCACAAGGATAAATTATCATTTTATGAACCAATTTACCAGATGAGATTCCTCAACTAGAGTAAATGAAACATTTATTACTCTACTATTAGTGAAAAAAACATATTTTTTAGGTTTTCAGCTTTGAACAATGACGAAGCAGTTCAATCAACTAACGATGATGCTTGTGGTTGTAAATGTAGTGCAGTAAACCTTGGATATTGGAAGGACAGTTATGTAAATTATTTTGTTAAGCGTTATGACAGAAAACCACCAGAAATAAATAGAGGTTATTACGCCAGGGTCAAAGGCATCGAACATTTGGTTTCACAATGTCTTCAGGTTAATGATTTTTTTATTGTAAATTGGCATTCTTAAATGGTTCGTTCTTCAGAAATCTGTTACTTATCTATAAATCACTTTCCTAAGATTTCCAACAAGGTAAACTTATTGGTACCATAAAATTTGAGAATAATTTTTTACTCATTCTCATTTCAAATTCTCAGATTAGTAGAAATTTGAAGAATGAACCAAGTAGGTCTTGATTATGATGTTTTATGCAGGAAATATAATAATACATAGTAAATAAATAATGAAACATCATAACTAAATTTAACATTAGTATGAATGGTGAGCAATAGAGAAAGTCACCCTCAACAAAAATTATACATGAAATTTTTCTATTAGGCGCTAAATTATTAAGTTTACAACAAATAAACCACGACCAATCAGGTGTGCCGATCGACATGGCTATGGCCGCATTCCTGACCCAACTAACTCTGTATAAGGACTAAAAAAACAATGCAGGTGCCGCAGCTGATCGCTCGCATTAAATTATCGGTATGCCCCCAGCAGTCAACCCAAATATTCAAAGAAAATAATAAATAATTAAGAAAATATTCATTTTTATGAATAATATCGACTAATTAATGAAAGAATACAGTAATTATATTACGATTATGGAAAAAAAGATTATATATAATCAATTGAATGTTATTGCAACAACCTTTATTAGTTGGGTTGTTTTATTTTAAATGGTCAACTATGGCAGCCAAATTGTGCTTAGCTCTACATAACGCTGCATTTAACTTCTTATGGTCGCACCGAGAGCAATTTAAGAATACTGGTGTCCCTCACGAGTAAAAAAACGTTCGAAAAATCGACTGCCTTCAATTTGGCGATCAACCCAAATTGAGCATGTTTGACGATCAGCCGATACACGATATATTCGAAGCATTCGATGTTCGTGATTAACAAGTTGGTATGTAGTTGTCTCGGTGCTGCGATAACTGAATCATTGAAAACTGCATTGATAATGAATTTTAATGTAAATCTAAAAGAATCATTCAATAATATTCGAATATCTAGTCAACAAGTAATGAAACATAATTGATAACTGACATCCGGTTTAATATATAAATCTTATGCGGTATGTCAAATTATTTTTACAACTTGGTCATGACTCTTCGTGCGAGTGAAAATGAATTTTAAAATCCATTTTTCGATATCCAGGATCTAAATCTTTGATCAATCAGTTCCTCATCGCTTCCTGCACCCAATGGCGGCCAGGCTCGACGTATCGTCAAATTCCAGCGCCATCAAACAGAATTTTTTAGTGCTTTAAACTTTGCACTAAAACGTGAAAATAATATGGTCCATATCAGTTGGATGATGATCTTCTTTTTTCCCATATCTTCCAATGCTCGTGAGGATGATCTAAAAACACTGTACAATACAATTTTCAAGGCATTCCCGAAAGTTTGAGTAATAAATAAGTTGTAATTCATCGTACAATTTTTGATGCTCAATTAAAAATTATACTAATATTTTTTGCTCAGAGTGACTTGCTCTATCCGTACTATAAATATCGTTACTCAATTACGGGACACCCTGTATTTTGTATTTCAAGCTATAAACTAAGTTTACTAGCACACTGCGATCCAGAAACTCGGGTTTGCTTAAAAAGTCTTTTAATATAATGTCGCATGTACCATATTTTGAAAGTGATTTGTTTGAAATCTCAAGCACGGATTTCCGGCGTTATTGATAAATTACTTGCATATATTTATATCTAATTATTGCGTTGTTTCACAACTACTAATTTCACTAGTTTGCGGATAAAAAATCAGAAAGTTTTAACTTCTCTTTAATTATTATAGAATGAAATATCTGTATCAATAATACCGCATTATATTATCTAAAAAAATCTGAAGTAGACCTGAATTCTGGTAGTAAAGCGATTCCCTGAGTTTTTTTAAAATTATTAAATTTTTAATTTAGGCTTCCAAAACAGAATGTCAGATCATAAGTTTTGGAGCAGGCTTTGATACGCTATATTGGAGATTAAAAGAATCTGGATGTCCTTTCAGTAAATTTATAGAATTCGATTTTCCTATTATGACCTCCAAAAAGCATTTCTTAATTAAAAAACATAAACAATTGTCGCAACATCTACAATTCAAAGGTAAAACATCATATAATTAACCGCTATCAAATATAAAGTATTATAAAATTGTTTTAGATACAGACGATAAATCCGTTTCACCTAATTTATACACGGCGGACTATTTTCTTATGGGAGCAGATTTGAGAGATTTAAATTCTATTTCTAACAAGTTAACTTCCGTGGGTATAAATTTTGATCTTCCAACGATATTCATAGCAGAATGTGTATTAGTGTATGTCGATGTTCAAGCCATTTCGAATTTATTGAAATATCTCGCCAAGTCATTCAGCGATTGCATTTTTATTAATTACGAACAAGTAAATTTGAACGATACGTTCGGCAGAATTATGCTTGAAAATTTGAGAGCCAGGGGCTGCATGCTGCCTGGTCATGAAGATTGTGAGAATTTGGACAGACAAAAGAGCAGGTAAATTTTTGAAATCATTTCTTATGCTATTTTACGATGCGCGTGTTTTGCATTTTACGCACACTGTGCGCAAAAAACTCACTTCTATTGGCGTAGCTAACACTAACGATGACTTTTTTTTCTCGAACGCCAGTACGTAAAATGCAGGCAAATAGTGTCACAAAAAACTATTGATGAATCGTCCATCGATGTGTTTATTTAAAAATCATTGAACCTTTCCAATAAATATTTTGTTTTGTATTAATTACCCTCTTAAAACTTCAATGTACTATTTTCCACCGTAGATTTACTTCAAATGGGTGGGATGGCGCTAAAGCTTGGACAATGGTAGAAATTTATAATTCGTTCATGGAAAACGAAAGATGTCGCATTGAAAGCATAGAAATGTTAGATGAAAAAGAACTGTTGAGTCAACTTTTGGAGCACTACTGCATTTCAGTCGGTTGGAAAGGCGGTTCATTCGAAAATATATGCATTCAAGAAAAAAGTTAGAAATGTAAAGTTACGAAAATTTTTGTACATAAATTATAATAATATTATCATATGTTATAATTCATTAAATTATTTTCTAAAAATTATATGATTTGTTACTTATTGACTTCAACGAGGCTTCAGCGTCTCTCGAAATAATCACGAATGCGTCTGAGAGAGACGGCATTGTGCGCGTCTAACTTTTCAATGAGAACGAGAAAGAGAGTGTGGAGAGCGCTAGCAAAAAGCACTGAAAATATAATACGATGACTGAAAAATTTTTAATCAATTAATTTGCTGAATATATTTTATTTTATTTTTAAAAGAATATTTTTTCGTGGTTGAACGTAAAGTTTTTAAAATGTTTTTAAGCAGCGCGACAAGAGCTAAATTAAAGAGGCCACTCTGATAAAAATCGAACAAAGTGTCATAAATATACGGAACTTTTTCAAGGCTTACAGAATAATTTTACCATTTTATGTCTAGCATTAAGCTACATTATTAAAATTCTTAAAATTAAACACATATAAAGAAACGTTAAACTTATTCTAATAAATGTAAAATTAACATTATCGAAATATGTGATTTAAAAATTATGTTCATGCCAGGATATTATTTTTTTTAATGAATATTTAAAATTAATTATGCATACTTATTTTATAACAGTGAATAATTTTTATTATTAACGTCTAAAGAAATTTCATTAATATTATGCGTTTTTAGACACCTTGTATATTAGCTAAAGAACAAGGCATTTTTACAAATCTAAGAAATTTATTTAAGATCTCAAAATTCATTTAATTTAATGAAAACATACAGAAGAGTAACATTAAAATGTTTTAATTGAAAAACTTTTATTTTCTAGTCAACTTTTCTAGTTAATTTTTATTTTCAAGTATAATTGATAATTACGTTGAATTAATTGTGTTAGATCCCCACCACTTGATTTTCTTTAGTTGTTTATATTATGATGACTTTTAAGAGAAAGATAGAGAATAAATAGCTAAGAATATTTTGTCTAATACTAACCAGTGTTCGTAGTGATTTTAGTGTTAAGGAAGCTATAAAATATACATTCGTGAGATTTTTTAAACTCTGTACTTTTAAAATTCCGTAGCAGGTACGACTTGTTGCAATTCCATCATATTATATTATTTATTAAAATGTACAAAAGTATTTTTATTTCATTTCGAATTTTCTAATATTCACATTTCAAATGTATCATTGAAACCTGGTATTAATGCAGCTTTTTCTATTATTAAACACAAAAAAACGATTGCTACGCACTCATTTTGAAGCTGACCTAAAGATTATTTTTACTCATTTTCCATATTAGTAAAATTTTAAAATCTTTTCTTTGTAGAGAATTATAATGCAATAAACTTTAAAAATCTTTAATACAGTATTTTATTAATTTGTTTTATATATGAAAATAATCGGTTATAATTTTAGATTTGTCTCAGCTAGCTTCTCATTGTTTCACATTCTGTTTTCTTTTTGCTTGTAACGACGCAAAAAGTTACTAATGATTTTTAGTAATGTAAAAGTGAAGGCCGTTATTACTTTTCTCTGCATTGATCTTGGAATTTCAACTCGTTATAAATCAACCTTCGCGATCGAATGGCCTAAAGCAATAAATTTTGAAACGCTCAAGTTTTATTTTATTCATTTCATTATATAATTTTATATGTACTTTATCTTCACGTACTTCTTATCTTCAAAAAACTGTACTCATAAAAATTTGTTCACATTTTTATCGGGTTTTCGGGTACTATATATTAAATGATTTAGATAAGAAAAATTATTTCTCGTTTTGAATGTCATGAAAATTTGAATATCATCTCGATTATCATGCTCAAATATATTTTAAGGTCCCAAATATTTATCTAATTAAAATTAACTTTTGAAGTCTGAAGGTAAATTATTTATGAGAAAATCTAGTAAAAATCAGAGCAATCGCTGAAACTTTGGAGTGTTATTGATCTAAATATAAAATTCCAAGGGGCGATTACTCAAATAGCGAAATAACGAGCTAATGTTTTACAAGTTTGTTTAAGGAAAACTATTGTTTTTATAAAAAATTCAATGCAAAATATGATGGTGAGAAGCGATAAGTTGAAATTTTATGCGGGATTTTAATGCACCTGTTGTACTTTTTACTTCAATGAAAGAAAACTTGAAGGGTGAGATTGAAATTTATAATTTGACAACTATAAACACACACCTTTGTACATTTTTATCTTTTAATAAAAATATACTTGACATTTAAAAGTTATTAGTTATAAACTTTCTAAATATTTTGAGAAAGTGTGAAAAAGTTATTTCATAAAACTTTTTTAAAGTACAAGTTAAAAATCATTCGTTAATAAACAACTTGAAAAAGAGACATATTTTTATGTAAATTGGGTTATTAATTGTTTAAAGAATCGACTATACTTGTATACATTTCGTACTATTATTACAAAGTAAAATTTATTTATTTTTATTAATAACTGAAAAGAAACTGATCAAAAGTACATAAAGTCACTTAAAACAAAAAGTATCGAATCGTTTTCAGTATGAAATAAGAATTATAAAAACGTCATTTCAGTAATTTTTTCATACTGCTTTTGCTCAATATTTTATCATTTTTTATTCACATTACACGTCACTCATGAGAAAATTCAATATACTTCCAACATAATTGTATTTAATTTTATTGTTATTTTTATACTTATTGTAGGCACACATCTAGTTAGAAAATAAAAAAAAAACAAACCTACTGTCGAAAACATGCGTGGAGATCAGAAATGGCCACCCGCCGAGGTGAAAAAAGCAATGCAAGAAAACGAGGAACAAATTAGGTCAAGAAACGAAACTAAAAATCGACCACTTAAGGTTCACAAAGACTATAGTAACTTTTTCGCCCAGCATTCTCTGCGCGACACTTATCCTGGTTATAAAGCTCCTCCTGGTACTCAATTTTTTGAAATCAACTACCAACGTTGAATCTCAAGACCAAACCAAAAAATTTGAAAAATGTAACTGCTCATAAATTTAAATGACTTGTCGAAAATAAATCACTTTTATTCTAATTTTGTGATCGCATTATTCACGGACTACCTTTCACAGAAAAATATCTTACTTGAGAATTTTCATTTGAAAATACTTTTGTGATCAGTAAATATCTATCCATTCTCATTGCATTAAAATAATTGTGTGATCATGAAACTTTTGAATTACTCAAAAAAACGAGAGACTTTATTATCGTACCAACGCTTATTCGAATTACTTATATGCATAAAATCATCCATTACTTTACTTGTCACTTTTTTCGGTACAGAAAACCATAAAGTAAATCCAACAGCTATTGATTTCAATGCAGAAAACCCCTTACTTTCAATCAGCTGATGAAGTTAAGTTGCGGCTTTTTTTAACTTGCATAAAGAACGGAGCTTTCAGATCATCTGAATGTCTACGTATTTATTTTAAATAACAAGTAAAACTAGCTTACAGTTGATGTAATCCTTTTACGAATATCATATTGTGACATGTTATTTGATAATAGCAAAGCATTAAAAACATAAAACAGCTAAGAAATAGTTGCACTCTGGCATTACTTGAAAAGGCATCGAGCAGAAGAATTAATATCCATCAATATCCTACATATAATTAAAATCATTCTGAAAATGATCGTTTCAAGTAACTTGATGTTCAACTCTTATTTACTTATTATTTTGAAGAGCTTGCTTACTTGGAATATATGCAGCTGCTTAGAAACATATACTTTAGAATTCAACAATTCGATGAAAATTGTAAATACTTTGCCAGATGAGTTCGTATCCTTTGGATTAGACACATCTCTTTTGAGGAATATGTCTTTTTTACCGATAGACCAATCGAAATTTATTTTATTATTGAAACATTTGAGCCCAGCATATTTAAGAGTCGGTGGAACTGCTTCGGACTGCCTTTATTTCAACAAGGTATAAGTAAACTAAATATTATAACTTATTTCTTTACTTCTTTTCTTTATTTCTTTACTAACATGATAGTTTCATAAGAAGCGGCTATTTGAAATTTTTTTAAATTTTCTCATCGAGTCCAATAAATTTTTTTGTAATCATAATTTTTGATCGTTATAAAATTTTTTGAGATAAAATTAACTATTATTTAGAAATAAAGAACGTTAATACCGTTCTTCCACCCCGGAGCGCACGTCGCGCTCCTCGATAAAATTAAAGCAACAAAAACTTTTAAAGCAACTTTTCTTGTTCAAAATTAATATAATCATTTTCTGGATTGTTTTATTAAATTTATTTATTTTTTCATTTAGAATTCAATTTAATATTTTTTTTAATACTTCAAGGTATTAGAAAATGGATTTATTCAATCGGACCAATCTTACGTATATTCACAAGATATTAGTAATTTTTCAATATCCAGTCATGATTTAATCGCCATTCATGAGTTTTCCAAAAAAACTCATTTAAGAATGATATTTGATTTAAATGTTCTCATAAGGAAATCCGACTTTACGTGGGACAGTTCAGATGCCCTAAAAATTATTTCAACGCTAAAAGAGCGCAAAGCACAAAACGTCGATTGGCAATTAGGAAATGGTAATTTTTCCAACTTGAAATCGATATTTTTAAATAATTATGAAGTATCTACACAATAATCGCGATTATGACGCCGATTTTTTACCCAAATTTATCCCTGCATGGTTAATTGGACCAACGCGATTATGCATGCTTATTTTTGACAAAATACTACGTGACGTTATTACAAGAACAAGAACAACATTTATCAATGTGTTTTTACTGTTTCAGAGCCAAACTCATTCCCGCACGTATTTAACATTAAAATTTCTGCATCTCAATTAGCGAAAGATCATTGCAAGTTACGAGCTATTTTGAATTACAACAATTTTAAAAATAGTGCTCTGATCGGTCCAGAAGTCAACCACATTGAACATTCGCGCAGCAAAGGCCAAATTTACTTGAAAGAATTTTTGAAAACAGCCAGTGATTGTGTAGACTACGTTTCTTGGCATCAATATTATTTAAATGGACGTACTGCTACGAGAGAAGATTTTTTAAACTCCACTGTTTTCAACATTCTTCCGGACCAAATTGATATTATTAAAAATGTCATGCGATCTAACGAGAGAAACATTCCAGTTTGGCTGTGTAAGTTTTGATATCGATTTAAGGAGATTCAAGCGAAAAAGAGGTAAAAGACTGTTCTGAAGCTGAAATTTCATTTTTAGCCGAAACTGGATCGGCTTTTGGCGGAGGAGCGCCGAAACTATCCAACACTTTTGTCGCTGGCTTTTTATGGTTGGATAAATTAGGAATTAGCGCTAGAAATGGCATTAACGTGGTAATAAGGCAATCGGTGTTTGGTGGTGATTACGCCATGATCGAATCCGATCTAACTCAAAATCCAGACTGGTGGTTAGCTGTGCTATTCAAGAAATTCGTGGCAAATAAAGTTTTTTCAATCGACTCTACGGATAATTTACGCCTGTACGCGCATTGCACCCCAAAAAAAGTTTCTTCTGGTAAATCATCTGGCGTCACATTATATGGAATGAATTTGAATAATAAACCCATACAAATACGATTGAGAAATCTATCTCAAAAAACCAATGCTCACATCTACGTTTTGACATCCGATGATTTGCAATCTAGGTTTGTTATTTTTCGTCACATAATCTTCAATGCATTTTGAGCATTTTTTTCATTATAGTTAGCCCAACAAAAAATATCCCACGTTACGAATTCATCTTAATTTTTTCAGAAATACTTTTTTGAATGGAAGAGTTTTAAGACTACAAGAAAATGGGGACTTACCGGCATTTCTACCTATAATTCAAGATCTCAGAAAACCTATTAGAATACCAAAGACATCAATGTTTTTCATCGTCATCAATAATGCAAAATTAACTCAGTGTTTTTCAAAATAAATATAAAAATACTACTATCGAGGAGTATGCATCAAATGGGAAGAGCATATCAAACGAGTTGCAACTAAAATTTTCAACTAAATAATAATAAAGAAATGTTCTGCCCACAAAATTTTGAACTTTATTGATTTACAGTTTTATACAAAGACCCTTAGTTTTTTTTCGTATTAAAAATAACATTGTTGTTACATTTATTCATCAATAACAGTAATTTTCAATAGATTTAAATTTTTTTCCATAAAAATATTTTTTTTGTAAAAATTTAGATTAGTAGCAGAAATTTACATCTTTCTAAAATGTTTTTTTCTTTTTTAAAGATAAATGCGCAAGATTTTTAAAATGATTATGTTTACAAAGAAACTAATGTACAGACCAGTTGAATACTTAAATGTTTTTGCTGATCAATAAAGAAAATATACTTTAATAAGTAAAAATTTTTTTTGTATTCATTCTTTTTAGACTACAAAAAAATTGTTTGTTCAAAAAAACTTAATGCATACACAGATTTATTCATCTGTCATGAAGATTTCAGTAAATACGTGGAATTCTTATGAATTTGGATTACCTGAATATGTTTAAAAAATATGTTTTTCATTTATATTAAAGTTGTGTTAACAACACGCGTTGCACAATAATTAACCGTTTGATTCATATGACCCGTAGAACATTATTCATTAAATTTAATAATATATTCATAGCAATAACGACAATGCATTTATGGCATTTAAAATTACTTCTATGTCTTCAGGACAATCATTATCTGCTCTTTACATATTTTCGAATTGGTCCACGCGCCTTTTTGTATTACCTTTACGGATTTCGCGAAGGGTTTTATACTTATCACGTCCTTGACGTACATTTTCTCGATGGATTTTATCCATGACCGTTTCTTTGGTCTCATCACGAGACTGAGCAAGATCTTGTTTAAGAGCCTGAAATAATGTCAAGATAAGTTAAATATATCATCACAAAACATTTATCTAAATTTATTATTGATACTAAACATATATTGAACTTACTTTAAGTTGATCATGTAAGCGTTCATTTCTCTCAGCCAGAGTTCGTCTCTCTTCAATGGGATCAATAATTGATTCATCTGTTGTCAGCTCTTTAGTAACATCACCATTGGCTTCTCCATCTCCATCTTCTCCTTCCTCTTCATTCTCTTCAACGTGATAATTATTGGTAGCTTGATATTGCTTATCAACTTCTTCTTGGCGCAATCTGTGAAAATAATATGAATTTTAGTTAATAATTTTCAAAGAAAACCATAATTGAAAATAAATAAATGTGAAAATATTTGTATTTACCTTGCAGCCTCTACTTCTTCTTGTAATCGTCGAGCTTCAGCATCTTTAGCTTCTACTTCAGATTGGATTCGTTTTACTTCCTCTTGTTTACTGTAAATCTCAGCTTCTAATTTTGCTCTTTCAGCGGCTTCCATTTCATGAGAGCGCTCCAATTTCTCCATCATTACTGTCAATTCCTGAAAATCATTATTAAAATTTAGCCATCTCCATTCTTTTTCATACAGCAAAGCTTAGTACTTTCGGATACATTATCATAAACGCGGATATAATTTACCTTCTGTCTATCCTCTAGTTCTTCTTTGGCAGCTTGCAAAAGCTTGAGTTGTTCTTCCAATCGGCGGATCATTTCTTGAGCTTCATTCAGCTCAGCTTGTCTTCTTTCCATTTCCTCGGTCATATTCTTGAGGCGCTCTTCATATTCTTGTTGTTTCTTTTCGGCTCTTTCACGAGCTGCAATTTCCAATTGCAATTTTTCACGTTGTTTTTCACGAGCAAGTTTTTCTTCTTTAGCTTGAGCCTAGAAAAAATAACATTTTTGTTTAAGATTACGACTTGAAAATGTGAAGATTAATAAATAACAAAACAAACCTTCATTTGCTGTACATCAATTGTATCAGGTTTTCTTCTTCGCATATACAGTTCATGATTTCCCATACACAGAGCCAAAATACGTTTGTTAATTTTTACTCTAGCAGCGAAAAACACAAAGTCTGGTGCTTTCTTGTCAATAGGTTTAATGATGAACTTCTTTTCATTAAAAGAAATATTACGAATTTCTGACCAAGGAAATCCGATCTTAGGCGTCAATTTATCATCTTTCTCATAGATATTCAAACCCAATGCATCAACTCCTAGCCAAAGTTCAGTACCCTTCTTGTTACGAATTTCAAAATAATTGACTCCGTACATTTCAAGGTCCTGAAATAAATAAAAAATATAAAACCATCGTTTACAAACAAATGTTATGACAAATTTATTATTAAAACTTAGTCCTTATAGAGAGGAGGACTCCGAAGGAAAATTGGAGACAAGTTGTTCCAAATGAATAAAAATAGAAACGATAGAAGCTCGTCTAAGATTTTAAAAAGTAAGTTTGTAAAGATTTAGATGGAATGACTCGCATTAGAATAAATCAATTGGTTTACCGGAAAACGCGATCAAAATGATTAATATTTTAGTTTGAAGGGGAGTAAAATGGTATTTTTTTTATAACGTTTTGTGTTTCGTAAAGTTCGTTTGTTCTTCCGAATGAAAAATGTGTTGACTCATTTTTGATTATACGCTCTGAGTTATCAAATTGCATGCGGAAACAATGGTAGTATCAAAAAAAAAAAAAAAAAAAAAAAAAAAAAATAAGTATGAAAAAAATGTCTTCCGTTGATTTGGCACAGTACGAAGAGAATTAAAAATTGAAATAAATTAATTTACCGTACAACGTCGATGAAAAAATTTACCTGCGCTATCTTCAAATACTCCATCATGGCATCTTCACGGGGCATTCCTCGATGTTCCTGCCACCAATTGGTAATGGATATTTCCCATTCTTCTTTGCTCATCTTATGTTGATCCATTACACGTTGAGGTAAGAGACGATCGTTGGCTAAAAATCCAAGCGCATGAATATTTTTTTGGTAATCACCGTGGCGAGCTTGAACAGCGTATGAGGCTAGTAAAACTGAAGTTTCAGGAGGGCAATATATTTCATCGGTCAAAATGGCACTTTTCACCTAAAAAAGTAAAGCATATATTTGAGTGAAAATAATTCCTGAAACAAAATGTTAGGAAAAAGGGGCAGCATAATTGCTGCTTGATCTTTACCTGCAAGTAGAACAGACGAGAAGTAATATCTTGAATGAGCTCCTCTGCAACATCTTCCGGATAAAACTTCGCACGGAATTTGAATTGCAATGGGTTTTCTTTCTTTACTTCTTGACCCATAACCTAAAACAATTATAATTAATTAAGAAACTTGAATAATTAAGTAACAATCTTTCATAAAGAATTTAAAAAAATCTAATTTATAGTTTAAGTGTAATTGTATGTATTCCTAAGTAAAATTTAATCATAATATTTTAAGGAAAAAAAAGCAATGAATCAACCCCAAAAAAATCATATTGTTTTTCTTTTCAGGGTAGTACAAATCTTGAAATCATATCTTCATCAATTTATTCTGAGGCATTAATCTCATTTCCTGGCATCCCGTCTTGTCTGTCGCGCTCGCTGCGCTTTTACATCTCAACTTATATCTCAGTAAAGGGGGCCTAAACGTGGACTCGGCACAGTTATGTAATAGTTTATTACTGCTCTAGGCCGCGAAATGATAAAATACGTGTATTCATGGTCGGGGTCAATAAAAACATGTTCTCGGGTATTCTTTTCTCGCGGCCGACCGTATGCTATTGTTAGAATGCAGCGTGCGAAAAATCCGTTTTTCATGACCCGCAGAATGCTTCGACTGTAACTGCAGCGTGTTGAAATTACACAAAAGAGTGCGAAAAACAAAATTTCCACATTGAATATAAATATAGTTTACACCATACGAAGTAGGTGCTCCAGCTCGTTCTCGTAATTACTTTGTAATTTTTTCGAACGATTGAAGTTATTTTTCGTCATTCTAGAAACTCCAAATTAAACATTAAGAAAAGTCATATCAGTTAATAATCAGAAGCAATCGTAGCACACAATAGATCACGCGAAGCTACAGTACTTCAAAACTTCTGAAATAATTTTACAGTCGTTCGAAGTCCATTGTTAGAGGCTTCATTACGTAATGACTTTGACATTTTTGATTACTCAGTTGAATTTCTTTTGTATATTTTAATAATATAATCTCTATATATCTTTCTCTCTCGACTTACGCACGTTAAAATTATTTAGGAGTGCCAACGATGATCACAAGTGGACTAAAACTTTTAACAACTTTATCGTGATTTTGAAGTGATAGAAACTCCACCATACAGATTCAAATCCTTTAAAAACCTAACTTATTTTGCATTATACTTTTAACAAAAGAATATTAGCTTTCAGATTTCTTTTTAGTTGTGTGACAGCATATGCTTCAAACTACATTTATAGTTCATTTCTTATCTTTCTTACCAAATCGTTGTTAGTAATATCGACTTCTGAATCAGGATCAATCAGATGTGCAATAACACCCATTTGTTTTCGGAATTCCTTCTTCAGTGTTCGTGCCAAAACACTTTCAGACTATGCATGCCAAATAAAGGAAAAATTGAAAGACTTTTGACATTTTCCAAAATCAGTTATGGCAAAGTAACCTACGTAGTGCTTACTTAAAACTTTCGAAGAAATTGCGCGCTTTACACAACTTTTTTACTGTGTGGTTTTTTACTTTGAATGCTTTCAATACTACTTTACGATACAAGGTACCTTATAAGGACTTTCTTACATGGCTGACATTGAGCGCTGGCTAAGGTTGGACTTAGCGAGGGTTTTAAGGGCAGTGCGTAAAGATTAAGACGTCTACTTTTTTTACTAACTTTTAGAAATAATTTCGCGATGAGTTATGAAGCAACGCGAATTTTGAAAATGTACGAAAAAATTCCATACCTAATTAAATTAGGATTCATCCAGAATCGTTTTATTCAACTATAATTATTTATGTAACTTTGTTTCAAATTATATACGTTCCTTACTGACCGAAAATTATTAATTTCAAACTACACTAACTTTTTTAAATTCATTATTTTTCGTTTAAAATTTAGAATTGCGATTAAAATATTTTCAATTTTAAAAAATAAGTTCGCATTGATATCCAACTCGATTCTTCTTTATGCAATAATAAATTGTAATTGTTCAGCAACTAATATTATTGTTTCAGAACTTCAAACATCTACATGGCTAAACTTGAATAAATTAAGTTTTAAGAGTTATGTGAATTACAAAAAAAAGAGAGTTGTGTCTTCATTCTTGATCTATTTGATCACGTGCACCTGTTAGATGATTTTATAGCACCCGTCTGATTACATAACATCAAACATTTTCTAATTTGAAATTCAAGTACATCTAATTGTATGTCTAATTATTAATTTAAGAAAATCGATAAATTTTTGTACGCATTTGATTCCCGTTGGTAAAATCCAAAAATGAAAAAACCCTTTTCTTGGAATTTTTACGAAAAAGCTTGTCTAGAATCTAGCGTGTGTGAAAACAGTTAATCACAGAAACGTTTAAAAAAACAAATAGTGGAATTTTTAGAAAACCAATTTGAAAATGTTTACTTTCACTTTTTTTTTTACATATAGCCTTGGGAAGCGCATGACGGTCAGTAGATAGAAATAATCATGTTTATAAAAATAAATGATTTTCATTGCAGTCCGCGAACATTTATTTAAGTATCAGAAAAATAGTTCGATGAGTATATGAGCGTTAAGTATCTTTTGAAATTTAACGGTCTTTCAAGGAGAGAGTTCTCAACTCCTTTTCAGACATCGACAATTCCTCTTCAATAGTAATGAGCACGCGGGCCATCGCAGAAGTCCCCTCCCCCACTGCCCCCTCTTCCCCTCTCCCTCCTGAATTAGCTAGAGTGCTTTATCCTTTTTTAGTATTTTCACACAACAATCATACGATTTCAAAGAAGTATTGTACTATATACCGGAGATATAAATATTCTAAGAGAACTAGAAATTTTATGGGTTTCGCTAAATTAAGATTGCCAGGAATTATCAAGATAAATATGAGAATTCAAGCTTACGGTGCAACAATAATATTTTTAACGAATTTGTGAAGTTTCATGAACGATATTATTGTTAATGGCATTGAAATTTCTATTTTTAATTAATGAAAAAAAGTTTGAATTAATCTTAACAATTAAATTGAGATGAATAAACGTTACCTTTTTGTACAGCTTTATCCATGTTTGATCACCTTTAATATCTGTATACTGCAGTCCGAAGAACCACACTTCTCTAAGTCCAATTGTTTTTACAACTTGATCAAACAATTGCTTGCCGGTGGTAGTTTGCTGAATAGCAAACTCCAACTCAGCATCCATGGTGGTAACCCTTACGTTCATCTAGGAATTCGAAGATTTCATCTCAGCAAATTTACTTTATTTTTATATCATTAAATATTTTCATCAATGAAGGATAGATAATGTAACTCTAGAGAAACGTCACTGTTATAAATGATTTTGCAATTAATTTTAAACTGACGCACACTTGTTGCTGTCAAGGTCAGTACATTCGATTAAACACGAGGATTCAAAACTATAGCGTCAAAAAAATTGAATTAATTCGGAGAAATTTGATTGACACGCAACTATTAACATTTTGATTAAGAGATATTGTTGAATTATTGCAAAGTGCTAAAGCTGCGTTCGATTAAAAACGAGTGGAAATTTTCAAGTTTCAAGTATTTCAGTATTTTAGTTAAATATGTTTTTATGAACTTACTAGTTTCGGCATCTTGGCGTATTCAATCCAATACGGATAATATCTGTAAAAATAATTATTCAATATTAGATACGTTTGAAGATAAAATTTCATTTAAGTGTTTACATTCCGAAAAAAAATGATAACTTTCGTGCTAATTTCAGTGGAAAATGAAAAAGATGCAGTTTTTAATCATACTGTAAAGTTGTTAGCAAAAGAGTACAAAAAACGAAAGTATTTTATTCTAAAAATGACGTCAATTATTAAAGATTGTATGATTGAACGGGATTGAATATGAGGTCCTATGTCGTTCAGAGTAGGAGTAAATACTCAGAGAATCTTTTCAGTATTTTTGTTTGTTGAAAATTTGGCCACTGTCCAGAAAAATGTATGAATGACTTTTTGTAATAATTTTAGCGACAACGAAGCCGGTAAACTTCAACTTCGTCTATATTGATCATTTTTATTTGATTTTAATTTCGATCTCCAAACGGTCTACACGAAACTAATGTCTGAAGGAGTTTGTAAACGTTTTACTTTAAAGAGCCCAAATCAATGCAAAATTAGATATTATTTTATGCTGGGAATTTGCACAAAATATCTTAAAGACATGAATGAAAACAAAAGTAGTTGAAACCAACCAAACGAGAGCATGTCTTTAGGAGTTGCGTCAAAAATTTTTACTTAAAATAAACGAATTGAATTCTTGCGTGAAAAAGTCATAGCTATTATAAATAATTGAAGTTATATATAGAAAGTGTAAGTAATGTTTTGAAGAAGCTAAAACATATACTTGCAATTTGAATGTACATTAATCGTACAAAATTCAAGAATTCAAATGAGAAAATGAATATATCTTGAACCAAATTTACCGATAGTAGTAAGCGAGAAAATAAAACAATATAAAGTCTATTCTTGATCTGTTATCATGTGTACAACATTTTAATTATAAAAGTTATAATTTTCAAAACTATAATTCTCTTGATAGCTAAAAAATTCTATTATTTTGTTTACTACAAATACCATACAAAATAATCATATATGTTTGTAATAGTTGCAATTTTTTGATATCTATCTTTTGTTAAAAAATGTTTTGAAGTTTTGGATAATATTAATTTTTAAACTAACGATAGCTTTTGTATATAAGTGAGAACTAAAAAATGACTATACATACTAAAATTTCTTTCCTAATATTTAATTGGGTTAAAGTTGATGTATAAGTGTAATGTTATCTAATTTTTGAAAAAAAACAGTAAATTATTTCACTAGTAATCATCCAAAGTTGAAAGTATCAAAATTGTTGAAGATATAAAATACAGACTTCAGTTTTACTTTAGTTTAAAGATGAGTCGAAAAGATGTTTTCAGTTATGAATGTTATAGACACACCCACTTCACTTTTTCAAAATTACACACATCACTTGAGTTATATAATTTATTACTAAGCAAAACCGTTACATACCTATAGTTCAAATGTTAATGTAATAATATAATGATAAGTTTTATTTAAGAGATAGAGAATGTAGATTGCTTTTCTTACAAAAACTAAGAATTAAATTATAATTTCATGGCAATTAACAGCTGTTATTCATGAAATTTAATTTAACTTCTGTGATGAATTTGCAACAAGTGCATAAGATTTCAAATTCTCATGAAGAAATTTTGTAAATAGTAAAAGAGGCTGAAGATGTTGTGCACCTTAATTTAATAAGTTGTGAAGTAAACTACAATTACTATGTATCACGAAAAACGTAATCAAACTTTATGAGCTCTCTGCCACTCTTGACATCACAGACTCACTTGGTTAATAAAAGTCTGAATATGATAAGCACATTTTTTCCCATGTACATACCATATGACTAATGATATAATCACGAAAGTACAAATGAATCAGTGATAAGAGAATAGAACAAAAGAAACATGATACTATTTGTGTCATTTGAAAGCATATGTACAGAGCATACCGAATTATTAAGATAAATGTTAATTGAGTAAATTAAGAGTAAATATGAGGACTTGCCAATATTTAAAACAATCCAGATACAGATTTCTGTAATTTATTTTATTAGAATTCGAGTTAAATACAAACTCATCGGAGTATAAAACTTCCAAGCTAGGAAGAGCGTCCACACCCAAAATTAAGTCACGTTGATTAAATGCTGACACCTCATTCAAACAACATGGCGGTATCACTTTTTTGCAGGCAAATACAGGTGATTCTAAAGAGGCCTCGAAGCGAAGTCATAGAACGCACTTCGCATAAGGATTGAGAAACGAAAGGAATGCGAAACGGCTCGAAATCAAGTTGAAACGTATTTTTATTTTGAATTCTGATAATTTGCATATGAGATAACTTTGATTTTCAAATTGACGGCACGATTGACCTATGCACATATAAATACAACATTCTCAAAGAGTAAAAATTTTGTTGCATGTAGTAAGCCCACCATTTTTCGTAGTCTATTTCGGCCTCTACACGGATTTTCTTACGCACGCCAGTGCGCAAAATGCAGGTCACTATTGCATGTTCAACTAATATTCTGAGAAAAAAAAGTAAATGAGTTAAATTTTAAATTAATAGTTTATTATTGGTCTATATATCGAGAAACACCTGTAATTCTGTAAAATAACACGAGAAAATGAAAAAAAATTCATTACAACTTTTTACGTAATAAGTTTTATTGAAAAATAACTTATAAAAATACGTTTTTCTTTTGAATAAGTAAATTGTAAGTATGTAGCAGCACCCTTCTAAAAATGTCCAACAGAAGCTCCCAAATTTTTTCATGCATTTTTTCATAAGTATAAAAAGTTGAAAGCACAGCTGCGTTAAATTTACTTTATTTTTTCAACATTTATAATTACATATAGGTGCCAAATTTAATTTTTATCCGGTTTTGCATGTTCTTTTCCTCGAGTTCGTGCATTGTCGTATTAGCATTGGTGGCGCGACATGCCATCGTTCAATCTCAAACAATAACCAACGTTCTACGCAGTTTTGTTTTGACTCTTTAAACTACACAATTGATTCGTTCGAGTGACAGCAGTAATATTGTTACTATTCCTTAATAAACTGAGCTTTTTGTTGATTTACATTTGTCGGTATCATCTTTTGCAATTAATACGGATTTTTGCAACTGCTTGAGTGACTCAAACCACGAACTCTACTTGAAAGAATTTTACAAAAACTATCTTTGAAGATGGAGGACGATTTTTTTGGATTCGAATTGTTGCACTCTCAGTATAAAAACCAATTAAACAAAAAGGAAGATTTAATAGTTTTATTGATACACTGGTATCTCACAAAAAATAAATTCAGATGCTTAGGAATTGGTGATTCAGTAAGTCTTGAGAATTTTTGTGTTTATTCAAACATTTCATTACATTTATCATCAAATGTAATATTGCCATATTTTCATTACTCAATAGACTATTCAGTTAACTTAACTATGTCTGAATACTTAAACTATAAAATGTTTACTAACAATCAATGATTATGAAATATTAGCTATTATTTTTTAACACAATAAGTATCAAAACCATTGCAATCCATCAAATGCAATTACTAGTTTGTAATGAGAATAAGTTTCTGAATCTATAACAATTTTGAGATATAGAAATTATGAGACAGAATGATTTTTAATGAACTAAATATGAGCTTGATATTGAAAAAATTTATAATAGTATTGTAAGATTCAAACTCTTTGATTTCAGAAACAATCTACTTTAAAAATGAGTTTTTTTGTAGAAAACTATTGTTTTGAAACTTTAACCTTCATTCTCAAGCAATTTTAATGTTGACAAGTGTGTTAAACGTAATATTAACGTAATATTATATTATTCAAGAATTAGAATTGAATCATACGGATTACTAAGGCTGTGAAAAATATCGTTGATGAAACATTATTCAATTTATAAGTTTAGTTTATTATTTTCAATAGCTTTGTAATTACATTAATTGGAATAAATCCAAAGTGTTTTATTTTCTTTTCTTCAACAAAAATATATTTTTAAGGATTTAAATCGATCCCATAAACTTCTTCTAAAATCCAACGTTTGCTTGGTGTTGGTAATTTCCTTTAAGCCATCCTTTTTATAGTTATTACAAATAAGGTCCACTGGAGTTATTCCTTCCATGTTAGCCAAGTCAGCATCAGCGCCTCTTTTCAGCAGTAATTTGGCCAACTTTATGTTACCGTAGGTTAGAGCTAAGAGCACTGGTGTGTTACCAAAGTTGTCTGGGATGTCGAGCTGCACAGTCTGTTGGTTCTTGTCGATGATCTTAAAGAAAATATGTGCCAATTCATAAGTATCTTGTCTCATGCAAATAATTTGCAGTGGAGTCAATCCTTCCTTGTTAACTAAAGTAGGATTAGCGCCATGGCTTAACAGTAATTGAACTCCCTTCAGGTTATTTAAGCTTGAAGCTAAATGTAATGGGGTGTTACCCAAATTGTCCTGGGTATCAGTTTGAATCGTTAGCTTGTTGTCATTGCAAATTGTAAAGAAAACCTCTGTCAAGTCTCCTCTCTTGCAAACAATGTGAAGTGGAGTCCGTCCATCCTCGTCAGCCAAATTAGGATTATAACCATTTTTCAGTATCAAGTCGACCACCTCCTCTATATTTTTGTCCTCCTTCTTTTTTTTCTCTTTCTTTTGGTTTTCCGTTAGGTTGTCCTTCTTTTTCTCCTCCTCCTTTTTGTCTTCATTCCTGTCGCCCTCCTTATTTTCCTCCTTATTTTCCTCCTTATTTTCCTCCTCCTTTTTGTCCTTCTGCATGTCCTTTAGAACCATAAACTGCGGTATATCACATGCTTCTTTCACAAGACGAGTAGGATATTTTTGTTGGTGGAAACTTATAAAGTCAGACTTATCCTCCTCCTTTTTTTCTTTCTTCTTTATGCCCTTCTTCTTTATATCCTTTGGAGTCATACAACGTCGTGTAACACATGCTTCTTTCACAAAACGTGTAGAATATTGTCGTTGGTGGAAACTTACAAAGTCGGATTTATAAATGGAATCGGACATCGTTCTGCGCTATCACACTCAATAAAATATTTACAATATTGTTAAAAAATTGCTTGTTAACGTTGACGCGATCTTTTTTTGATGCTTACTCCAAGGTATCGTAATTTGTACTAACTTGTGTCCACACACACACGTAGAACTACGATTTACATAGAGAGAACACGTGGTAGACAAGTAAGTGGGGGAAATCAAGTCGAGTTTTGTAGGGGCCGCTCGTATTATAACATAAGCGATAATAATAACAACAGTACGCGGCTAGGCATAGGTAACGCCCATAACTCGCTGAACTCTAACTTTCTAATTACTGCTGAAGAGAATAGCCAAGTAAGAGCGTGAAATGTGATTGAAGAGTTAGTTGGTAAAGTAGAATCATTACTTGCCAACTAAACTCCTGAATACGTTATAACAGGACAAGCATGGATATTTATACCCTTACAGGAAAAAATAAATTATGTTTCAAATAATTACTTTCAGATATGAAATCAAATAATAACGCCTTTATTTGTTAATTAATTCTTTCTTTAATTCAATATATATTCGAATTCCGCGCTGTTTCATTAAATATTTAAACAAACATGTTTTAAAATTAACACATGCATGCACATAATTTAAAATTATTAACATGTTCTAAAATATTTTTTAGAAAGAATGTAATCCAGAAGAAACTGGATCTGAATTATTGCCCGAAGGATGGAGTCAGAATACAAATTATAGTTTTAGATATATCAGAAATAAAGAATTATATATTTTAATAATGCTTACATCAGAAAAAAATTTGCTGCTTAATTTTTTGGTAAGTTTTATTCAAAACTATTTTATAAATTTTCGTTTATAACCACCAAATGTTTCCCTTATTATCCAGAGTTTTTCACGAAAAGACACGATCCGTTAAATTTGTTGTCATCGATTATGACATTGTTTCTAGGTATTTTCGTGATAAACATTCTCAACGACTTTATTCATAGATTTAATTTTCTTTGAATATTAAAACAAATGATTTTTTCGTTAGATGAATTTCGATTTTCATAAAGTAGAAATACGTTATTGTTAAAATACATGCTTGAATAATTCATCTTTAATACCATATTATTTATTGTTATTGAACGAATAATATTTTTATGAACCATATCTTTTTGGTTTTAATTTTATGCGTTTAATCGTGTAACCTTCAAACCACGCTCGAGTCACGAGTGTACAGTCACACTTTGAAATGTTCGACGTGGCTGCGCGGGAGAGCACAAATACAGTCGGTGATGTCAAGATCAAACTTTTGATTCCGACTGTGGTGTTGGAACTCCCCTACAGTTTCACAATCCCCGCGATACTTACCGATACTTTTCCAAGGATGTTACTTGAATTGAACAGTATACTCGTGACTTACCCTGGCCTCGATTGAGATTACTTGGAAGAAAAATTTTGAAAAAACACCGAAATTTATTAATTTTTGATTCGAATTTAAAAAGTTGTTTTTGCTATATTTGAAAAAATGAGTCTCGCTAATAGGTTTTGCGATGAATCGGGCTTGTAGTCAGTTTTTCTGTACCAAACTAAAACTGTAATTATTTGTTTTCAGAAAGTAGCAGATCATAGTGTAGCTAATTCTGAAGTATGCATTGATGCTGTAGAATCTTTAAATGGAAATTTGGAAACTATGATTCCGAGTCATAAAAATATTATTAAATCATTGAAGAATGATATTCCTATCATCTCTTCTGTTACAACTAGTGAAATGTCGGTTCAAACAGCAGTAAATGAAACACGTGAATCAAACATTGATAGCAGATTACGTGACGAAGGTGCTCCCTCATCACTTAGAATGCCCAGGTAAATTTAAATATTTATTTTCGCATTTTTCATTTCAAATCGAGAACCACGTCGTGCTCCGAATTTTTTTGATAATCACTGATTGTGGTAACTTTGAATTACTTTGAAATTGCCTTGAAAATGTATTCAGACGCTATATTTTTCGCTATTTTCAAACTCATAGTAAAGGGTTTTCATTTGAAAAATTCTTTTTCGGTTTTCTGAAGCTTGGAAGTTATGCCAAAGATCAGATTTATGATCACGATTATCAGGCAAAAAATGTCTTAAATTGAATGTTTTTAATTATTTAAACCGTTGATTCTAAGAAATCTCCAAGAGCTTCCATATTTTTTTCTTCCGCCTTTTATAATCGTGTTAACGACCATACTAAAAAGAAAACTCGATTTTTTAAATTCTAATGCAAAAGAAAAGCTACTTAAGAAAACAAACCAGTATTTCATATTTTAAATTAAAAAACATAACAATTGAATTTTATTTATGAAATTTTTGAATGTAAAAATATGTTTCACAAGTCTTTTCACATCAGAAAATGTGATTCTGATAACTTCGATTACTTAAAATACTCTAGAGCCCATTCATGATAAATGAATTTTGATTGCAAAGTGCTATGCTACAAGATTCCGATCTCAATTTTTAACCCATTTTGATTAAAGAGGTCTCAACAACTTTTTAAAACATCCTCTTGTGACTCTTAGTCTCAAAGTAATATTCAGTCATAAAGTAACTCAGTACTGCTCGGGCCTTTTTTTAAATTTTTTTGGGGTCTTTAAAGTTAGAATTATTAATATTTGTACATTAAATAAAATTTTCAGATTACCAACAAATAATCCACTTGCAATTGGTAGCGATGATCTAAATATATTCGGAGGTGGAAATAGTGGAATGTTGTTTGATCCATTTCAAAATCAACGTCAAAGAGATCGAATACCCCCAAACCTTGGAATTCCTGGACAGTTACCTCGGTTGGTACTTCAGTCTAATATTATGACTTGAAAAATTATAACTATGTTTTTTTTTAGTGGAGCGGTACCACCTGGAGCAAGATTTGATCACTTTGGACCAATAGATTACGATATGAATCGCTCGAGATTTAGGGCACCTGATGGCGATTTTCCACCCCCGGATTACGAAAACATGTTCCTTTAAACTCTTTTATATTAAAATACTTATAAGTTGATAAAATTCTAACAAATTAGAAATATAGTTTAAAAAAAATTATTCAGTCATAAGACTTTGATGTTGCTCTAAGGAACCTCAAACTATATCATTGGGTCGTATTGTTAGTGTATACCTTTTGATTTATTTTTTTCACATGTTAAGATTTAATAAAGTTTATATCTTAAAATCCTTTAACGCTCAAATCTTAAGTTGATCCCCATTGATCATCTTATCTTATAATTTGCTTACTTGTATAAAAGTGACGAACCAAAAAGTGAGGCTGCCGGAAACGGCTTCTGATAGGTCAAGTTCATTATGACTCAATTTAAAATTGGATGAAGTGACATGTACGGTCAAAATAGATTTTTCCAAGTGCGTCTGAAAGTTACCAAAACAGGAATAGAAGCGTGATATGAAATATTCAAAAATTATTTTGAATTGAATGAAAAAAAATTTCAAATGTGTCAGTAGCACTAATTTGATTTTTCAAAAAATTCAACTTTCCAATATTAGTTTGTCTTTATGAAGAAAATGGTGTCCATTCTTTCTAAGGAAATAATTTCATATATGGTGTGGAGACGTCATTTATTACGTGTTAAAATTTAACTTAATTAGTTTACAATGTTCTAAATTGCTTAAAATAGTGAAAAGATATTATTAATAGAATGAGATACAAGTGACGTAAGTAGCATTTTCAGGATTGGTATAGATAAGAACCCACTTAGCGTTGCGAGATCTGTAATGAAGTCTGTATGGACCAAACGATTCGCTAGTTTGCAATAATGGGTGTGTATGCGTGCTCTTTTGTGCAAAACGAACATCATCAGTTGCTGCCCCAGCGTTGTCGGAAAAATCATACAATAGTTCATAGCACAGTAACCTAAAACTTACGACAAATTTACGATTTTTAGGTTAAAGTGTTATAAATTATCATTACAACACTGCGTTTTAGTATACTTTTATTACCCCGTTTCTAATATATAAGTTGATTTGTATGAGACATAGTCCATAAGATTAAACTCGCGAATTTGATTTTGGATATAATACCTCAGAGCAACTGTTAAAGGTCAACCCGTATTAAGCACGCTGTGGTGCATCGACAACTTATATCTTGGAAATGGGAACATAAATGTTCGGGTGCTTTATAGGCTACTCAAGTCACGTGTATCATAATGTACACTGGTTCGATTATAATTTTGAAATGTCGAGAAAACGTAAACACAGTGAAGTAGGGGTTGCTTGAATGTATAAGATACGAGACAATAGTAATAATAGTACATAGGCTAGCATAGGCAGATCCCCTACTTCGCTGAGTTTACGTTTTTTCGCTATTCCAAAATTGAAATCAAACCGGTGTACTACAACAATGAAAATGTTCAGATGTAACGTATGATGATATAGCATACTAAATTCTCTAGTGCATGCTGAAACCAGAATAATTATCAACATCATTAAATGCTTTTTAATTCTTTCTACTCTAAGATTTCTTAAATAATGTACATGAATTTTTGGAAAACAATGCATAACGAAGACATTAAACGTAATATAATTTAACGATTGTACAACTGTTAACGTCTGCAATAAAAAATTTTAATTTAGTAGATATTAATAAAATTCACTATAACTCTTATATAAGATATATTTTTGACTAGCTAGATTTGGTAGCAACAGACGCTAAGTCCTGATTGAGTAGGTAATATTACAAGAAAGTGTGAGTTCGATTTATTCCGAAGAACTAGTACTCCAATAAAAGTATTACATTTTTGGTTTTACCCTTCAAAGCAGTGAACACACATTCATAATGCGATGTAAATAATGGCGAAGGTGGAGACTTCATATAAGATGTTGTCTTACATGAAATACATTTTTATGTACACGTCGATCGAATATAATCATAATTTTCCCAAATAAAATTTATTTTTCTAAAGTTTTTATACATTTATAGCCGGGCCTAAATTAGAGGCTGGTAGTGGTTTGAATGGCGTGGTATTACGAATTTCTTTATCAATATTCAATGCATATATATCGGTCGTTAGTTCGTGCAGATCAATTTCCTTATCTGATTTCGCTATTTTTACAGCATCGTCGATTTCTTTTCTGATGTCGGCTTCGATACTCTGAAATAAAGATTATTTTCGTAAAAATATTATCATAACTCAAATTTTACGTTAATAGCCCATATTTTCTTGAATGATAATGTTATAATCAATCTAAAATATTAATTTTTCATAAGTAAGAAAAAATTTACCTTAAGTTCATCAGCGGTTACAAGGTTGGCATTTAATATCCTTTCCTTAAAGCTAGTCAAAGGATCTCTAGTTTGTCTAACTTCTTGAATTTCATCTCTAGTTCTGTAGCTTGTGCCTGGATCGGACATACTATGTCCACTGTAGCGATACGTAAATGTTTCCATTACCAATGGACCTTTACCCGATGTGCAATGTTCAATTGCAAATCTCGTAGCTTCTCGTACTGCAAGCACGTCCATTCCATCAACCTGAAAATTTCAAGTTAAAAAATCCATGGAAACATAATACAAAAGAGTACGAGTATAAAATTAATTAAAAGAAAAAGTTCTAGAAGTGCAAATGTTTTGCATACGCTGATTTTAAAAAATACGCTCGCAAAATTCAAGCGAACGCAATACCCTTAAAACATGAATACAAAGTAGAGAATCGATGTGCACCTTAAAAAAGTAGAGTATCTGGGTTCAAATTTTGAATATCCTAGCTCGAAATTTCAATTTTTTTCATGTGAGACATAAAAGCTAAGGTATCCTAAAATGATTGATTTTATTTTTTCTCACTAAATTTTCTTCGGATTCTTTTTAAAAACTATAGTGTGGTAGCAAGACAGTCGTAGAGTCTGAATTTTGAAGTGAAACTTCTTTAGACGCGTTTTTTATAATGGCAATCCATATACGTTTAGAAATTATAGACTCGTAAACTATGATTTTGACAAATTTTAACGGCAAGTGAAGATTGTGGGATTTATATCGTTTCGTAACAGCACTGCTCACCGAAGTGGAGCGCCTTGTGACTCGTATTCAAATTTACATTGCGTTTAAATATATTCAATAATGATTTTTGTTCGCCTAAAAAATGCATAATTGCTCAACTTATTCTTATGAACAGGAGGCGCCACTGGCGCTATTGGATGAACTACCTTATGGTTATTGGTTTAATAATCGGTTCATCATCACGGGTTCTTTTGAAAACTATGCTCAAGTTTTGGTACGAAGATCCAACCATTAATAGGCAGGGTGCATAAGTGAGAGCGCCGAAACTTTTATTAAATCTTACGGGGTGGGAAATGCCTGTGACGGTCATAGTCTCCATAACCGAACATATTAAAGCTATCTTGATCGCGAATTTTTGCTAATTATCTCAACTTACCCATATTCCGGGAACGTAATCTCCTCTAGTGTAGTATTCAGTGGAAGCAGAAGCTCTTTCTGCGCTAGTGCCCATTCCATACCCATTATTTTCACAAATAAATATGCAAGGTACATCCCAAAGTTTTGACATGTTATAAACTTCGAAAATTTGTCCTTGATTGGCAGCACCATCTCCGTACAAAGCGAGACAAACTCCGCCAGTATTTTGATATTTCTGAGCAAAAGCAATACCTGCTCCTAAAGGTACCTGTAAAACAAAATATCAATTTTAAAAATCTGAGAAAAAGCAGATTTTTGAACGTTCAAAAATGAAATTTTTTTTCTTTAGTTTACAAAATATATGGATTACAGTATTCTTGAGAATTTACTATCTAATATTACTTTCAAGTTAAAATAAAATATATTACATAGCATAAATTGTAATAAGTAAACTAGTCACATGGAGCACATACAGCGCTACTCGATTATTTAATTTTAAAAAAATTTATAAACCTGAGCTCCGACGATGCCGTTTCCTCCATAAAAGTTTCTTGCATACATATGCATCGAACCTCCTTTTCCTCTAGCATTGCCACTTTGACGACCAGTTAATTCAGCCAAAACTCCAAGAGGTGTTACACCCATGAGATAAGTCCAACCATGAGCACGATAAGCAGTGATTACAGAATCTTGAGGGCGCAATGCAGCAGTCATTCCAACTGCACAAGCTTCCTATAGAGTCCAGTTGAAAAATTAAAAAATACAATAATTGGTTCACAATTGAATTGTTTTAAATGTTACAAGTTATTGTCCATACCTGTCCAGAGTACAAGTGACAAAAACCTCGAACAATTTTTTCTTTGTACAAATTTCCGGCAGCTGTTTCCATTCGCCGGATTGTGTGTAATTGCTTGTAATATTTCAACGCATCTTCTTTTGTTACTGATACATGTGTTGATGGACCACTTTCCAATTTATGCAAGCGGAAAGGCTTAGTTTCAAATGATGCTTCGGAGGCATAATTTTTAATACTTTGACAAACCTAAAATTTAGAAAGAATATAAAAGTTTGCAAAAAAAGTAATAGTTTATACATATTATACTATGAAAAATTGCTAGATGAATTTAACTCAACATGGGTACCAGTTTTTAATATATTTCTTTAACATTTAGTAATGAAAAAATAGAGAAAAAATATAAATTTTATTTAATTTTTTTTTTACATGCCAAACCTAGTTTTTATTAACAAGGTCAAAGTAATGTCAAAGATAGTCTGACTGGATACAAAAATTAATTTTAATTTTTTTTAAATCGAAAATTATATAAAAATTCTAATATAAAAATTTGTTTATTCAATAAATTACTTAGTTATTCAAAACAATTATACTAAGGTCAGACTGTAGAGTCTTTCTTCAAAATTGAAAAAATATAGAAAAAAAACTCATGATTTCAGAACACTCATTCATTAATGACAGTGAATCTAAAATTTAGTAGTAAATATTAAATCAATTTTTTAATTAATTATGGAGATGTCATAAAACTTGTATTGAAATGAAACAAATATGAAAATAAATTTCAATAAATATGATGAACAGCCTAACAACCTTTCATAATAGTTTATAACCATAAGTGAATGAACAATTTATATACTTAAATAATAGTAAGCATATAGTATGATTAATTATATTTAGAAATTGTTATGTTGTGTAAAAAAATACTCGTAGCATATGGTTTTCATTGAAGTTCAAGGTGATAATCAAATAACAAAACTATAGGTTAAGGTCATCATAGGTGAATGACCATATTGTTCTTATTTTGCATAAAAAATGTGTATGATCTATTATTTAAAGAAATGTCATAAGTTTGATATTGAAAAACTATTTTTAAATGATTATTATCTGTTATTTACTACACTGATAAGTTGATTGAATTCGTTACTATGCTTTTTACCAAGTTAATTAACAGTTAGTCAAGTGCATTGAAATGGATAAGCCACATGAATAATCAATTCTCGACATGACATCATGTCATGTGCACATGATGCACTGCAGTTACGTGCAGAACGATAAAAAAAATGTACAGAATCTTGAATGAACTTACATTTGAACCCTTGTCAAGGAATTTTTTGTTAAACCTCATAAGCATATTCATGTTTGATGTTGTCCCGTATTATCTGAGTTGTTAATACTTAAGATTATTGGTTTGTTTGATAACAAAAGTGGGCCAGATTATATATTAATATGCAAATACTAGCACAAAAAACTGATAATAATTTGATATGGCCAATTGGACGTGTTACATCATTGGACTGGCGATATACGTCGTCAGCTGAGCATGCTTGACGCACTTTTGTTGATCGCAACGTTCCCAGTGGTACGAGAGCAAAATGAATTTTACGGACAATCTACTGTTTGAGTGTATGCCGCGGTCTATTATTGATTGCTTCGTTCGGCATAATTATTTTTTTTAATAGCTCAATTGTGCACTATGATGAAAAAATATATAAAGCTATGTGTACTAAAGATGAATGAAGGATTCATTGCAATTTTCAAATCATAAAGTTCAATTGTATTATTATTAGTACATAAAAATTTGATTAAAAAATTAAATAAATTCGTTTTTTGTTTATATCAATTCGTTGCAATGAATTGGATCAAATATTCTTTCAAAATTAATGACTTAAATTTTCATTTTTATGTTCTCTTGAATATTTAAGGGATTTAATTTCGTTATTTCGAGTCATAACAAAACAATTTACATATTTTAACGTACTTTTAAGCTCAAGGACGAGGAAGGTGAGGCGTCTCTCGAATCCGCAACTTGTTGTTCCGCACGCTCGTTCCGAGTTCCCAAAGAAGTTTCATTATTTATCCCCTGACACGACAATAAGCGTTCAATTGACGGACATCGGCCCGCAACATAACGAATACAGTTCGATAAAGCGTCTTCTTTGGGCACAGGAGTACAACAAATAGTCGCTTAAAACTTTGATAAATCTCCGATTTGCAGCCGACAACCTTTTATTTTGATAACTAACACTTCGACTTCGCTCATTTTACTAAATAACATAACATTTGGCATTTTTTAATAACTTCCATACCGTTGATACAAAGTAAAAAACACAATATGAATCCAGAGGAAGAAGTTTTGAGAATTCAAAAAAAATTAACCAAGATGACTGATGGAAGTGAAGTGGTATGCAAAGAGTTGAGAGTTAATTTTACTTTGACAAAATTTTGTGTAATTAATGAGAAATTTGACCATTGTTAATACTTGTACTGCTCAGAGAGTTATTTCATTTCAATTGACTATATTTCTTTCAAATCTTTGCACATGGTTATAGTACACCAAACCATCTCATTGAGTGTGTTGTTGATAATACACATAAATTCTATTTTTTTAGATTACTTGACATAACTTGACATGATTATATGTATTTCTCTGAGTATAAATTTAAGTTATACAAACGGCATAGAAGATGAATAAGTAAACTTCATAATTCAAAATATCTACAGCTTATATCATCATTTTGTAAAAGTAAAATTAAAACATTTTTATTTTTATCAAATATAATAAAATGCATGAATAATTACTAAATATTTTCATTGAATAGTCTTCATATTCACTCACTTAATAGTATTAACTCATACATTTTGTACTTTCCATTCCGTCACAGATAATATATATACAATCGTCAATACTACAAAGCACTTTTTTCCTTTTCCGAGTTGGAGAAAAATAAATTTACAATTATGAATTGTATGCATTTTTTAATGCTGCTTATTTTTCTATAAAAACTTCATCATTTTTGGAAAAAAAATGTGTTTATTATTTCTTGCGATTCCATAGATCAAGTAAGATTATACAAAATTAAATTTTTTTAAATTTTACAAAATCATAATCAAAATAAAATTCCATAGAGTTCCATTTTAAATCAAAATAGAGTTCCATTTTAAATCAAAATAGAGTTCCATTTTAAATGTATTAAACATAGACAAAACCATTTATATTTCAAATATTTTTAATTCTCAAATAAATATGATCACAGCACATCTCTGTACAAAAAATAGTGCTCATTTCTTAAGATACATTTTTCTAAGTGCATCAGTGATTATTAGCATGTGTTTCACATTGAAGTTCATTGACAATTAACTGTAGTTAATTTAATTGTTGAAGAAGATATCAAATCCAGAGTAAAATTGAACTTTTTTAAACCTTTTTTCTGAGATTTCTGTTAAATATTTTTCATAATAATCCCATAAAAATGGTGGTCCCTGGTCCCATAAAAATTAAGAAAACCAGAGTGTCACAGAGGTTTTTAATATTAGATGTAAAAATTAATAAGGATTTACTACTCTGTTAGTAATAAATGATATTTCAAAGTCACTTCAATTAACAAATTATTCAAAGATGAATACTTTATAAATGGTTTTTTCTCCTTTCATAGTAGAATTTTTTCTTATCTATGTAGCGTACTTTTTAAGATTTAAAAATTTACATTTCATATTTAAAATTTGGTTTATCTTTGCAGGCTCATGATCAAGCTCTTGAGTTATTGAAGATACTACAAAAACTACCTGTTAATTTAGAGCTCCTTCAAAAGACTCGAATTGGCATGACAGTCAATGCTTTGCGAAAATGTAGTAGGGATGAGGAAGTAATATCATTATCCAAAGTATTGATCAAAAATTGGAAAAAGTTTTTATCTGGTAAGAGTCTAAATAATTTTCTTTATAACTTTCTTTATTTTCAAAACATGAGTTATAATCAACTTTTCAACATTCACAAATTTATTTCAACAACAGACATTTCAACTTCTACTCTCTCTAAAAAGCAGATTTGCTTTAAAAACTGCATACTCATAAACAACCTGTGATTAAACTTTTTTCAGGACCAAAAGACTCTAAAGAAATAAATTCATTTGGAAGTAAAAAGAAAAGCGAATCAAAATCAGAAAAAAGCAAAGAAGAACCTGAAAATAAAAATGAAAAAACAGACGACTCAAACAAAAATAAAGATGACAAAAGTCCCAAAAATTCAAAAAAAACTTCTTGCTATCCACCACCCTCAACAACAGATGCTGTTCGACTCAAATGCAGAGAGCTTCTTGCTTCAGCTTTAAAAGTTGATGGAGTATCAATGGATGGATGTGCTAGTGCAGAAGAATTAGCTGAAGATCTCGAAGATGCTATATTTGCGGAGTTCAAAAATACTGATAACAAGTACAGAAATAGAGTAAGTTTTACAAATATTCATTACAAAGTATTTTACCATCACAATATTCTAAAGAGAATTGCTTAAGGCTCAAAATTGTCAACACATTTACTTTTATAAATCTGTAGCTCTTGAACTTTATTTATTTTATCATGTAATATTGCAATTTTCAAACATGGGTGAAATGCACTAAAATCTGTAAACTGTAGAAGAATAATTTTGAATTTGTAAAATTCAATCAAGTTTTTTCATTTATTTATAATCAAAATATATTTTTTGTTAACATTATTAATTTTCCTCAGGTCAGAAGCCGCGTTGCAAACTTGAGAGACTCGAAAAATCCGACGCTAAGAACAAATTTCATTGTTGGCGCTATCACACCCGCTAGATTAGCAACAATGACGGCCGAAGAAATGGCAAGCGACGAAATCAAACAGTTGAGAGACAAATTCAAGAAAGAAGCTATCAATGACGCCCAACTTGCTCAAGTGCAAGGAACAAAGACAGATTTATTGAAATGTGGTAAATGTAAAAAACGAAATTGCACTTATAATCAAGTGCAGACAAGATCGGCCGACGAACCTATGACTACATTTGTATTGTGTAACGAATGCGGCAATCGGTGGAAGTTTTGCTAATCAACTTTTTAGCATCTACTTTTCTGTAATCATCTACCGAATACGCAATACCATTTGAAATCATTGCTTCTTAGTTTCCTTATTAGATATTAAATGAAATTCAAATAATTCAATAATAAAGTATTTATAAATCATTATTTATAATTTCTTCTTGATTTAATTTAAATAAATAATAAATTTAAATGTAAACCTATCACAAATGAGATTTTAATATTTCCAAATGATTAAAGTTACCTTTTTGTCATCTTATTTAATTGAAATTAAATACCTGGTTTAGGTAAAACTAAAGCGTTGCCAAATATCAATTTTATATGTGATTATCATTTTGAGTAGCTATTAAACTTCAAGCTATACAATACTGAAATGGATCTAATTTCTTGATGAAAATAATCTAAAAATGGCCTACATCTATAGAGTTTGAAATCAATTGACTTACCGAAAGTTGCATCAAAATGATTTAGTCTGAAGCTATTAACTGAAAATTGTTCAATTATTATAAGTAAAGCATTTTATTTAAATGGGACCCGCAATCGAATTTATTCAGTATTGTTTCACGATATTTGAATTTTGGATGGAGATTTGGTCACAAAGTGTGTTATTCTTCATTCATCTTTATTTTAAAAATCTACAAAAACATCAAAAATAATTTTATAATGTTTACAAAAGATGAAGTTTTAAATTTACACCCCTATATTTTTTTTCTTTAAATAAGGGGTGCAATTTAAACCTTTTTATCGGACAGGCTTGAGATTTGGCGACGGTTCTTGGAAGTTTGAAACTGCAGATTCGATGACCTCTACTGTGTGAAGTGTAAATTAACATTATTTTCATAACCTACGCCGGGTTTGCACAACATAAACACTGGTACGAGCCATTGAGTTTTAGGTTTAGAGTTACTTAAATACTGTGAAAACATTTTGCTACCAATTGCATTATTTAATGTGAGGAATTGTGCTCCAAAGAAAATTTCAATAATAAACAGTAAAAAACCCAATTTTATCAGTTATACACATAAACTGTTTTCATCAAATCTTTGTTCAGAGACTGCATATAATGATACTGAATTCAATAATTAATGTCACAACATTATAACATCTGCCAAAGGTAACTTTTACGTTTTATTAAAATATTTTTTTTAATATTGAAGCTATTCATTTCACAATAATAAACATCTTTGAACTATCTAACAATTAAGACTGAAGACTGACAATTTGTAGTGAATTAAATTTGACATTGAAAATGAATGGTAAATAATACTTTTTTGCATGTCTGCCTTTATCTTAAATAAAAAGTCGCAAATAGTTACAAAACTTAAATTAATTTTTATTTTAACTCTGTTGAGACAATGATTAGACAGAATATATTTTCTTTATTGCGATTTAATAATAAACATATATTGAAGCATTCTGCTGTGAAAAGTACATAAATATAAAGTTAATTTTTATGAAGTACTATATGTAATGCATTTATAGGTATTGCGCTGTATCTCAATTTTAAAACTCTTATTTTGGTAATTGAATTTTATATGTTTAAATAGTCGCTAAAAAAATGTTATCACAATGATATTATCAAAATGATACTATCAAAAAGTTATTATCAAAATCATTATTTTATATACTTGTATTCTTTATCTATATTCCTATTTACCTATTCTCAATACAATTAAATTGGAAATTAACAAGAAATTTTTTTCAAATTGAATTAAATAATTTTACAGGAAAAAAAATGTTAAATCCATCTCTTGAATATTAACTTTTGCACTCCTTCAAAATCCTAAAATCATTTAAACAAATTTTTCTTCTGAAATAATCTAATTGGTGTTTTATTCAATTACAGGCCTATTTCTTTGGCTTTGCTATTTGTACAAAAAAAATATCTCCGTTTGAAAATTCTGTCTTATCTGATAGTATAACGAAATATTTTGTCTTGATACAACAACCAATCCTGTAATGATCACTTTAGTCTATGCATAAGAACTGGTGGTAATGAAAAAAAAAATTTGAGTTTTTTCATTTCAAATTATCGTGTGTTTAGTCAATAAAAAAAAATAGAAATTCATTTTAATAATTCATTTATTCAAGATTAATATGGACTATATACTATATTAAATTAAATATTATCAAACAGTAAAAACACTGCCAAGTAAATATACAATTGATCATTATTTATTTTACTTATTTTCTTTATTTCATCATAATACTGAAAAAAAATCTTTATAGTCTTCGCTATACACAATCTTGTAGCTTTTTTGGAGCTTTTTCAGCTCTAACAAACCTTTTGTTTTTTGTTATTACTTTTTGTTAAAAAATTGTTAACAAAATCTTCACTCTCCTCATAACTTTTGCCTGTAGCCCCCAAGCAAATATTATATAAATCTCGATTAGTTAATTTTCCAAGTATCACTTCGCAGTTCTCACGCGGCATCCGTCCGCGTATCATCACAAAGAATGGATCCAGTGCCCAGGACTGTAGAAATTGTCTCAACAGTATCGTGCCCAATTTCGTATGAGCTGCGTCCTGAGCCTGATCTTTTTTACCGTCGAAATTTAAAATTCGTCGCGTCAGCTTGTAGTTCATATATTTGAATATTCTCGCCGCTTTGTCGAGTGGTAATTGTATTAAGTCGTAGAACGATAGAGTCGTATTTATCGGTGTCTTTTTTGCTACTCTTACGAAATTCTCGTCGCTATACCAACGTTTGTCAAGATCCTCTGACATTTCGAATAATTCCAGTTTATCGAACAATTTCATGATCGTCAATGCGTCGCTTCGTTCCAGTTCGTATCCATTTTTCTCTAACTGAAAAATGACGTCAAAAGCGTCAGACATAACTTGCAATTTAAATCCACTTCTTAAGCGTTCATAATACATAAATTGGTTTTGTGACTTGTGCAGTTTATATGATTCGAAATGTTCGTCGAAGTCTTGCTCGGTAGGGAAAACGAAGCTCGAAAGATCGACGCCATTTTTCAAAAGTACACAAAGCAAATTTGGCAAAAGATTCACCACAGCCGATTGCAGCAGTGTCCGACCCTTACTGTCTCGGACATCAACCGGTACTAGTTTACCAACTTTTTTGCTAATTTCGAAACATATCTCTGCCAAGTTCCCTTCGCGGTATCTCTGGAAAATCAAATGTAGCGGAGTCAATCCCTCTGCATTGCCCAAATTTGGATCCGCACCTCTTCTCAACAGCAATTCGACTGCCTTTTTGTTCTGAATTGCTACAGCCAAATGCAACGGTGTATTGCCCAACTTGTCGCGGACATCGATTTGCACCGTCTGCCCAATTTCGTCGTTTATTTCTAAGAATATCTTCGCCAATTCAGCGTTTTCAGCCTTGAAAACATTCAGCAGAGGTGTCAATTCTTCTTTGTTAACCGAATTCGGATCGGAACCTTTTCTTATAATAGTAATTCGATCACTTTCCTCTCATAGGCCAAATGCAGGGGTGAGTCACCTGTTTTTGGCCAGAGAAGATTGGGATCAACCTTACCAAGCTCGAGAAATTTCTGGACGATTTCGACTTCGCCGAATTTACAGGCCACATGGAAATGCGTCAAGCCATCTTCGTCGGTGTAGTTCACGTCATATCTGTCGTAGATTTTAAAAAGATGAGGAATTAAGTAGCTTCGATTCTTCCGAGTCGCATGATGTAAAGGTGTGGTACGACGCAACAGTGGCTTGTCGTCTTCATCAAATTTGGGCTTGTCTTTGTACCCGGTACGAGCTACAAATTCAATTAAACTTTTTTCTCTTTGATAGTTGAAACTTTCACAATGTTCGAAATCTAACATAAGACATTCAATTTGTTCGGGTTCAAAAATGTCCCGCAGGTCAGGAAGTTCGCATTTCCAATCTCTAATTATGGATTCAAGTTCACAGACAAATTTGATTCTAGAGCTTTGGATGTTCAAATTGACATATTCTCGTGCACAGATCAATCTTTCCAAGTCGGACATTTTTTTTGTGCACTCAAAGGCAATTCACAATCACAATTATAATTGAAGATATTTTTTCTTCTCACTAAAAACACGTGGCGTGGTTGAAGCAATGAGAGATTTTTTTACTTCCTACACTTCGTCAGTGTAACGTGTACGGAAATAACGAGCACGTGGTTCAAGCGACGAGATATCAATTTCACTAAAATCACGAGGAGCGGTCGATGCGATGTTGGAAGATGTTCTCACTTCTGTGCCTCGAAATGTACTGACTTTGAATGCACTACGATGTATATAGACACTATACAGAGCACATGGTTGAACTTTCCCTTTTCCAAAAAATCACTCGATGAGATAACTCCGATATTCGAAGACGTTGTCGCTCTTCCACGTTTTAATTTCTACTGGCTTTCAATGCGCTACGATCCATACATAGAGACTGTACCGAACAATGGTCGAAATTAAACTTTCACTTCTTCACTCGATTGAGATAAATTCGATATTCGAAGATGTTCTTGGTTCGGTGTTTGAACGTATACTGACTCTTGAGTATGTACACGCGCTACCATTTACATACACAGGCGGAGGCTTTGAAAGAATATCTACAGTGAGAGAGGGGGAAATCTTTATAGGGTAAATTAACAACTAAATAATAACACAGCTCTACAAAAAAAAAAAAATTTTCAAATCCACCGAACGGACCTAGTGGACTTTATGTTTTCGGGGTCGCTGAATCCGAATCCGCGGTCGGTTTTTCAAGGTTGGCTCATTTTAGAGGTCATTTGAAGGTCAAATAATTGGAAAAGGGTAAAAAATCTGAAAAAATTCATACATGGGTTTTTGAGAATGCCGAATCCAAATCCGAGGTCGGATGACCTTCAGGAGGTCAATTTGAAGGTCTTTTGAAGGTCAAACTACAAGAATTCAATGAAAATATCCGAAAAAATCACCCTTTTGTTTTGAGGGTCGCTCATTCTGAATCAGAGGTCATTTTGACTGTATCCGGCCTTGTAAAGGTCATTTGAAGGTCATTTAAACTTTAAATTAATACAAGGAAGTGAAAAATTAAGAAAATATTTTTAATTTTGCATGCGTTTTTACTTTTTTTTCGCAACGCATCTTTTTTTCTTCGAACGAACGGCGTAATGGTTTTCGTTTGCGTTTTTTGCCTTTCTCATTTTGACTCTCTCTCTTTAACATCCAGCAGTAATCAGTCATCATCGAAACATCCTATCGACCTAATTGATACCGCTGCTCCATACTTTTCATGTCTTGATAGAATCGTTCTCCATGCTCGTCACTAAAATCACCACAGTTATCCGGAAACTCATCTGAATGGTTATGTAAGAAATGCAGTTTATAAGACATATTACATTTCATTTCACCGACATCAAACTTATCGAGGCAGCAGGTAAAAACTAGAAAAGAAAAAAGTGTGTCAGAATGAGAGTAGGTTAACAGAACTGCATATTTCTCCATATCAATATCACGAACGAAAACGGTGCATTAATATGAAAAAATATGCCGATTTGTCAATTCACTCCCCATGCCAATCCACCTGGTTCATCTCTACTTTGTCATAAGGATATACTTATAGTGAATTTATTTTTACACTCTCAGACATTGTTTCACAAAATTTTAAAATGCATTCGTTTTAATCGAAGAAAAATCCATTGATGAAGAATTTTTCAAATTTTGTGACCCAATTCTATAGTAAAAAATAAAATAGCCTATATTATATTCACATATAAAGAAGTCCTATAAAAAATTTACCTGAAGCTGTCAACAAAATTAAGGTAAATTTTATAATAACGGAAGTAAAAATTGATTGTTAAAAAATGAAGAGATTTTTTTGGTTGCTTTACTGCGGGGAAATAGCTTAGAAAAAATGTATTATATTTATTAAGTAGGGAAAAAAGCAGCTCTATCCCAGAATGTGAGCTCGCTAAATGTCTTAGACTAAAAAATTAATTCAGTTTTAAATAACTAAGCACAATTTTCTTCCAATATTTTATCGCATTAAATAAATTTAACATTGAAATGACCTTGAAGGTGACTTCCTAGAGGTCATCTGACTTCAGATTTGAGTTCAGCATCCTTAAAAACCTCTGAATGAGTATTTTCAGATTTTTTTAAGCTTTTTTCGTGATCTGACCCTAAAATAACCTTCAAATGACCTTTACAAGGCCGGATTCAGTCAAAATGACCTCTGATTCAGAATGAGCGACCCTCAAATCAAAAGGGTGATTTTTTCGGATATTTTCATTGAATTCTTGTAGTTTGACCTTCAAATGACCTTGAAAGTGACCTCCTAAAGGTCATCCGACCTCGGATTTGGATTCAGCATCCTCAAAAACCCATGTATGAATTTTTCCAGATTTTTTACCTTTTTCCTATTATTTGACCTTCAAATGACCTCTAAAATGAGCCAACCTTGAAAAACCGACCCCGGATTCGGATTCAGCGACCCCAAAAACATAAAGTCCACTAGGTCCGGTCGGTGGATTTGAAAATTTTTTTTTTTTTGTAGAGCTGTGTAATGATTTTTTATATTGTAAATATATTGATATTATTTCTCATGATTTATAGAAAAGGAAAAAAATTTGCTCTGCACAGAAATTTTTAACAGTTTTGAAAAACTCCATGATTGTTGTAAATAATTTAGGTTTTAGTACAAACAATATTTGTTCTTATTCTCGACAAAATATATCATCAATGCGTATTGATATTATTATCATCGCGTGCTTAGGAAGTGTCATAAATACTTGAAATATCCTAGATGATGTCCGTCGATTGCATAGACCCGGCATAGACGATGTAAGGAGATTCGATAAAATTTACGTTTTTTTTGCATCAAAATCTTCCTGAACAATCGCAATTATTGAGACGGTGTATATCATAACTGCAAAACTACTGAACCGATCGTTCTGAAATTTCACACACTTCTTTTAGTTGCATTTTACTAGATATATTTTCTTTTCGATCACACATACTTTTTCGATTTTTTTTTCAATTTTTTGACTTCAAGTTGACACCAAATTTAACAAAATTAAAATAATTGAGGAAACTCGACGCCCCTACCTCCGGAATCATGTATAAACTTAAAAAAAAAAAACTTTGGTTTATTTCTTTCCGACCATTCTATCATAAGTTATCATGTACACCATGTTTTTTGAGGTGTAAGCTTCAAATGTTCGCCTCAGGCTCATTTTTTAGTATTTCACCGTGAAAATTTAATGATATAATTTTGCCGAAATTCAAGTCATAAAAGTACTGTATAAAAGTGACCTATATGAGTTCAATCGTCTCACCCGTGGTATCGCGTGGCACCCGTGGATCTTGAGAATAGTATCCTTATTACAATGAATGAATTATAAAATAATACAAAATTATTTCATTGCTAAATCAATACAAAAATATGCCTTTATGAAATTAATAAAAATTAATTTTAATTGTTTCAGGTCTTACCAATGTTAAATTGAATTGAACCGAAAATTAATATTCATCATGGAAAATGCAAGTGGTAATGCCGTAAAAATGGATCAATGTATAGACAGAATCTTTCGTGAGGTGCTTGAAAATATCAGCAGTGATAACCTGATAAACAGTCAAACAAATGGTTGTAAAATGTGTCCTTTCAGCTTGCTAATGATGAAAATAGAAAAACTAGTTAGAATACGCGTGGTCCCTCAATTTTGGTCAAAATTTAATAATTCTATAAATAAGGACTCTAAAGAAGGATTCCAAGATTTTACCGATTCAGTTGATGAACTTTATGAGAATTCAAAAAAATTTATTTCCGTTGTCGATCGACTCAAAGAATCTATTTCATGTGTTCATCATTGCGAATTCAAAAGTGATCGATTAATCACACACGTTAGACATTACATTCAGGGCACGATTTTGAGTCAAATACCTTTACAGCATACAATAATTATAGAACAATTTTATAAGACTGCGTTCAATGTATTTTGTAATATTGAAGCCTTGCAACAGCCATGCGGTTTTCCTACGAATAACGAATTAATCATTTGCGAAGGATGTAAGCAAGAGAAAAAAAATTGCAGATGTCAAGTAATTGTAAACATATTTCATAAAACTAACGAAAAATTAATAGACTTAGGTTTACTCGAAAGACTGTCCGGAAGCGTATTAACTTCATTGATTCACATTCGCATAAAAAACTACGTTTTTTCCGTAAGTTGCAATTCTTTTAATCAATCTCAGATCGGTAATTTAGAACATTGGCTCGATACCGTCGTCATGAATTGGCTCGTGAGAATTTACACCGGTGGATCTTCCAAAACGGCAGGCCTTCCGGATAAAATTCGCAACGCCATAGGCACGTTCAAGCAGAAACTGAGTTACTTCTTGTACGAGACGTACACGAGAGTGAGAATACAGCAATTGTTCAACATCATACTAGTTTTTCCAGATTCTCAACCTGCCCTCGACGACCTGCGAGTCTGCTTGAAGAAGAACGATTTGAGAAAATATCTGATAAGCAATTTACAATTCAACGTTAAAACCAGACTGCTGCATCCGGGAGTCAGTACGCCGGACATTCTCACAACGTACATATCGGCGATCAAGGCGTTGCGTCAATTGGATCCGACCTGTACGCTGCTCGAAATAATAACCGATCCGGTAAAATTGTACCTGCGCGGCAGAGAAGACACCGTCAGGTGCGTAGTGAGTGGTTTACTCAACGAGTCCAACGCGAATAATCTCGCGAATGAAATAATGCGCAACAAGCCCATCAATCAAGATCTGTCGTCGAGCAACGACGCCGCGCAAAAAGACGGTAACAATTCTGCCCAGGCGAAAAAAGAAAACTGGGAAAATTGGCAACCGGACTTGATCGATTCGGAAAACGAATTCGACCTGAAAACCGATTTGAAATCCGACTTGAAATCGTCGCTCTTCGGAATTTATTCGAAAATCACACCGTGCAAAGCGGAACCGAACAGCGCCGTCATGAGTAAAAACGAAAATTCCGATTTGATCTCGATGTTGGTCAACGTGTACGGAAGCCAAGATCTATTCGTCAACGAGTATCGCAGTTTGCTGGCGGATCGCCTCCTGTCGCAGCTCGACTTCCAAACCGAGAAGGAGTATCGTCAATTGCAACTGCTGAAGGAGCGTTTCGGCGAGCAGCAGCTGCTGTCTTGCGAAGTGATGATCAAAGATCTGTGCGACTCTCAGAACATCAACAACAGCATCCACAACGACCAAACGTACACGAGCCACTACAAAGCCTTCGACACCTCGGCCCTGATTCTGTCGGCTCAGTTTTGGCCACCCTTCAAGGAGGATTGGAAGCTGGAGCTGCCCGCGCTGGTGCAGCAGCAGCTGCAAAAGTACGTGCTGGCCTTCGAATCGTTCAAGGCCAACAGAAGCATCTGCTGGAAGACGCACATCGGCAACGTCAATCTCGAGATCGAGACGCAGGATAGAAAGCTGACGCTGAACGTCTCGCCCATTCACGCCACCATAATCATACACTTTCAAGACAAGAACGAGTGGAGCTTGGACCAGTTGAGCGAAGTTATGCACGTTCCGACTACGGTTTTGCGAAGAAAAATCGGCTACTGGGTGTCTCAGTCTCTGCTCATTGAAACGAGCAACGACGTCTTCGTTCTCGTCGATAAGCTCGACCCGGATAACAGTAAACAATTTACCGATTTGACGCAGAATATAATGGAGGACGACGAAGACATCGACAGTGCCATGGCATCGGTCAGTGACCAGAGAGAGGAGGAGCTTCAGATATTTTGGTCTTACATCGTTGGTATGCTCACGAATCTGGACTCGATGCCGCTCGAACGGATTCATCAGATGTTGAAGATGTTCGCGTCGCAAGGCACGGGTGCGGTAGAATGTAGCTTGGCCGAATTGAGGCAATTTCTCGATAACAAAGTCAAAGATCACCAGCTTCTTTATTCGAGCGGTCTTTACAAGTTACCGAAATCATAAGTTGTTTTCTAGTTTTAAAGATAGCATTAAAAATGTAAATATACGTTTAGGAGAAAAATAAAAAAACTGTTGATTCTCTTATGAATTTCTATTGAAAATCGTTTCTTACAAATTTCCTACCTTAAAAATATAAAAAATAATTGGGGTGTAGCTTTATTATTTCTTTTCTAACTTTAGGTATGAAGTTTTAATTAAAGGTAGTGGTTGTTTTATAAAAAAATCATTACATAAAATATGATCGGTATTCAATGATTTTTTGAACTAAAATTTAAATTAAAAAAATGTAGTGAATTTCAAATTAATCTTTGACTTTATTACATATAAACTTATTCACATTATCAATGTTTATAATTTATAATGCAGTAAAATAATATAAATTAAATTATCCCTAAAAAATTACACTTAGTAAAACATTAAAAAAAAAAAGAATTAAATTAAGACAATGAATCACCAGAGGGAAGGGACATAACAGCAGTCGGTACGTTCGATGCAGATGCCGGGATGTATTGCGAGGTCATTGAAGTACTGACCATTTCACTTAAACATGATAAATCAGATCCTCTGCCTCTCCCACGACCTCTACCACGACTTCTACCACGTCCCCTCCCTCTTCCACGTCAACTTCTTCTGTCTGGCATGCCAATATTACTCGTAGTTTTTTCTAAGTAAGCTAATGGTCCCTGAAGCGAGCTGCTATTGTTAACAGGAAGTCCAAAACCAGGATTTCTGGACGGCCCCATATTTCCTTGATTAGCAAAGACATTTTGAGGAATGGTTGGGACTCCATTAGCTTGAAGATTCATTTGCATCGACGCATTAGGAGGTTGTTGATTCTGAAACAATTAAATGTTTAAAATTTTAAATTGTTGTATTTATTGTTCAATTAAATGTAACGCGAATAAAAATTAGTTCAAATTTAAATCTTGACATGCGTCTAGAAAAACATTTATTTTCAACCAATTTAAAGAAAATTTGGAATCAACTTAATTGTGTTTAAAATTCAAACATTTATTTAATCGAGCTTTCTTTTGCAGAAGCAAGCGAGTAGACTCTTGCCAACAAAATTTGTATTCTTCGTATAATTTTACATAAAAATTCATGACTCAAATACTTTTTTCATTATCATCTCAGAAAAACAGAATAAAATTAAATAAATAAAATCTAACTCAAAGCCTCTTTAAATTCATGAGGATTAGACCTGAAGGGTTCCAATTACGGGGTTTCAATTTGTCTAATTTACTCTTAAAGTACTTACATAGTTTTATTTTTACTTTTTAAACTATCTCATCAACATCTTTATCAATGCACTCAGCGCTCTACACAACTGAGTTGCTTTCTGCTGCAACATCTTATTTTACTAGATCGGTAGGTGAAAATGATATTTACTGTACTTCGTTCGTGAAAACTGGTATAATGTTTTCCACAGCACGATGACTGTGTAAGATCATTGTAATAAAAAAATGAAAGAAAAGAAGCAAAAGTAGGTTTGTAAGAATCTGAAAAATTTTCCTCCACATAAATGAATATCATGAGACTCATGATGAAGCCACTCGGATTATTGGTATTCTTTCAAAAAATTTGTCTGAAAATTTCACAGCAATAAGGGGGTGGTGAAGTCTGTTTTTTGAAACTTTTACTGAAATTTCTTCAAACGACTCTACGGTACACCATCAAATTTCAAGATGAAAATTGTCATGTAGAGCATACAGAAATATATTTAGTAGAAGTTTTAGACAACTGGATTGAAAATTTGATTTTTAGACTGGCTTTGCAATTCTTTCATTTTAACGATTTATGAAGAAAAAAACGTAGGTATCTACATTAATTTTTAAGGAAACAAAAAAAAATTATTGAGGATGAACTGCTCAATAAAGCAAGAAAATTCGATTTTGCCTTACGTTCCAGCGGTAAATACTCCATAAATCTTACGATGATATTTTCTGATAAGATTTATTATAGGATCAAAGTTTCAATATTTAAAGGATAACATGCAGATCACAATGGGTAACATGAAGTAATAACTAAAAATGTATTAGTTAATACTTTACTTACTTGTAAATGTGCGTGATGCTGTATAGGTGATTGAGAATGAATAGGTTGTGACATATAATGATGTTGATTATTAGTATTGTTGCCACTATTTGTTTGTTGATTCATATTTGGTACATTACAAGATGATCCTAAATCAATATTTTATCATAATAAAAACTATTTTAAAAAGTGTAAAGAAAATCATAAAATAAGTAAATTGAAAATAATTACCATTTGGTTGGGCCCATCCATGCATTTCAGCTAGTAAATTTTGCCATACTACAACTTTATCATGGTGTTTTTTGATCATTTCTTCTTTTCTAAATATTTCTGTTTTTAAATCCATTATTTCCTCTTTTATTGGCAATTCTGGCTTTAAAACTGATAAAAGGAATCTTCTTTGTAAAAAAAATGCTTCTACTTGGCGAGCCATATCAATAAATCGAAAAAATACTTGATCAACTTCCAACTTTGATTCATCTTTATCCAGTTGCAATTCTAAATCTTTTTGTTTTTCAAATCCTTCATTTTTTGTGAAAAGATTTAGATATTGCTGTAATAAAATTGTGCAAAGAAAATATTTCATTATTAAAAAACTTTTGAAAATTTGTGAACTATGTAATAAATTGTAAAACTATGTAATTAAAATTTCAAAGTATCTATGCATAGCACACTACTAAAAAATGCAGTCTATGTAACATTAGTCAAATTATTGAACCGTTGACAATTCTTTTGACATAAGAAATATCATTACTTTTAAAACAATTAAGAGAATCAATAAAGATATAATATTTGTGATATAATTACAACCACTGTATAAAAAGTTTTTAAGAGCACCATTAATGAAATAATATTTTTAGTTCATTATCAATTAACTATTGCATGTTTAACATAATAATTAATAACTGTATTTTATTATCTAACCTGAAATGATTCCTCAAATTCATCAATCACATTTCCATTTCCATTATTAGATGTAGCCATATTAAAAAACTATATTTGTGAACTTCAAAACTAATAAAAACTATTTATAACTGGTAATAATGTGTAAAAATATCAAAATGTGCTACATGTCAAAACGCATTCGGTTACTCTTATTTGTCAATTGTCTGAATATTGAAACCTTCACGTAAGCCTTCGACTTGTAATCAACATCGTGATGATCATTGTTATTATTGTTAGGCATGAAGCCGCTTGTATTTATTTTCTAGGCTGACGTGCAATGCAGTGATCGCAAAGAAACTTGCGCAATTTGACTTGTGCATGTCAAAATTACGAAAAATAGTATTCTCTCCAGAATATGAATAAATTTATAGAAGTTTTTTTTCTCTTAATGAGTTTTCAAAATAAATTTTTGTGCAGCAAGTGGATAAATTTTATTTACTTTAATTTTACTAATTTTTTTGATGATTGGCAAGTATACAAAATAATTCACTATAAACTTAAACTTGAGCTGATGAGTTTAATTCTTGATGAGCATATCAAGTTTACAATAAATAAATCAACTTTCTTCTTGGTTCAGATAGAGAACAATTTTTTTATTAAAAAAAATAATGTTAATAAAAACAATTGAAGATCTTTCATTTTTGTTTTTTTTAAACAAAAAAAAATAGTTTTATGTATAAAAGCAAAAGCATAACTAAACAAACAGGAGTAAGCGACATTAATTGGATTTAAGAAATTCGTGTAACTTATGATGTTAAAAGTTGTTATATTCTTGTCGCAAAACGCAATTCTTGGACCACATAATTGCAGACAAACACTTCGCAGTAATATCTCAATTTAGTAGCATGAACTGTAGCGTAACCTCAACTGATGTTGGCATTGTTTTTTTGGAGATTGGTATAGTATCTGCATTAAACTACAGTCTTCACACAAGTGTATTTTTATTGATGTATATTAACTAATTTAACATTACAAAAAACGGATTTTTCAACTTCGAAAGGGGATTATAATTTTTTTTTCTCCATCGATGTGATAAAAGTGTTTGAACTATGTGCTGTTAAGTTTCTCAAAATACAATCTCAATGGTTTCCAAAACATAGTGTTTGATTATTGTTTTTGTGCAAAACTTACAAAATTGTTTTGAAATTATGTAACTATTCTCAAAAAGTGATGAACTGCGGCAATTTCTATATTGTCTAAGTCAACTACAGGAAAGGTTTTCAAGAGCATGATAAATAACTTTCCTCAGAGTAAAAATGTCAACAAAAAGTTATAACAAATCATTAAACCGCAAAGGTAATAATGTCGGTGCTTCTGGAAATATCCAATTTGAAAAGCTATTCCGTGAAAATAGTAATAGGCCATCAGTTTCTAAATCAGCTGGTATTGTTGGTAAATGGGGAATAACATCCTTTACATCAATTCGAAGTTCAAACATAAATGGTACAGTACATATTCCATTTTCATTCAATTTCATTTCATTCTTTCTTATCACAACACCAATTACAACATTTAATCAAATTGATATTCAAGTTTAAGAAATATAATCCTTAACCTACTTATGTATAAACTGAATTTATGTTTCACAACACAACTGTTACATTGGTTAGGATTCATTCCATTACAACCAATTAGTTATTTCTCTGGTATTTTTATTAACGGATATGCATCAAACCACATTTTGTAACTCTATGAAACACGAAGTATAATGAATTAACTTAATTTTTTAAATAAATTTTTCAACTAAGTGTGTGCAATATTTCATCTAATACTTTACAAACATGTTTTTGACACTTGTTTTCTTTTGTCATATAATGATGATGATAATGAATAATGATACATCGGATAAAATAAGTTATTCATTTTTAGTTAGATAGGACATAACTTTGAAATTTCAACAATTTCCATGGCTAAATTAAATTGATAAATTACTGCATAACAAATAAAATTTACTGAAAATTATTTTACCTATACTTTGACACTTAACTTATTCAAATAATTCATTCATTAAATCATTCATCAAATCATTCATCAACTCATTTCTATTGCCCATGCTAATAAGTTCTCACACAACTTGGCCGGCTTGAATAAAAGTAAATTAATTGATCAATATACCTCATTGGATATGACAATTGAACATATTTCTTAAGTACATTGATATCAGTTTAAAAGTTTTTATCTAATTTTTTTTATTATTTTACAGATAAACCTGCTGGAGAGAGTCGAAAATCTCATGGAACAAAACGACAAAAACTTGATGTCCCAAAATCTAATTCGTTTAAAAAGAAAGCTCAACCACCAGCACCAGCACCTCCACCAGCACCAACACCAGCACCAACAAAAATAAGTGATAACAAACCAAAAAAGTTTTTCAAGAGTCGAAATCAAGCTGCTGCAGCTGCTGCAGCTGGGACTCTTAATGCTGATAAAAAATCAAATCCTGCCACAACAGATGTAGAAATGGTCAGTGGTAACAGCCACCCAAAAACAAAGCCGGAGCAGGCAGAAGAAAAAAATGTTCTTCAATCAACCAGTTCAGAGAATTTAAAACCTCCAATTGTTTTACGAATCTGCAAGGGTACTGCCAGGCTTGTGGGTGCTAAAATATCAAAGGATAGTTCATCGGAAGAAGTTTCTTCTCCGACTTCTAGTTCTAATAATACAACAACTAACAACCGAGACGAAGTTACAGATCATACCCCAAGAAAAACTAGAAGTCGAACGAAAGTACAAGAAACCGATGTTAATGTACATCAGACTAAATTTACAATTAGTACAGAAACTGCATATCCTAAAAAACTAAATTTAAAAAGAACTTACAGCGATGCAAATGAAGATTATGCAACAAATGATACAATTCATTATCCAAAATTACACATTAAAGAGATTCCAGAACGTCCTTCAAAGAGTGAAATTGAAGATAACAATTCTAAATCTTTGTTGAACGATGTTCCAACTAATTTACCACCGGTACTGCCTCAACAAGTTACAAATAACGAAAGAACCGAATCGGTCGTCGCACCGCTCAATGTAGACAATTTAACGTCAGACCAAATTATGCACACCGATGAACCCGATTCTTTGCCCGTCGCGCCCGTAGAAGAAAAATATCCCGAAAACGTATATCAGAATCAAAGCGACAACAAACCAACATCAGCACCGATCAGCGAACCAAAATCGAACGTAGTGAAGGAAGCCGAGCAGGATTGGTTCTCCGACAGCGACGAGAGCGAAGGCGCCAATAACGCCAACGACGCTCGGATCGAGGCCCAAGAGCCGTCGTCGGTGGACGGCCCGAGCGCGCTGCTGACCAGCAGCAGCAGCATCAGCAGCAAGACCTTCGAGAAGCCGGCTCTGCTGAAGAAGGGCAGCATCTTCAAGACCCGCTGCGCCGGCGGCACGTCGAGCAACAACAAGAGGCGAGCTCTGTACAAGCACAAGTGGTGCGACGGCGACAAGGAGAGCAAGGCCGGGTCGCAGGACAACGCCGCGGCGACCGACGCGATGATGATGGACTCGTTGACGAGCATGCCGCCGACCAAGAGCGGCGGCATGATGCTGCCGTCCGGCGAGCATCAGCAGAGCGGCGACGCCTCGTCCATGAGCGTCATGGATTTCCAAGAGTCCGAGAGCTCGACGACGTCGTACTCGGAAGCGACGAGCGGCACCGGCAAAAAAACTAAAGAAGTGAGTAAGATTACCTTACGTTGCGTGGGCGATACGTGGGTGATTATACCGCGAGTCGGGTGCATTATGGCGTAGGCCATAATCATCAGTATCTCACTTGACCCAGGTAGTGTTTTGCTTATATCGAATGGCAGTAAATGGTCATTTATTGGAGCAAATTCTACCAGCAAAAGTAACGAAAGCTTCTAAACTTTATTGATCAGAAGTTAATGAAGAATCGCTAAAAGAATAAATGTTGTAAATAGTTATTTATGTAATAAGTGCCCAAAAGGCGTTTTTGGGCACGTATTGCATATAAAATTTTATGCAATAGTAGGCGAAAAATACGTTCATTTAAATGCGGCGTTTTACCGCCCACCCGTGTCCGAAATGGGGCATTTTACCGCACACAAGTGTCCAAAAACGCTTTTTGCGCACTAAAAAATGTGCGAAAAAAGACATTTTTCGTCATACTATTGCATAAACATTATTATTTTCAATTTGCAGTTTTACACAGTCGTGAAAAACGTCAAGAAAGCCCATCAAATCCAAGAGAGCGGCGAATTTCAGGAATTCAACGACGACGTCGAGTACATTTTGGACACGCTCAGAGAGAACAATCCGAACGCCACTCGGTGTCTGTCGGCCATCAGATTGGCCACCAAGTGCATGGCCCCCGCCTTTCGGATGCACGTCAGAGCTCACGGAACCGTTGCCAAGTTCTTCAAAGCTCTGCACGATGCCAAAGCCGATCAAGTGAGGATTAATTTTTAATTGAACTTTTGTGTGTGTGTGTGTGTGTGTGTGTGTAATCGATCGCGCCCGATCTCGGAGTTTCAATCGAATTTCTCAATTTTCCAGAGCTTAGCTTTGTGTACAGCGACAGTTATGTTCGTGCTGAGCCAAGATCGTCTCGCCATGGATTTGGATAGAGATTGTTTGTCGTTGATGCTGAGTCTTCTGGATTCGGACGCGAGTTACAAAAATGCCCTGAACGACTGCGGCTTGAGCTACGCCGAACTCTTGAAAAATAAAGAACGAGTCAGGCAGCTCTGTGCCGATATTCAATCCCAGGGACACGCAAAACATCTAAATATCGATAACATAACAGTAAGTCGACTTCTGAATTATCAGATTGCTTCAGTCTCCATTCCTACTTCACGTAGCGTAAAAATAAGAGTTTTATACAGAAATAAGAGAAATTGTTTTGAATAATAATTTTTAGGTAGGACAATTGGCTATGGAAACATTACTCAGTCTTACGTCCAAGCGAGCCGGAGAATGGTTCAAAGAGGAGCTGAGAAAGCTCGGCGGCTTAGATTTTATAACGAAAACTATTACAGAGTGTTATAGTTTTATTTTTAATAAGAAAGTAGAAAATGACATATGGTCTGAAGAACTACTGGATAAGTTAAGAAAAGTTGATAGATGTCTAAGAGTGTTGGAAAATGTATGTATTAAAAATTCATTGGATTGAAAGATATTTTATTTCGCGTGCGACGTTTTTAAAAACAATCATTCAATTTTACAGGTAACTAACATGAATGAAGAAAATCAAATTTATTTATTAAGTTATGACAATAGTATATTAGAAAATACATTAGCTAGTCTGTATGATCTTTGTATACAAGAAGTGAAGAAGTACCCTACTCACAACTCCAGCGATAAAGCGTCGAGTGGAGTTGTGATTCGTGAATGTTTGATAGCGATCATCAAAGTGTTCATTAATCTTACACATCGATTCAAAGAGCAATGTAAGTTTTCAATCTCATCTTTATAAACTTCGAGTGCTCTGTGCACTTAATGAAAATCAAAACATACAATAATTTTTAAATCATCATTTCAGCTACGCGCAGAAGATCTATAGGTTTTCAGTATCATATCGTACGAAATAGTTTATTGCTTCTATTGCATATTCCACCTTATCTGCCAGACGATAGACGATTCGATGTTAGAATGCTGGCATTGATATTTTTAATTAATTTGACGGAGCAAAGTGAAGAGAATAAGAAGTACATTATAAATTGCGATGAATCACCGAGTAGTCAAGGTATAGCATCGTTGAATATATTGAAGTTATAAGTTATCGGATTTATTCTATTATTGAACTTAATTTCTTTCAGAACAAACTTATGGAGTTCAAGCACTCATTGACCTTTTCTTCAATCAAGAAGAGTTAGCGCGTTTAGAAGAAAAAAATACAGATGCGATTTTAGACGGTAAAAAGGAACCCGATCAAAGTACACCTCAATCATCGGCTTCGAAGTCCCGAGAAGATATCATTGAAGAAACTGTTGCACAATGTAATTAATCGTTTAGACATTTATTGATTGCGAATATTACTTTCGAGATACATACGAATTCAAATTTTTTCTTTTTTAGTACTTCAAAAAGCTGGTCGACACATGGAGCATACTTTGATAGCAGCTTATGTTGCACTCTTACTAGGATATTTGATCATGGACAACGATGTATGTGAAATATATTTAATGTGCCGCAGATTAATATTGTAGAATTGTAAATGATAATAATTAAATTTTTTCAGGACTATGTTCAAGTTGTGCGATCGAAGCTACCTGATAATAAATTCTCGACAATGGTTCTTGTTCTACAGAAATTCTTCAACTTCATGAATCTCACAGCATCGGTATGGAAACGATAGTTTTATTTCAATTACCGATAAATCAATTTAAAGTTGAAATTAACGAAAAATTGTTTTCCCTTGCAGAATGAAGTGAGTAGCTGTGGAATAGCGGCGACTGAGAAAGTCATCAAGTTCATGAAAATGCTTGATGAGGTTGAGCATATATAAATTTCATCACTTATTCACCATACATTCATTAATATTAACTTATATATAAAAATGTTAAAATAATTTAAGAGTTCGATTTAAATATTTCCTTGTTCGAAATTGTAAAATAAAAATTAAGATGAGAATCTTAACACACGTTAAAATGTAAAGAAAAGTATTTGTAATGCAAATTTTAAATAAGAATTTTCCCTCATTAAGTACACGAAATACTTTTCAACATAATAACGTACACATGTAACAAGAGCATCGTTTTTATCCTTCTGATTGACAATGATTGCTTAATTTTCTACAGTATTTAGTTCGAATAAAATAATTTTGTAACATTTTAAAACACTCAATTCCATGTAGTTTAAAATGTTTTTATGTTGTATATGGGTCGTCATCGCATCATATGCGATGGGCCTCAACACATTACGTAAAATACGTAATAAAAAAAGATAAATATACAAAATATAAAGTTCATAATGGTTTGAAAATTGATTTATTCATTATGTCTCAATTACCAGTACACTATCTTTGCCCTTGCAGGGAAATTACATCGATTTATTTTAAAGAAGTTAAAATTATTGTTACCGAGCATTTTCAAGTGTCTTTGAAATGAAACGTGAAATTACACCCTATCGAAGTTTTTAAATTTTGTGATTGATTCTAATATTTTTTGCTTCAAATTTTTTAAGAATTACATCTGTAAAAAATTAAATGTTTGCATCATCGAATTTCCACTAAATCTCTATTACATTCTGATTTTGTAGTATCAAAATTCAAACGCGTCGAATTTGTGAACCATGTGCTGCGGCCGCGAAGAAGTTGAACTGTTCCGCTTCGAAGCGGATAGTTGCGGCTCCGCGGCGAGTGTCTTTTTACTTTTCTAGCTGCAGCTGCTGCTACTGTCGCTGGGACGATTGCCAAGCGTTTATATATAGAGCTTTCTTTCGTGTTTCTGGGTGAAATTCAATTCCCACCGAATTTCGGCACTTACGCAATAATCAGACAAATTACGCGACACACGAAGCATCGTTTTGTGCATAGTTTCAAAAAAAAGTGTACGTTACACAGCTCTCGGCATTTTCATTAGTCATATGCGAAAATTGATATTTTTGACTTTGTCCCGCGCGGCGCGCAATTACGCAAACGTTTCCGTTGAGCGCCGCGCTCGAATTTTTCCCGATAAAATTAACGGCAAATTTGCATAACAAAAGAAAAATCCAAAAAGAAACATAGCGTATACTCAACCCGTTTATTATATGTTGGAGCACGCGGCGTTTCCTTCGCCTCGCGAGTTTCGAACGTCAGCGATGAAATCATCATCATCACTTGAGTCGAGGCGAGTGCAGCTGCACTTGGCGTCATGGGGCTTCGAACTCTCGACGATAGACAGAGACGGAGAGCCGTTGCATATACAGAGAGAGATCCGAACTCGCGCGTATATAATAATCTTTGCGCGTGGAAGTACGCCTGTGTCGTGTGTACTGGTTTATTTTTCTGCGACTATAATAACTAAATAGGCGTATGTATGTACACGCAACGCTTTTAATTGACGTCGAAGCTAGCTCGTTTAACGAAATTGCCCGCGCGATCGCGTACGCGCAAATTGACGAGCTCGAATTTTTGTTGAATGCACGAATCGTGTTTACTCGTCCGTTGGAAAAATCCTGAAAATTGGAAAAAATATTGCACCGCAGTAAGCCCGATTAAATGCCATTCATGGTTTTTTTTCCTCGAAATCCGACTAATAATGGTACTATACGTATTTCTTTGTTGGCTCGAGCTGCGTAGCGCACTGCGGGCTTCTCGGAGTCGTGCATGGGTACACGTGCACCGCGCGATCGTTACAAAAAGTGTATATACGCTAGGATTTTAAATCACTGAAAATTTCGTTCGCAAGCAAAGAAATCATCTCAAACGAGCCGCCTTTCTTCTTCTTTCGAAAAGACAAAGCTACATAGCGAGCCGTCTTCGTATATAATAAAGTTACGAAACGCGATTATACTCGTGATTCACGTGGCGCATCATCGTCGTCATCATCATCATCGGTTACTGATTCAATCTCTCGAATTGACGATATATCGTATTGTCCTTTATACAGAGACGAGTTATAACGTGTACTTATGTATAGCCTCGGTAATACGACCAATTGGTGCTATGGTATTTTTTGTAGTTGTTGTTGTTGTTAATTGTATTACGGGGTCGAGAAATTAATATTATCACGTAGGTAGTTTTTTTTATTATCCATCTCTGCATTATGAAACTGGGTAACAATCTGTATAACAGAGAGAACGAGAAGAGAAGAGAGATTTTGAAGGTTCGCATTTATCGATGAATTTATTAATATAATAATTCTTGATGATGCTTAATGATAATGAAGTGGCTGCGACCTTCTCTAATACACACGTTGTGATACATTTAAACCCAAAATTAGATACTTGTATCGCCCGTACAAACGAGGATTGCTACTTTCTTCGTAATTTCTTCCAGTCCTCGATACAGCTCGCATCTCTCCAAAATCTTCGATTTCTCAAGTATAGCCGCGAAACAAAGCCCGCAGCAGCAGCAGTAGCAGCAGCTTCATTCAGCAAAGTTACAAGTACTTACAACACACATGTATCTCTTTCTCTATTTGCACTCGAAGGCAGCAGCAGCTGATGTCCTCGCGCTTCGAGCAATATAATATCTCTCTCTCTCTGTCTCTCTGTAGCAAAAGTGCGGGTGCACTCCACTCTTTCTCGGCTGGGTACGCCTGTACCCGCAGCTCGGCACGCGCGAGTGCCGATGCACTTGGAACGTACTCTGCGCACTTCTGCTGCTGCTGCTGCTGCTGTGCTATTATAGTGCACTCATCCTCGCTCGCTTGTATATGTACACTATATGCGCGCGGTATATATAGTGGTACCTCAGAGCGGAGCGCAAATTCAAGAGTATCGACCCGCGCTCGTTGGGTACACGCGTCCTGAAACGAGTGTATATAGTAGTAGAGTTTTCCTAGCGCGATCGTATAGGCTCGCGTACATAAATACATGTGTGTGACCGAAGATGCTATTTGCTGCTAGCTGCACAGCTCGAGGAAAAGACGATATTTTGGCAACTGCGTACGTATCATTTTCTCGAGCTGTGTGTGTGTGTATGAAATACATAGTAGTAGTAGTAGTAGTTATATACCGAGTACGAGCGCACCGAGTGTACCAGTCGGCAGTATTTCATATTGTTACAAATCGTTTCGAGGCTTATTTATCCTCGTTACATACGTCGTTTTCTTGCATAAACTGCGTGAACTGGAATACGTTTTTTTCGCGTCCGCGGGTGTAAATACTTCGCGGCAAAAACAATTTTTCCAACTTCGTCGCGATGTCAGTCACGTTTACGAACCAAGTCGTCACTCGCTTATCTGTCAAGTTCATCGCGACAGTTCAAAAAGAGAATTCGAAGCTAATAAAACGGCAAAAAACAAAGGACACGCCGTGAAAATTCGCGTGTAACTGCAATCGTCTCGCCTTGAATCAATCGTCCTCTTTGCCGTTGACTTGGACTGAGCTACAAACTATATCCTCCATGCACATACATAAATCAGCAGTAGTATACGAGAGATAGGCCTAGAGTCTTAGTCATTGGTACTTGCTCGATACACAGTATATCATATACTCCTTAGAACATGAAATTTTAGAAAAAATAAAATACAATTTACTTTGGTAAAAGTTATGTTCTCCGTAAAATCGTTGAAATTGAGAAATATTTGAATTTTTTTGCTCCAAATCCGTTAGAATATTTTCTTTTTCGGAGCAAGCAAATCGATCCAAATCAGGATGGTATTCGTTCAAAATGATCGGCATCTACAGGAACGTGTGAAATGTCCACACTATATATTTCTTTCTCATAAAATTCGAAACTTACAAGTATCTTTTTTTTTATTTTAATGACAGTGATTTATTTTTTCCCTTTTATTTACGATTAGTTTTTAATCAAAGTTCAATCGAGTCGACGATTAAAAATCTTACTACATTTGGTAATTTTGCATCTGCTTAACATTCAACGATATTATACATCTCGATTCAAGAAAGATTATTTTAACTTCGAAGAGAAAAATAAATAAAGCGTAAAAGATAAATAAACGATAAGTTGCATATGAGTATCTAATTTTGTATTAAACACTTTCGACTAGAAGAAGACATATAAATTTCCATCATAGTCGCTCATCTAATTCCAAACACTCGTTACGGTCTCGCCGATGATGTCTGCAAGCTCTCGAGCTTTCAGCGACGTTAGACATACGTGTAACGTCGAAGCTGTTCTATGACAAGTAGCGCCCATCGACGTGCCACTTCAATCTTTATACATACCATTGTAAATCCTTTTGGATTTTAGGCACATCGAGCAGTCGACCTATATTATGGACGTTCCCTGGAGTACAAATCTCCGAGAGCACGAGGTCTAGGGCAAATTACGAGGCAATCGGTACAAAGAACTCGGTCGAATCAAAAACATTGTCATTCTCGCCCACCTGGCTGTCCATCATCAGCTTCGAGATCGGCCGCCAGGTGTCGCACGCCCCCCGAAAAGTCACTCCCGCAAGTGCACTTACGAGGATACAAGTACAAGTAAGAACAATTACGCGTTTATAGACAAGAATATCTTATTTCAATCGAACAAGTAAAGTAATCTTTGCGAACTAGCGACTCGCGTTGAGCCAAGCATCGCGTTATACATCCTTGCGAGCGCTCGCTCGACGACGGCCGTGATTGCCGCTTTTTCCGCAAATTTTCACAACATTCCGCAGCAGCGTGAGTAGTAGCAGCGATCGAGAACCTCGTGCCTCCTGTGTACATGATATATCCGATCCTTTCTCCGCGCCGCGTTTATGCATGCATATATTCTATATATTGTACGTGTAAAGCGGCGGTAGCCTCGACCAAGTGTATCTACAGACAATGAGCTCGTGTACGGACAATTTTCGGAGGAAAAGCCGCGTGGCGATCTCTACACGCGACGTGCGTTTATAAATCGCACCTATAATCGGCATCTCGTGCTTCAAGGCCCATATCGACGTTTGGAGAAAGCTATACGTATACTTCGTGCACTCGACTAAACCTCGGCTACGCCAGTGTACGTGTAGCTATTTTTTTTCTCGTCTATATCTTCCACCTACTTTTACATACTGTATACAGGATCGCGCGGGGAGACACAATTTCCCCCAAAATTACGTCGCGCGGAGAAAACCTCAATACGCGTCATCTGCTGCTATCGTTTCTGGATAAAGAGACGCACATTTTTCTCTCTCGCCTCTCTCTCTGCGATGTGTTCTCGCGTATCAAAACTAAGCACCGAACGTGTATACGCACATTATATTTCCTGTTATTCGCGCGCGGCTCGCGGAAAACACAGGACGCTGCACTAATACACACACAGCATACATATACGGCGATAATCGCAATCGTCGTCGTCGTTGCACACGAAGAAAGAAAGAAAAAATGTGATGCATCGTCGTGGCTAATTTTTTGGTCGAATCATGATTTTACGAGAAATCGCGCTTGACGTATACACTACCGCACGATTCGAACGATTAATTGTACGTTATTAGCGCGGATAGGAGCTAATATTTCTCGATCGAGGATATTTTATAACGATCCATGACGAGGCAGCTTTTGCGAGCGCACACGGTTGCGGCGGGCTGTTTACTCGAAAAAATTTGTCCCGAGGAACGGTGAGCACGCGAGAATCGCGACTTTTTTTTTTGGCCAGCCTCTGATCACTGACTGCAATATGTCTCTCTGACGTCATCTCGAAAACGAGACGAGAGAGAAGGTGAGAGGAAAAAAAGTTATAAGTTGAAGTCAGCGTCGTGCGTGCTGATATAACGTTAACGATTAATTGTCTATTATAGGCGCTCTTTTGAGGAAACGTAATGCATTAAATGTACGTCAGGAAGAGCATCGAATCTTCTTTTTGGAACGATTACGCTTAGTATTATACGGATGCGCAAAGTTTTATAATATACGACCCGACAAAAGTAACAAAGTCACTTCTCGGGCGCGCGCGACTTCGAGAATCGACGATCGGCAAATTGATGGTCTTCCTCTTTTTGCCGTTGCGCGCATATTTCATATTATGTATCGTCGCGTCGGTTATAGGATGTGCGTAATTGTTGTTCACGTACACGTGCACGTCAGAGAGAGAGAGAGAGAGAGAGCGAGAGATTCAGAGATACGCGTCTCGTTATTATGAGTAATAAAACTTTTCACGCGCGGATCGGCTGTCGAAAAATACGATTGTTTTTTCATCTTCGTTATTCTTCTTATTTTTCTTATCGTATAAAGATGAATGTGCTTTCGAGCGATGACTGCGCAGCGCGCATTTGAAGATTTTGAAGCGAATAATATGGTTTTATTTTATCGGTTGAAAAAGTCAATCGCGATCGAGTTCGACGAATAGAACTTGTCACAGACCGCAGAGATGACATTTTTCTCTTCTTTTCTACGAATATCGTATACTTTCTTTTTATCGACATCCGAATTCACGAATGAATCCGGTAAGGCAAATTGCAGCTGTTCGACGATGTGTCAGTTAGCTCGGCGCAGATCGCGACTATATACCTAACGGTCCATGAGTCAGAAGCTTTCGTCGATAATTGTTTCTTTCATTTTCCAGATAATAAGAAAGAAAGAAAGAAAGAGCGAAAAAAGGCGATAATCGCCGGTGCAAATTATAATATAGGCAATAAATTTTCTCCGTTACACACACTGCGGTGCAGTATAAGTATAGCTATAATGATATAGACAACGCAGCGCGCGAGCGAGAAAGCCCACAACGTCGATACGGCCCTGCTTCTTTTCTCTATATATCACGCTACACACAGTAGCAGCGGACGGCGCGAGTAGTATGTTGTGCACAAGAAAAGCAGCAGCAGTGCAGAGTCGAGCTTGACTCGCCGCCGCCGCTGCCGAGAGTATAAGCTAGTAGCTGCGCGCCGCGGCCGAGTCGTAGCCCCCCGACGAGTTCGGTTCAGCAGTCAGTCGTCGACGAAGACTCGTCGCGTACACGCGCGACAACAACATTATATACAATAGTGTGTTTTTGCTTGGGTATATAACAACAGACAGATACACACATACACAGAAGAGCATATATTTACTTGGCTCTTCTCCGGTGCGCGCCACACTACAGTTGATACAGCTAATATATACCTTGCGTATATCTATCTGGTGCGCTGCGCCTTTTTCGTGTGTGTGTGTGTGTGCAGTGTGCAGTGTTTGTGTCTATGTGTGTGTGTGAGTGTCCGCCCTCATTTTCACACCCCCTCTCGGTTGCTTCGACGACGACGATGGAGTGTCATGCAGTTCGTTGAGAGTTTTTTGAGTTCCACGAGCTTTTTTCGAGCATATATTTGTATAGATTGTTTCTAACCGTTTGACAACAACGAGAAACTCAAGTTAATTAATTACACGTCGGCCTCAAGTCGCTTCTCGTCGTAAAAAAACCAACAAAAAAGCTCGATTACTGCCAGAAAAGTGCAATACAGCCAATAATATACATTCTTTTATATTATAACAATAAAGAAAATTGTATACACACAGACGGTGTTTATACATGCTGCGGTGCGATAAAGAAGCGTTATCATCGTTGGAAAATTGCAACGTTAAGCAGCGTAGCGTAGTGCACAGTGTTTTCACGACAAACAAAGTGTGTACCGCAGCGATACACGTACATACAGGGCAAAACCCCCCCAGTGCAATTATCATTTAATTCGTCAATTTTAAGTGTAGAAGCGAGCGACAGCAGCAACTGTCATTCGTCGAAAAGCTCGTATAAGCACCTTCGAGAGCCTACTTACTACTAGTTTATACGTTCGATAAGTGTATTATATTTAGGAGTTTTTTGGTGGCAATAGCGAGTGTCGTCGTGCTGACGGTATGTGTGCAGCAGCGACTGTGTGACAGCTCTCAGCTGTTCTCTCGTACACATACAGATATACCAAACGTGAAGTATACGCAGGGAGCACAGAAAGCCGCTGCTCGTGCGGACACATTGAACACGGAGTTCGGAGTGTGTACTGTGTAGTGCGCTGTTGTGAACGAAAACAAAAGTACAAGAGAGATTTAATAAAAATTTACGGAGTGTACAAGGAGCGACGCACCGATGACTCGTCTTTGGAGTTGACGCTCGGCGCACAGAGAATAGATAGATAGATAGACAAGTTCGCAACAGAGATCTATAAAACAGTCGTTTACCTTGTGAGTATATCCATGCCTGTACAGTATATACTACGTAGTGTTTAGTAGTAAAGTATACAAAAAAGGATTGTGTATATATCGTACGCTGCTCGGCAGCAGCAGCAGCTAATAGCCTTTGTTCAAAGGCATTGATAATTGACTAGGCTCGCGAGCGAGCGAGATCGTTGTTATATTCTGTGTGTAGTATACTTTCACGATATAAACTGTACGGTATATACAGGCGCGCCAATTCGCATTACTATACACGCGCTGCTTTTTTTCGTACATAAAGAGCCGATAAGGATTAAGGAGGACGAAAATTCATTTTTCCCCCGACTCGGAGTCCTTCTCGGAATCGTTGACTCGACTCGGCTCTTTGTCCCGAGTCGTGCCTCGAACTGTCAGGATGAAAATATTCTTCTTCTCCTTTCGCGCGTTCGAATCGTGCGTTCGGAGTATATACAGCGTATAGCATGGCAATAATAACAGAGTTAGCAGCAACGCGGTGTGCTGGCCTGCTGGTGCTGGTGCGCGCGCGCACGTTGCAATTCAACGCTCATGTGTGTGTGTGTTTGTGTGAGCAGTGTCAGTGGCAGTGCACTGCACAGGACGTTCTCTCGTGCGTTGCACTCGTCTTTCTTTCTCTGCTTGCTGCATGAACATACACACACACACACACACACACACCATGCTACACAGTGCATAAACAGAGAGAGAGAGGAGCTGCACACTGGTCTTTGTGAGTATGCAGCAGTAGATACGCGCACTGCACAGCGAGCGCCCTCGAGTATATGGTATATAGTTATAATATAATACACTTTTACTCGCGTCTATGGTGCGTGAGTATAACTCTATGCACGCACACGTATATCTGCAGGCTATATAGCAACGAAACGAAGCTATCTCGAAGCGACTTTTCTTCTCCGGAAAAAAGCCACAATACGTTATTTTGTGTATGTATTGTGTGGCATTGGTGATCGTACAGTTGACTCGGCTGCTGTTGCTACTGCTGCGGCAATTTATACAGCATAGATGCGGATCGCGCGATAAAACGTCTGCAGAATAGAGAGAGAGAGAGAGAGAAACTTTTACCTATTATCGAGTGCTGTATACGTACGACAGCTCGACGATACAAAAGTTCGGTTGATAGATTCGAGCTTGCACATAATGTACCTTACAATTTTACTCCGATATTTAAAGTGAATTTGACATTTAGATTACTGATCATGTTATTTATGGTTCTTTGAGTTTTTCCATGAAAATTCACTGTTGTCACTTCAGTTCGTATTCGGCCTCTTCGACCGTATACCAATTGTCATCGGCCGATCGTCTCAATCGTGGTGTTCGTAGCTAAACATCGGTATATCTCTCAAAAATCGCTCCAAGTGCGAAAGGTTGCATTTACCTCGCGCTCATTATCGCGATGCTTTTGTGCATACTATATCTCGCGGCTAAACGCATAATTATTATAATTATATTATTATATCGCGCTACCGGTCACGCACGCGTGACTGATTCATCCTCGTTAAAAAAACGTGCCTCACATTTATCTATCTATATATAGATGAATTTTTTTTCTTCGTCTCGTCTTCTGCTTCTTCTTCTGTATACACACATAACTGCCACTGTCTGTTTGTTCGTTCGCGCGCGCTTCGACGTATACACGTGTTCCGTGTGTCAGTCGTTGACAATTCGCTGATAAGACCGCGGGCGGCGCTCAACTATTAAATCCCCCATCCCGTATAGCATATCATAACGAGTGTATTCATCGCTGCGATATTAAGTTCAATTCTTTCGTGTATCATGGCCTCCTCTTTATGTACTACAGAGAACGTAACGTGCGCTGCGACGCAAACCGATATTAGCAATTATGTACGGTAACATCTCATCGGAGCGCGGCTCCGTTTTCTCGACTCGTTTCCGCCGCGTGCGTAGGGACACGCGCAGCAGCAGCAGCTCGTATAATTCGAGCTTATTTTCATACATTTTTCGAACCTCGATAATTTTGCTTTCCGAGCAGCTGATGTCTGTTTGATTATTTTCTTTTTCCACGATTATACTGCATCGTGTGCGTGTATAAAAGCGCGCGCACCGCAGAACCACGGAATAAATTAAAACCCCGCTGCACGCACGCGGAGCTCCAACGATCGTATGAATTATTCCGATCGAGCTTTTATTTATTTGTTTTCTTCGGTATATGTACCATGTATACTTCGCGAGTTTCAAGAGAGTAAATTTGATCAAAATCTCTTTCTCATTCACTTATTTTCTTTCTCTCTCTCTCTTAAATCCGCGAGCTCTGTGATTTCCCACAGTATCGAGAAAAAAAACTTGTGTGTATACGTGCAGCTGCCATCATCGTGCACTTGGCCTCTTGAAAGAAACTCGATTCCACGGACGGCTCGTACGCGATGATACACACATTTCTGAAACGTGTTGGACATATATATAAACGCGATAACACGCGTGACTGCAGCTCTTCGCGTGTAACGATAATAACGATGATAGTGCCGCTGTGTGAAAAACAATAAGTCAATATTTGTTTTGATAATTTGCGCAGAGTGAAAGAGAGAGAAAAAAAACCTCATACACGATTGTTTGGTTTCGTTTTTTTTCTCTTCAAGTGCGATAATGTAATTAGAGCTCCATTATCGCTGCTCGGATTTTCTCACTCTTTTTATGCACTAATTCTAAGCCAGTGCCACGCGATCAACGGCTATGTACTTTTTTAGAATTCGATTAATTTATACGCACACACACGCGTGAATCATTTCTAATTTGCGGTAAAATGCACAATGGAAACTACTGCGTGTGCACTGCGGCCTTTACAACGTATATATGTAGCCTCGTGCACGTGTTATTTGTCTCTGCTGCTGCTGCTGCTGCTGCAGAGATCGTTCGCAGAGAACGAGACTGTAATAGCAAAGAATTCCTTCGGCTAACTATATAATTTTGCGTATATAATACGTGCCGAGTTGTGTGTGTGTGCCAATATTTCATGGTGGCTTTTGAACAATTAATTCATTGCGTAAAAGCGAAATTTGGAGCGGAAAGAGTAACGCATTGAAAAGTGCATTTGAATGTTTCTTTTGGCTCGAGCCTGCCACCGATATTTGGCTAATACTAAAAGGGAGTCCTTTTTCCTAACGATATTTTATTTTTTTCATCGAATATATTCATTCGTAGATCCCGACTAACTTTTGAAAAAAATACGACTAGTTTTTTATAGTAGTATCGCTATAGGCATTGAAAGGTAAAAAAAATTGCAACCGCGACAATCGAAAGATGCAACAAAAACTAGTTTAACCACTATGGTCTAGCCTGAAAACATGACGAAAATAGATTAGTTGTCTTGTGTATAATAAATGCGCGCCGTTTGTTGACATACTTTCGATACACCGAGTCCGATTTTCAAGTATTATATAGTATTTTTTTTTCTATACGTCGACTCTCTCGCCAGGGGAGGAGTGAGATATTTCTAATTTCTTTTCTTGTCGTTCAATATCGTATAACGACTCGATCACACAAAAAAATACGTACAATTATTGCGACAGCGTTAATAAAAGTATACAGCTTCTCGGAATACATAATTCTTTTATTGACGCGCGTATTTTTCTAATACTCTACTGGAAAAAAAAATCTGGGAAAGATACGGGACAATCGCGCGCCATGGATACGCTCAATGCGATCTCTGCATCATATCTGTATGTAAATTTCCCGCGACTTCACTACACCGGTGACCCAAAAAAACAAACCGAGCTTAGAGAGAGAGAGAGCGAGATCCTCCGATACCGATTACCGAAAAAAATGTGTGTTTGACAAAAAAAAATTTCTACTTTCACTGTGCTCCATTCGACCGAATTCAATGAATTAAAGGTCGCACTTGGTTCTCGCTAATGCCGCACAATACGCTCGCATGTGGCCACTGCATTGTTGCGTACAAAGCCCCGTGATGCATTTATATAGATGGCATTTGAAATTTTCCAAACCGGACAGCTCATTTCTTTGTTTCGCGAACTCTTTTTTTTTTCATTTCCTTTTTCTTCATTGATTTGTCTTTTGTGATCCGAATCGACACGAGCTGATTTATTATTAAATTGTCACGAACATGACTGATTCGCGCTCGACTTGAACAATTCATCAGTGTCGAATTACGTTTTATGTATATTGTATTTTAATTTAACGAATATGCAGTAATTTTACCTACTATTGTATTTATGAACAAAGCTCGCGTATTTACAACATAACATTAATTTAAAAAAAAAATAGTAAATTTAATTATCGCAGCTGGCAGGAATTTAGTAATAACAAAACGTCGAGTTTAAAATTTATCCTTTTCCTTTATTTCACTGTTGCAGGGAAGAGCCTTGAGGCGCGAGGAGGATGGCGGATCTGAAGAATCTCACCGGGGCCGGATCGCGTTACAACGGCGACGAGCAGGTGCAATTCATACCGGGCGGCAGTCATCAAGTGACCATACGCTCGCCACCCCCGCTGCTCCTCGAGAATCTCAACAACGCGGCAGTTCTTGGGTAATTACGATGCTGCTTGACATTTTTTCGTTTTCAGATTTTTGGCTGTGCTCTGGGTACTTTATCTCTCTCTCTCTTTCTCAAATCGGTCGATTAATAAAGACATTGTTAAATAAATTAAAGTAACTTCAATACTGAATTTTATTAAAGGTACTTTTTTGCATGAAATATTTGTTGATAATTGATGTATTAACATCGATTTGTTTTTTTTACATTATCCGTACAAACAATTCAAGAAAGTATGAAAATTCGACCATAGTTGAAATCAGTCTCTACCGTTAGATGGCGAGTACCTCTAGCTGTAAATCTGCAAGTGGCAAATTAAAAATAATTGTATAAGTAAATGCAAGGTTTTGAAAATAACAGGAGTTCTTGACATACCAAAAGATGTGTAAAAATTTCCCGAGATATTTCTACACCAATTATCACTTTCGATCGTATTTTATTCTTGAGTTTCTGACCGTAATACTTCGATGAAAGGCTACGTTTTGATTAAATATTTAGATTAATTTTTTTTGTTCAAATAACTATAACTATATAGCGAAGCATCAAATCTCACAATTGTCCCTGTACTAAAATCAATGGAAAAATCACGCAGCAGAGCACGGCAAAATTTGGCGGCACACCCTAATAGGGTAGGTGCACCTATTACTGTGCTTGAATCATTTACTGATCACTGTATGTTGAATGCTGAAAAAAATATGTCATCCTTGTATTTCGGATTAACTACGATTTTTCCCAGATTAATCTAATGCTCTTTTATCTAAGGAAATTCGCAGTTTTAATCTGAAATACAAGGATGACATATTTTTTTCAGCATTCAACATACAGTGATCAAAAAATGGTTCAGCCACAGCAATAGGTTTGTTAGAATCTAAACGCAGAACTTGACATTCGATTTCTTGGAGCGCGCGAGAGAGCCGACGTCTATATCTGTATACGCATACATACAATAACGTATACGTCTGCTGTAGCGGCTATTAGGCGCATTAATTAACGATCGGAGAGCTCTCGAACTTGACTAAATAGCCAAAGCGCTTCGAGATAACTGCGACTAAGAATAAAATCCTTGGCATTACTCGCGCGCGATTATTTCTAAATTTAAGCGTTCTCTCTCTCTCGCTCGATCTCGCGTGCTCATTATAATCGTCGGTGCACACTCGCGAGGCGCAATATATAACATCGAAGCTTTTTGCAGATTCAATTAAGCGCTTAGTGCATAATGCAGCTTTACGTCTCCATCGAGGCACGTAATCTTTTTCCCCCTGAGAGAGAGAGAATCGATGCACGAGTATGTGTGTTGTTATTTTTCTCTCACATAACCGAATAAACATGTAATGGTTTTTAATGCAAGTAGGTCAAAAGATAATTCCGAGATAATTGATTGGAAACAATTGAGCTTAAGTTAGTGCAAACGCGATCTTGACAGAGAGAGAGAGAATATCTTCGATCGTCTCATATCTTCACTTCGAGAGCCGTCGTTTATCGCGAAGTGACCGATCGTTACACGAGAGAGATGTTAAACGTTCATCAGTTTTTTTTTGTAATCGGTCACGAACGCAGTTGTTCTTTTTATTTTTTCGAAAATAGAATCGTCGTGATCTATATTTACATTATTTATTAATCAATTTCATCAATCGCTCGTCATGCCACTGTATATAGAGAGGGAGACGATAATAAATCGTATATTTCTTGCGTGGGTGGGCCATCATTTCCGAAATCAATGAAATTATCCTCGCTTACATATATACACGCTCTCTCTCTCTATCTCTACCCCCGCCACGCGATGCGATTCACAACTGTATAGAGACAAGAATTCGCGTGGTCTGAAGCTTTCTTTTTCGGAGCTTTTATAATCTTTTCGAATCCGCAATATCGCAGGCGGTGAGGATTCGCTTCCATTGTTTACGATGCCTTTACGATCGTCTCTCGCGCCGAGAGAGCGAAGTTTTAGCAGCAGACGGACTCGTGTGTGTGTGTTTAATGCGAAAATTCTTAAATATAGCGTGTACCGTCGGCTAGCTTAAAGCTGCTTTTGTTCAAGTGACGATGCGCGCGCGGGGGCGCGACCTTGCCGCGGTCTTTCGCGCCCTTTTGAAACGCATTGTGCTCGAGATGCTCTTTGTATACTCCGCTCTATCTCTCGCGTCGTTTGACCGTTAAAAATCTCTGCACTCGGATACTTTCGCTGTTTCGATACACTCGCGCTACTGTCTCGTTAAATATCAAGTTGGATAAATTCGACTGGAAATTTTCGTATGCGCGCCTCGCAGCGCATCGATTTCGTAATTGCTCGAGTTCGCGCCGCGCCGACTCTAGATCTCGCCATTAATTATTCAACGCCGAAATTTTCTTAATCGATAAATGAGTACGCGTAATAGCCTCGCGCCGCTGCTGAGCTCGAAAACTTTCGAGCCCTCCATTGTTTTCTTGTTATAAAGCCTGCGGAACGTGCCTGAACGATCGCATCCTTTTATATTCAGCAATGGCAATTGTACAAGTTAAAAAAAATGCTGTACAGTGCAATAATTTCGCGTCCCTTCGAGTGCATAATATATATAAAAAAAAAGAGGAGGAGGAGGGTAGTATAAGACATCGCGCGTACAATACTTACTATATAAGACGGATGGGACACGAGTGCACGAGTCGCCCCCGCGCGCGCGGGGGTGTGTACTGAAAAACGATCCCCGATATATTATATATCGCGCGCGCATTGTTCGCGTCGTCGTCGCGGCACAGAATATATAATAAGGAAATTTTTCGTGTCGCGACGTGGTGGCTGCTGCTGCTGCTACTACTGCATGTATCTTTTCGCTGCAGCTCGCGCGACGCAACACGAGAAGAGGGACTTTTTTCTTTTTTTTTTTTTTTTTAAGAAATAATACAAATTGATCATCGATTGCTCGCGAGCGTCGACAAGTGCCCCGGCCGCGCACATACAACACGTTTGGCTTATGCGACCTTCACCCGCGTTCTCTTTTTCCCTTTTTTTTTTTTTTTGCTTTTTGCTTCTATAATCCATTGTACTCGTATGTACGTGTTTGTATGTGTGTGTGTGTGTGTTTGCGAGTGCACTATAAGTACTCTCGGGATGACACACACGCACGACGTTTATACATAAATTTAATGTAAGACGCACGTGACAAAGACGGCCGGACTCGTGCCACTCACTTGCGGCTATGTACTATATACCATACGCCCTGGCCTATATCGTGCGTAGTGCAAAGAGTATGGAAGCTTCGTGCAAGACGCGCACCTACGACTCTGCTTGGCTATCAACACATTTCCACTCCCCGATGTAGATTGGGAGTTTTTTTCGGTGCTGAAATTATCTGTTTTTTTTTCATCGCGACACGATGATTGCCTTTCGAAATTTCATCGATACAACGCTATGTGATTAATTTCTTAAATCGATTTACTGGCATGATCTCTGCGTACTCAAAAATTTACTTGATAAATAGCATAAATAGTTTAGTAAGGCCATTCAGATCCCGTAAGTAAAACGTAAAACAGAGCTTGCAGAATTTAGGGCGAGCGAAACGCGCTGAATATGGACTGTGGTATCACAAAATTTATTTGGATATATTTGATTTTTCTCGAAAAAATTAATTGATTTTTTTGTTAAATATAAATAGTATGTTTACATATTGAGATAATATTGGAGAAATTTATACACTAAATTTTATACGCTCGTTGATTTGACATGTGTTAGTCATGCTCAGAATCAATGTGACTTATTTAAGATTACCTTTACTCGAGTACTTCTTTCCGCATTAATATTGCACGTGTAAGCGACACCTTTGTGCAGCGTGTATATCACCGTCTTTCACTGTATATAATATACTCTCTCTCTGGATGTAGCTGCTACGCCCCGCGCGTATACATGTTGTATAAATTCGAGCGAGCTCCGAAGCAGCAGAAGAGAGCTTTTGCAACGATTTTAGCCAAAGAGTTTCAGATGACGAGGACGACGGAAAGCTTTACCGTTCGAAAATTCATTATTTATAAACACGCGAATTTCAGGTGCCTTACTCGAGCTTATTCCAGTATTTGAGCGTCCTTTTTTTCCAACTTAATATCTTCATTTCTGAGGTGCTCACTGATTTGGAATGATCGGGTGTTTATCAATAAAAAAAAATTAAAATTCATTTTTATTATTCATTTATTCGAAATTAATATGGACTATATACAATATTAAATTAAATATTATCAAACATTGAAAATACAGCAGCATATGCTAGTCAGCGTCACCCGCCAAGCAAATATACACTTAATCTTCACCGTACTCAACAAATTTTTTGTCCTTTGGTTATTACTTTTTGTTACATAATCGTTAACAACATTTTCACTCGTATCATAACTTTCGCCAGCAGCCGCCAAGCAAATATTATATAAATCTCGATTAGTTAATTTTCCAAGTATCACTTGGCAGATTTCAAGTGGCAGTCGATAGTGTATGAGTTTCCAAAATGAACCCAGTGCCCAGGACTGTACAAATTGTCTCAACAGTATCGTGCCCAATTTCGTATGAGCTGCATCGTGAGCATCTAGGGAAAAAAAACTCACTGATTGTCGCGCCATCAAATACAGCCAATAAGTGAATATTCTCGCCGCTTTGTCGAGTGGTAATTGTATGAAGTCGTAGAACGATAGAGTCGTATTTATCCGTATCTCTTTTGCTACTCTTACGAAATTCTCGTCGCTATACCAACGTTTGTCAATATCCTCTGACATCTCGAATAATCCCAGTTTATCGAACAATTTCATGATCGTCAATGCGTCGCTTCGTTCCAGTTGATTTCCCAAGGAATAAATGATGCCGAAAGCGTCAGTCATAACTTGCAATTTAAACCCACTTTTTATGCGTTCATAATACATAAATTGGTTTTGTGACTTGTGCAGTTTATATGATTCGAAGTGCTCGTCGAAGTCTTGCTCGGTGGGGAAAACGAAGCTAGACAGATCGACGCCATTTTTCAAAAGTACACAAAGCAAATTTG